ATTAAAGAGAGAGATGAACTAAATAAAATATAAGTGGCTACCATGGCATGCTCTTGTTATTTATAAAAATGTAAACAGCACATTTTATGGCATCTGCATACGCAGCATTTTCCAACATTAGCATACTTTTGAAATGTCAACTGCACATACATTATCGCAATATCGCATATTCACACAATTCAGCATATTTTTTGAAAGATTGAAGTTTATTCTATTTAACAAAAGTTACGTATATAAATATTTCTGCATTATATTCACATTATAATTAATTATAAAGATTTAGAATTGATATTGATTTGTTAATAAGCGCATAATTTAATTGGATTAAATGCAAAATATTTAATATCTAATTTTTGTATAATTTTTTACATAAAGTAAAATATCAATTTTGATATATTGAAGTAAAGCAAATAAGTAGAGATCACCCACATGCACGAGAAATTACACTGCAATAGCGTATTCGTTGCACTCCGATCTTCAATCGTGTATCTATTTAATCTCTTTAAATACAACGCGTTTCTAACGCGTATCTGTACACAGAGAAAAATATCATTCTATTGCCAAGAGAAAAGCGATTACTCAGTTTATTTTAGTAATAGTTTTCTTCAACAAAGAATATATTCTTGATAATAATCTTAAAATATACTCATCACAAGTGTTAGAAAATCTCATTATCACGTACTCAAAAGAAGAATTTATTTTCTCTTCAAGAATATTGTAAAGTTGTATCAAAGAAAAATCAAACTTACTTTACGTCAACTCTTGTAGTAAGCAAACCAAATTTTGGTTTTAATTTAATATTCTCGACTAAAATACTGCACTTACTAAAATTCAGAATATATTCAATTAAATTTAATGCTGGTGGTGAACTTATGATATATTTGCGGATATACAAACTTATGATATACTTAATAATAAATAATATTTACTTGAATACAGTATACATTTTTCTCTGCATATGTCTTCTAGTCGATATTAGAAAAATCGTTATATCTCAAGGAGCTCATCAGTCTTGTTTCACGGCCGGCACACGCGATTCTCTCGTCGGTCTCTCACAATGCACCGGCAAATCCTGCGGTTTTACATGAAAAAAAAAAAAGCGTAAGCGATTAATCGTTCACGCTCATGGCGCCTTCCAGATCGCTCGCGATCCAGTTCGCCGAGCAACATTCCACGATCCGGAGCAACCGTTCCTAATCGGAGCGAAAGAAAGGGCTCGCTGTGGAAAACGCTGGTTTCAGCGCCATTTCGTACGCGAGACAGCTGTAAAGCAACAGCTCTCTTTCAGTTTCACCTGTCCGAGATGATGCCGAAAATTAAAGTCCGCTTCGGGGGCCTTGATGCGACCTTCCGCTCGATCTTTCAAGCTGGTCGATCATTCCCATGGGCTGGCTTGGCGGCATTCCTCGGCCCACGCCTCTTTACTCTCCTTCGTCATCTTCGTGTGATCTTCCTCTTTCTCTCCCTCTTTTTCTTTCTACAAGATTCCAAAAGTTCTTGTAGCTTATACATTATTTGCATGAGTTCTGCTATAATAATTTATATATGAAATGCTGCATACATTGCGTAATTTTATATATAATCTTATTTTATTTATAGGATTATTAACACATTTGGTTTGATATGAGAAATGTTTGATTTTTGATATAAATTTAAAAGAACATGCACAATTTCTTTAGTTACTCTAGTAAATACTGGAAAATGAAAAAGATACGTAGTCTATTTAAAGGATACTATGTCTGTATATTTTAGAAACATAAATGCGAGTCTATGATTATGTGTGTATATATGTATTACGAAACAATTGAGAAATATATCATTTTCATAAGCATTCGCATTAAAATCTATGCAAATTAATCTGGAGAACCATTAAACCTCTCGTCCACTGTTTCTTGCGCAGTGCCCATAATTCTCCGTAAATATTCATTAAATCAAAGCACTCTAGAATAATTTTCAAGAGAAATGACGATTTATATTATCTAGTCCAATAAAATTAATGTTAATCTTTAACCAAATAACAAGCAATATCGAATTGGCCGCAGAAATTAATTAAACAAATACATAAATTCGTGATTTTGAATGATATTAATGGATACAAATTATACTGAAATTGATTTAATATTTGTAACGAACAGGAATTTAATTATTAGTTAAAAAGAATAGCAATAAAGTTTGTTTATCGAATTTGATTAGTTCTCTTATATTATGCAATTAATTTTCATTAAGATTAATATTTATTATACGATCGTTCAATTTAGATTAAAAGTTAATTCTTACTCTACTTTATTTTTATATGTTTTTATTAAGTAAAGCACGAGAGGATGAGCTCAAAAACGAAGAAAAGACAACAGGTTCAACCCTTTTCTCTTTTCTCTGTAAAAAAGTACCTAATGCACGTAATAACGGATCTCATGCGTACCTAGATTTCATTCTCATCGACTTTCACCGGAGAACTTTGGCTCAGCAAGGACGTTTCTTGACGTTCAACTCACGAATACTTCCGTATCCACAAACGACTATTGTCTCATTATTAAACGTCGCTATCTGTTTCCTTTTTCATTCATTTACATGTGATCCCATAGCATGTGGCATTGTTCTTGCGTTTTCCAAAGAAGACAGTTTAACGCATTTGTAACAGGAACATTTTCAACAGGAATGCGTGTTTATAAGAATAAGAATATAATAGATCTTGATGGCTACATCTAAGTTTATTTACAATAAGTGCAGATTTACACATATATTTCTTGTATCTTCTATTAATAATTTGTTACGGTCCAATATCTTTTTATAATTCATATAAGAATTGAAACATTGAAAATAAAAATATTACACAAAATTTAAAAAAAAGGGAAATAAATTATAAATTTGATTATCAAATTAAAATTATATACACAGAAAAAAAGGGCATTCTTGTTTTGAAAATATATTTAGTTTTAACATGGAAATCTTGAAATGAGATTATATTGCGTTAATTAAGGAAAAATAATTGCTTACTTGAATGAAACCATTTTATATAGTTCAATCAAGAAAAATATATTCTTATAATTTAAGATTTAATTTTCTTGAATGGAAAAGAAACCAAAGATAGAAAATAACATTTTTAAATCAAAGATTATAATTTTCTTAAAGTAGAATTAAATAATTATAAATTCTTAAAGTGACAATTGCAATATTAAAATAAGACTACGATATTGTTAAAATTTAAAATTATTAAATTCTTCTAAGAAGATTATAAATTGTTGCGTATATACGAAACAGTGAACGCATTAGTTTAAGTATATAAATTTTGATTTGACACTTTATTTTCTGTGTACATATCAAATTAAAAATACATAAAATGTGAAGAACCTACGATGATAATATTGATCTGATTTTTATACTTTTCCCAAGGAGATGTATTTTCTTGGACCGAACCGGACTGTTTCCCTAATTTATACTGTTAGAACGTAACAAGCGGTGCCAATATTGTTGGCCGTAAAACTTCATCAGGCGATTCCGTAACCGTTGATGACCAGAATCGGAGAATGCAGGCTGGATGCACTGCATTTGCATATGAACGAGTACCGGCGCGACTAGTCCCGGCGAGCTATCGCATCTAATTGTTAGTTTGCTTTGACCCAATCGAGAATCGCCGCACGCGCAGCATCACACAGACGTAATTTTCATTCTCTCTGTTGCGTGCCATCTAACAATAAAATCGCACTCTAAGAGTCTCGAGGTACTTAAGGAGAGTAATTCTTCTCTTTCGATTCGAGTTTTATTCAACGCTCGTTACTCGAGAAATAGGACAATTTTAAAGTTTATATCTTGACATTTAACATTAAATATATTATCTTAGAATTCTATTTTATTTTAATTTTATCTTCTTTTTAATTGAAAATCATTATAGGTACTGTGGAAAATAAATATGCCGAATAACGCACATACATTTTATTGATTAAGAATAATTGATGTAAAAAAAAATATAAAAAATAAATACAAAGAAAAATTGATATAAAATCTTTCGAGGTGTTTTAAAGTTATTCTTAAGGGGGGAATTTGCAAATATTATGCATACTTGCATTGTGTCAGTACATATCTCGTCGCGCAGATTTGTGATGGCTTCGCAAATTGGGCCAATCGATGATCCAAACCGAGACGTAATCCAATAACTCTGCCATACCCGTTCTAGCAAATATTCAACATTCCTGCATAGAGACGACTACCATGTCTGTTGCAGCTCGTAAATTCCTTCGTCGATAAACCGGAGAACCTGCAATTTCTTAGCATATAAAACAAATTGAGAAAAACAAGTTGCTATGTGCAGCGACACACATACATATAGGAAGAAATCATGGACAGAGATAAATTAGTTCTCTTAAATTATTTTTGCAAATATTACATATAATTGGAAGATGTTTGAAGATAAAATTAGAACATGTTATTAGAAGATAACATATAATTAATGTTATTATTTTAAAAATGAAGTCGTGTAAAAAACTGATATTAAGTAGATTAAAATTTAAATCTTTAAAGCAGAAAGAGAGAGAGAGAGAGTATATACACATATATATATATATATATATATATTTGCAACGAATTCCTATGTTTCCCTGATCTAGGAGAGATATTGTTTAAATAAATAATCAAGTAAATGTTCAAATATCACGCTACATAATATTACGCGACTAGTAACATCAGTAGCTTTTTAATTTCCGTTTTTAAATAATTAATTCCATTAATCTTCAAATGAATTTTTTGAAGGTTTCGGCTTCATTTTTTTATCACATAAGCTTTATGAAGTATATTTTATTTGCCTATTTGCTTATTTGCACAGAATAATAATGACTGTAATTTGCTAAAAAGAACTTTTTAATTTTACGAAATTGAAAATTGTTAGTATAAAAAAATCTAAAAGTCAATACGGGCACAAAATTTTGCGCATTATGAAGAGATAAACAGATAACATTTTTTCTTTTTATTGCTGTCTCTCTGACCGTCTATTATCCTTTCATTTTCAGGTAAAGAGAATTTCTCGACTTAGGCTAAGATGTCACATCACAGCGACGACAACATGCTGATAGCGACGTCAGATTCCTTCTGGGAGCCGGGCAACTACAAGCGGACGACGAGGCGGATCGAGGATGGTCATAAGCTCTGCGACAGTTTGATAGCGTTGGTCCAGGAAAGGGCAGAGATTGAAAAGAGCTATGCCAAGGCGCTCAAGAACTGGTCTAAGAATTGGAACGACAAGATCGAGAAAGGACCCGAATATGGTACAACCGAGGCAGCATGGAAAGGTGTTCTGGTAGAATCCGACAGACTTTGTGATCTTCACCTCAGGGTCAAAGAGAACCTCTGCAACGACATCGTCCAGCAAGTCAAGACGTGGCAGAAAGACACGTATCACAAGGTACGAGTGGTTACGTCACTGATCCCCCCTTAAATACACAGAAATTTGAAGTCACGCACAAGATTTTCATCTTTCTCCTAAAAACTTGAGTGATAAGATCGCTAGATAGTATTTTTACTTTTCTTTTGAACGATGGCATTTTTTTTAAAAATAAAATAATTGATGTAAAAATTCAACTTCAACTCAAAATATTTGACATTTTGCATTTTATACATTTTTGAAATATACAAATTAAAATTTATTTTTAAATGACAAATTTATTCTTGTTACAATATCTTTGTCCATTATAATCAATTTTATGGATGGAAGATTTAATATCTATTGTTCTCGATGATTCCTTCCATATCAATTTTTGTAATAGTACTTGCACACAACAGTAATATTAACTGATATTGCGGGCTTGGTTCTATGATCGCAGTCGATGATGACCCTGAAGGAGCGCAAGGAAATGGAAGATGCGTTCAAGAAGGCACAGAAGCCATGGGCGAAACTCCTACAGAAAGTTGAGAAAGCAAAGTCGGAGTATCACAACAGTTGCAAGACCGAACGAACCGCGGCGAACATGGAGAGGAACGCCTCGGCGGACAGTTCTCTCTCGCCGGATCAGGTGAGCAATCCACGTCACAATCCATTGTATATCCCGCATATCTCGCGCACACATATTACGTCACTTGTCACTCTCTCGTAACGTTTTATTAACGATCGCGGCGCAACCAGTAGTACCATGTATTACTATAATGGAAGTCACTTCGTCATCACGTTCGCTTTTAAAAGGCGAAATGAAATCAAGTCACGTTATACAAATATAATCCGCGAATTTACTCTTCTCATAAAATAATATATTTATAATACTCGTATACTACGTATTTTAAAATTCTCGTGGCAAGTTTTGCTCGATATTTTATCAAATATATTTTCAAAATTGTTGCTTAATTAGATAAGACTTCTCGAAGATAATTATAAATAGAAGTGCGATAATTATAATGGTGATAAGTTTGTTGTATGAATATTCCAATTCGTGAACATATACATACGTACTGCGCACGTTTATTATTTCAATCCACAACAATAGGTATTTTACATTATTATAACATTCACGAATTAAAATAATCTCACGATAATTCTTCTCTTCGCATTTTTAAGGATGTTTTGTATGTGCAATCCCAGCAAAAAGTAGCTGAAAATCAATATTGACGAATATCCACTTTTGGTGTATTTTGAGTATGAGAAATTGTGTGGAATATTACAATTTGATCTTAAGTACAGTGCAGAGTATTTTTTAATATTTATTGCATTTTTACTGAAATATTTCGAATTTTGTTAATCGAAATGATTAAATTTAGCAGAGAATTTCGCCTTGTGACAGATACATGGCTAACTTCATTAAATTATATTTAATATCTTTTTAACCAGTTAGTACTTGTATAATATTATTTGACCAAATATTTCCTCTAAACTTTTGCAAATTTTAAACAAATTCTGAATATTATTTCCATGTGTTTTTGTCATTTGAATCGACGTGGTTATACGTTTCCCATAAGAACACATGTTAATTCGGCGCAAATTAAAATCCTTATAACTTGTGAACGCTTTAGTGAATCGATTTAAAAATTGTACTGAATATTCTAAACATATGTAAGGACATTCTGTATAATTTTCATTAAATTCTCAATATTTTGAAAATAGGTACAAAACATCCTTAATAGTATATCCTTTTCAAAACAATGAAACAATCGAGTTATATAGATGTGCACAACGTATATATTTGACATCATATGTTCACGTTATAGTCTTTTGGCATCTCGATCACGCGTATTACACGCGGTCTTACGTACGGTAGATACAGTTGTTCTTTAGCGAGTATTATTTGCAGATGGCCCGAGGCTCTGAAAACGTACGTTTCACACCTTGTGTGTATTCCTAAGAATTCTTGCATGCGCTATATTATATCTCTCTCTTGTTCCATTATTGCTTCTCTCGAACGTCTCGCAGTGAACTAACGATACCCGATTCGTTTGCTTCTGCGAGCAGAGTTCTCAGTTTGCACATCTGTGTGTTTCTTACCTAACATCTATTATTCGGTACGGAAAAGATACTTTAATAGTAACTGTATGAATATATGTATGTTTCATTCCATTTTTTGTACACAGTAATAATTATTAGGGAAAAAACTCAAATGACGAAACTTGCAATACCAAAAAAAATCACATTTCTGTATATCTGAGTTTTACTAAAATTAATAATTAGGAATTTGACTCAAATAAATAAACAAAATCCAATCGATTTCTGAATTTTACTATTCATTTAATTGTTTGGATTATTGTTAGGGATATTGTAGGGATTGATGTAAATGTAAAGACAGAAAAAAAAATCCAAGGAATTTCGCGTTGCATAAATATTTGAATTCTAAATATTTGAATCATTGAATTCTAAAGCATATAAAATCATCGTTCAACACTCACGCGCACGCATAGTCGGCACAATAATGATCTCGAGATCGGAGATAGACACCTCTGAAAGACGGCTATCGACGTTTTTAGATGACAGATTGTGGATGTGATGCATGGAGGCTCAGAATACCAAAAATCCTTAGGAATAATAAAATAGGCGACGTTCAGTTTGTATGTATATGATGTTGCATGTGTCGCATGTTTCTTGACTTATGTGTCTTTCTCCCCTTTCTCTTATTACAGAAGGCTCTGCTGGTAAGCAAACTTCTGATTTAAGACGTTAGATTTAAGAAATTAGGACGCAATATATGTTTAGCATATATCTTTTTACGACACCTTTTAACGCTTTCTTTTCTTTATTTCTTTTGACGCCTTTTATCAACCCCTATAATGTCCACCTGTCTCTTCAGTTTAAATATAGCATGCTTTGCTCGCTCATGTTATGTACAGGGTGTTTCAAACCACCCGTACCACCCATTTAAAAACTAGAAAAGTGATTATTTCAAAAAAGTAAAAACATTTTTAACTAATTAGGCAATATCGAGCCAACAGATAAAAAACTACTTCCATAATCTACACTTTATTGATGATCAATCAGTAATTGAGCATCAATAAAGTGTGAATTATGGAAGTAGTTTTTTATTGCTTCACGCCTTACATCTGCGTTGGCTCGATATTGCCTAATTATTTAGTTAAATTTATATATTTTATACCTGAGCCCGTCAAGTTAGTTAATTTATTTTAAAAATATTTTCTTTATAAATCGGGTACGCTCTATCGAATGATGATATTTTCAACTTCTGGTTCCGGCCGGAAATAGGCGATTCAAACCGGAAGTGCATTTTTTTAAATGGAACCCCCTATTTCCTATTCCTAATGGAATCGCCTATTTCCGGCCGAAACCAGAAGTAAAAAATATCACCGTTCGATAGAGCGTATCAGATTTATAAAGAAAATGTTTTTACTTTTTTGAAATAATCACTTTTCTAGTTTTTAAATGGGTGGTACGGGTGGTCTGAAACACCCTGTATAATTATTACTTAAAATAATTATTCAGCGTATATATTTAAAGAATTGCCATATAGAGGAGAATATGACTGATATAATTTGCACCGCCGATTGATTAAACGTTACTCGTAATTACGACAGCACTCCCTTTGACGTGTATATTGTAATTTGGTTAACTCAAAACTGGTATAAACATGAGAAACGCAGCGCACGTGCATGAAATATGGATAATTCATGAGTCGATATACATAAAACCTCTTTGCACTAAATTCTTAGGACGTTCGTGGTACACACAATGATCTCGTGCATGCGAATAATTTCTTTTTGTAAAATCAAATAACAACGTAAATTTTATTTCGGATGACCTTGCGTTCGTAAATAGACTTCCTTCGGAACGTAATTATTGATAACTATAGCTTAAGTATTTAATTATGTAAAATTATTGTGATAAAAAAATATTTTAAATTCATAAGAAATATCGTATATGTTTTGTTACTATTTCCTAGTCTTAATAAAAATCTGAAAAAGAAACTTCAAGAAAAACTTTAAATTTTTATGTTGAAATTAATTATGATGAAAATTTATACATAAATATATAAAATTATAAAATATATTCAATCTTTATTTAATTATTATATTTTCACAAGAAATAACCGTTTTTTGTCTGAGGAATATAACAATACATTTCAGTATTAAAATGAAAATGTTTTGGAACGCATTAGTTATTGTAAAGAACGGTTATTAGTTTGTACGTTATTTACATGTAGTTGCATGATGAGATAAACACTACGTAGATTAAATAATAAGTAGTTTGATGTAGTAAATAGGCCATATGCAGTAAATAGCACATTTTTTTATATAAAATCGTTATATATGTATTGTTTTATCTCCTTCTTTAATGTGGCATTCATGTTTATTATCGCAAAAAAGCAATTTTTTGTAGCTCTTGACGATGAGCTAAATAAATTTGAAGGTAAAGAATTGACATTAATTGTTAAAAAATATCCTTTTAATTAACATTTGTAGATTTTGAACTTTGTAAACTAACGAAATAATCAATTTAATATCGCGTGATAATCGTTATTGAAGATTGAATGCAAATTGCGTGAAAGATGAAAAGGGTTTAATTTTAATACATATATAGGAAGTGTACTTTTATATAAACTTTATCATCATAAAGTTTATATAACCGTAAAGTTTAAAACCGCTTTACAAAAGCTTCAAACTATTAGACTGTATCCCGTGATACCGACCAAAGTCTTTACCTTCAAGTCAACATTAAAGAAGAACGCTCTCTGTAAGATTTCTAAATATTTTCCTCGTCTCTTTTGACAGGTGAAGAAAATGCAGGACAGAGTGCAAAAAACGAAAGAGGAGGTGCAAAAGGCGAAGGAGAAGTACGAGGCGGCGCTTCAAGAAATCAATCAATACAATCCAAAGTACATGGAAGACATGACGCAAGTGTTTGAGAAGTGTCAGGAAATGGAGGCGCAGCGACTACAGTTCTTCAAAGACGTCCTCTTCGGCATTCACAAATGTCTGAATATATCGCAGGATCCAGTGTAAGCCCTTTTTCATTATTGCGCAACTATATATATGATCCATCATGTATGATAATTGTAAATTTAAAAATCACAAATGTATTTTGCCTTAAATTATATATTCAAATATATTATATCAATTATATATTATTGTGTAAATATGATATGATTGCGTCTATCATAATCAATATTGATTGCGGGCTCGCAGTATCATTTAATCAATTCAGCTTATAATAATTTAAATTAATAATAAAACTCAAAATAATAAAATTAAAATTCCCATTTCTCAATTTTCTATTAGATTTAATGAATATGAAAAACTTTAGTGTATCACATTTCATGAATTGTATATTATTATTTTCAGGCTTCCACAGATATACGAGGAATTTTATCACACGATAAATAACGCCGACCACGAGAAAGATCTCAAATGGTGGTCTAATAATCATGGTGTAAATATGGCTATGAATTGGCCACAGTTTGAGGTATGTTTGCTTACGCTTGTCTCTATGCATTACAAAAACTCTATACTGTCGCATGAAAAAGCCCTGCTCGTGGTTGAAGATCTATTGTTAGAAAAACATATAGCTGTAGCGTGGACTGAATATTACTCTATAGCTCTTCCTTTTATTTTACAATAATTTTACCGTTACTCGTTATGTGCGTCTCGCCATATATTTTTTTATTTCTGGCACAACATAGAATACCATATTTTACGAATGTTTGCCGTCATTTTCTTTGAAACGTTTAACATAAAATATAAAGATATCGATATTTCTAGGAAATAAAGAGTTTCATTGAGAAAAAAGTAAATTTTATCTGCATTAAAAGTGTGTAATAAGTAAAATATCGATAATTTTTTATAATGAACAATAATAAAAATGATATTCTATTCGTGATAAAATGAAAAATAAGATCATACTTAAAGGAAGGCGAACGGGCATATTTAATCAGAGTTTTTAACTCTCTCACAATTTATCGTTGTGTCATCAAATTTCATCATATAACATTAAATAAAAATTAAGCTTTTGTACAATCGCGCTTCCGAAAAAATCTGCTTACAATAATGTTTTGTCTTTTTGAATTTTCTTGAGGCTTCTAACTCGTAATCTTACATTTATCTTACTAAATTATTTAGGACATTCTCCTAAAAGGAGCAATATCTTATAAATTTATAGAAAATTTATCTAATCGTTGTACATAACGCGAATTCATCAATCGTCATTTTATAATGATCACGGGTTACAGACATTGCCGATCTTATCAATATTTTCCAGTTTAATTAACTTATATATAATTTCAGTTTAACTAACTTATATATAAAAGACCTTACGCCCCAAAAAGATACGTTCCATTATTGCAATCAATTACATCTTTTGTTTAAATGATGTTATATGTGCCTTTGTCTCCCGTCAGCGCAACTGTATCGATGGTGAAATTCTTTGCCAGAATAACGTCCAACTCCACCCCACATCATCACCTCTCTCGCCTCGACTTTTTCTTAATCCGAAAATACTTGAACAATATTGAGAGTTTCTTGACAAAGATATAAAGTATCACACAAAATATTCTTAATATTAAAAGACGAAAAGAGAAAATATAAAATGACAAGACTAAGAAAAAGGGAGAGAGGAAAAACCCATGACAATTTTCCGGAATGCATGCATGTGATTGTTTTGGGACATTGCTATTATGCAGGACTACACAGAGGAGTTCCGCGAGATCACGAAGGGCTCGAAGTCGAAGGAGGCGCTCCCGGCAGGCTCCATCACACTCATCAATCAACGCCCGGTCGGCGAGGATCTGCATGTAAAGTTTTGTTTACACGTTACACACGTGACACGCGCCGCCCGCAATCTCATTTTATCATTGTTGAAAACATATTCAAAAGCCCGTCCGACCTACGATCTATCTCGATCGGCCACATTGAGACGATCGAGAAGTCGTCGGCGCCGATTAAAAGCAAGCACGCGACAGCTTTTAAACGCGGATGTCCCAGCTGGTTGCGAGGTCATCCAAGATGGGTTTCCTTTCTCAGCTTCTAGCTCTTAGCCGGCTTAACCGAATTAACCGTAAATCCGCTCCGCGCTTGTGCTCGCACGTAATCGCACGGATCTCTGCCTAAAGGTGAACATGGAACAGCCCCCTCCCCTGGATGGCAGATATAGGAGGAACGAATTTACAAACTATTGAGATAACACACAATGCGACAAAGGCAGGAAATATAAGTCACGAAAGATTACATATCGTTCAAAAGAAATACATATATTATACATATATATATATATATATATATATATATATATATATCATGAATAAATAAAAAATATTCTAAAAATATGTATAATATAATATAATATATATACATATATATATATATATTATATTATATTATACATATTTTTAGAATATTTTTTATTTATTCATGATATTTGTATCATAAGATAAGAGAAAAGATAAATCTATCTATATAAACTAGCCAAATCTAAGCAAATTTATTCTTATTTGAGTGATACATTTTATAAAATAAAAGAATTATCATCATTATAACAAAAATAATCAATGAAAACATTGTATTTTAATCGTTTGATGATGATTAGACTTAGATTCGATAGAATTCTGTAATCCTCAAAAGTTTGTAAATTGTCTCCTTTCGAGATGCTTATTATCCCGTTCATGGTATACGGTATGGATAATTATAATATTATTAAAATATGAATATAAATCACATCGAGCTTAACAATAGTCATATATGCCTGCAACCGATTGTTGAAAATCACATGCGACATATCTGCATGTTTCACATGCTTAAAAATATTATATTACTATGAAAGTGTCGTATTACATACATATGGAATTACAACGGAAATATAATATGCAATTAAGTTCGCGAATAAGAGGTTTTTTTATAAATCAAACTTTATCAAGACCGTCGTACTTTCTTTCAGCTAACTTCTCAAATATTCGTAAATTCTACTCTAATTATACTCTAATAGTATTTTAATTTATAATCGAAGCAATTTAATATATAATCACAATGGTCATTTAATGGAAATTAGATTACAAACTTATATAGATATTTAATTTAAATTTATATATAAACATGAAACATATACGAAAGAAAGAAGAAAGTTCCAAAGAAAATGCGATGGTTATTGTATACATTAATTTTTTGCATGATATAGTATAAAGTTCTGTATATATTCATCACAGAGCTACGAATTATATCGTTCAAGAACATCTCATTTAAAATGTCTCATTTAAATTTTCATCAAAAAATAATGCGATAATAATAATACATCTGTGACTAAAAATTAAAGTAACACTACTACTCATAATTCATATAATCTGTCTATAGAGATCCTTATCATGTTAGAATTCATCTCAAAAAATCGCAATCTCGAGCCTGGTTGCGCTTTGTAAATATGCGCTTTTTAAACTTGTAAATGAATTGAATGAAAATACAGATGTAGGTGAGAGATAGTCTATTTTCTCTATAAAAATATTTTCTTGCATTGTCGAGTGAGCAGTGCTCACTATGAGAGGACATAGGACATCGAATCGGTCAATTTTTCCTTGTATACGTTATATCTTGACATATGTAATAAGATTATTGAAATTATTGAGAAGATAGACAGGTGAAATAAATAATGAAAAGGCTTGAACGAAATCGCACATGCATCGTTGGCATGCTAATTAAACATTCGCAGCGAGCGATTCCCGAATCATATGAAACATTTGGTTGCACGCATGGCATTTTCAACGAGATAAATTCATGCATCGCGGTTACACACTATGCGAATTTCATTGAAACGTATCTAATATATTTCCACACATTTTAAATCAGGAATTTCCACCGGTCAACAACAAATCAAAATCAAAGTCCACCAGCCGTGTAATATCAGCGGACAGCAATCACGGAGATAGCAAAACCGACACAATAAGTTCGAGCAAACAGTCTTCGGAAAAGAACAACGAAAGCGATAACGTCAATAGGACTACGACTATTACGTAAGTTTGTTGCAAAAGCGACTTGTATAAAGCTCTTTATCTAGTTAACTAGTAAGAACCGCGTGTGAAATGTATGATGATTGCAGTAACGGTACTAATGCCAAGCAAGAGTCAAACCCATTCGAAGAGGAGGAATGGGACGAGGAAGGTGGTGAACCATTGGTCGACAATGGAGAACCAGGAGTTCCCGTGCGAGCGTTGTACGACTACGAAGGAGCCGAGGCGGATGAACTTAGTTTTAAGCAAGGTACCTACCTACATAGGATTTTATTTTTTGCAAAATTTTAGAGTCAATCAATTTGATTTGTATGCATAATTAATTTGATATGACATAATTTTCTATATCTAGAACGAAAAATAGGAATGCAATTGAATCATTTTGTTTCTTACGATTAATATATTAATATATTAATAATAAATTATATATAATTTAAAATGCATCCAATATAGTTATTTGATATTATATATATATATATATATATATATATATATATATATAAATCTATAATATAATTACTTAATATAAATAATGTAAAAATATATAAATTAATTTTTTCTCAAAACTTTTCTCAGGAGATGTATTCGAGAAGCTGGAAGACGAAGATGAACAAGGGTGGTGTAAAGGAAGAAAGGACGGTAAAGTGGGCCTCTATCCGGCAAATTATGTAGACTTGGTATCGCAATAGATTAACTAATATAAAGCCAAATCCACAAGTTCGTTAGTTACTTACATATGTAACACTTGCGCGAGAAGAACAAAAATTACGTTTCGCTTCTCTTCGCTGTTGTTTGCGCGAATTATAATTCACGAAATTCTAATTTCGCGGTGTATTAGAAGAGAGATTAATGATGAATGAATATAGAATGAAGAAAATGAGTTATAATATTTTAAAGTCCAAAACTTGAACCTAAATTGTCTGCATTTACAAATTGTACAAATAGCAAGGAGTGATTTTGATTTGAGATTTTTCCTTCGTATCAGAGATAATTAGCGAAATTAATCTAAATCAATAGCTTTCTGCTATTGATCTAAATCAATAGCTTTCTGAAAAAAGATAGCTCCTCACTCGTAAAATAAAATTTGTTTTTAGATAGCTAGGTTAGATTCAAAATCCTTCATTAGTAAATTTCAATGAATAAACATGGATTACACGCATGTGACACGTATAGCAAGTTTAGATATTGGAATATTGTACAATATCATACATTTTATGACTCATTGTTGCTACTAATAATTTTTTGGCTGATGCGACAAGAGTTTAATTTAATTTATTGTTATTAAAAAAAATACTATTAAATCTAATGTCTATCTAAATGGTGTCATTGTACATAATAGACATAAGAATACAATAGCAATATATGAAGTTATTATTACCATTTAACGAATTTGAAGCATATTTAAAGTATGTGAACGCATAAAATATAATACAGAGCATTACTTTAAATGAGTATAAAATTAATATATAACAAGAAATAAAAAAAGGGAATTTGCGGGACCTATAAATCGAACATTGTTCCATTCATTAATTATATTTTATAATTAAAATAATAATTTGATAAAACAAATACATATATCAATAAATTATTAATGTTATGTTGAATTGAGCAAAATATTTCCATCTAAAGTATGTTGTGTATATATAAAATTTGTTTCTATACATACAAATTCGATAATATTAGAGAATTGTTTGCATAAGGAAAATTTAGGTATTTTGTTAATATTTAAAAAAATATGATTCTCTCTTGTATATTTCACACAGAGGATTAACTGTAACACACATCGTAAAAAGTATATAGAAATGTCTCGTATTAACCATTATTACTTTAATAAGTGTAATAATATCTATCAAATACCCCACATATATGTATCAAATGTAAAATGCATTTTTCTGAAATTAAATGCATAAAATTTCAGAAAGTTGTTCTACATAAATCTCGTAAAATTAATGTAGCTAACACACTTCCAAAAATGGCAGTTTTTTCGTAAAATGTTTTTCTGACAATAATTATCTAATGTGTTAGCTGCAAAGTCATAGGGATATTTGATTTATGATTATTATACTAGACATTGAAGAAACGAAATATTCATTGTGAATACATTGTGTCTGTGTACACAATATATTTATGTAAATATCGTAGAATATAGTAAAATTTTCTTTTTCAATTCAGTCTGATTTTTTTATAATCATTCATTTATTAACCCTCTAAATTACTTTTTGTGAAGGGTTCACAACTTTATACAGTTGTTAAGTAGGCCCTGTCTTGTGTATAAAATTTATCATGTATGTTTAATAAATGACTTATACATAAAACATTTTGCCTATTTTTTACTATTTTTCATTTTATTTATTATATTAGTAATTTATTATGTACACAAGATAAAATTTAGGATGAAAATTTCCTTCATTATAAATAAAAATGTAATTACTTATCTACTGCGTTCACAATAATACCTAAGTTCTATATCGTACTGACAAACTAAATAAATTAAAAATAAAATATCAAAAATAAATTAAAATATTAAAATAGTTACCTTTATATCAAATTGTGCGTGAACTAAACTTTAAAAATGTTTAGAATATCTTAATAAATTATTTATACTTTAGAAAGCATATCTTTTGCAGACTTTATTTAAATTTGTCATTAATAATCACAGTGATATTAATATTATTATTATTTTATTAGCTTCTACTAGAATAAATTATTTTTAAAACGTAAAAATATTCACTGACGAATATATATAAAGCGACTTTTATGTAATTTGAATAGTACAAAAGAGGATATGAGAAAAAGTCTGATCAGAAAGATTCGATTGACGACTTTATATGTATAAATTATTGTGTAACACATTTAAATTATAGATAAGCACAGATATGTGATGCTTAATCAAGAATCGAGTGTGTGCAAAGAGAGAAAAAAGAGAGAAAATAAATATTATTTAGGTAGAATCACAAATATATTAGTCAGTCCTTATGTGAAACAGCAAACTAATTAACTTCAGAAATAGAATACTTCCTAATACTTCCTAAATAAAATATATTGCAACATATTTATATATATTTTAATTATATGTTAATCATATAGTTAATATTATTTTATTTAATAAAATTTTAGTACAATATCAAATACAATATTGCAATATTGAATTCATACACAATTTTAGGAATTTTAGGAATATATTTTAAATGAAAGATTTTTAAAAATTAAACAATGCTTTTTTCATTACCAATATGATTTATCAATTTCATTACCAATATGTTATATATATATATATATATATATATATATATATCAATTAATTGTATATATACATGCATATATATAATTGTATATATACAATTAATTATTGTGTTTCATTTTAGTGTTATTTTTGACCTTATAACATAATAATATAATAATAATAATAATCATAACAATAATAACTTTACAAACAATATATGGAGCGATAAAACCCCATACAATTTTTAATTAATATCATTCTAAACATTCATCTGAACATTTTACGTTCCGCGAACAATCTAGATGCTGTGAGACAAAAGAAGTAGGAATGTCAACAACTAAAATTGGCCGTAATATACATATTTATCCTAAAAGATCATTTCTTTTAGATCTTGATTTTTTTTCTATCAATTTATGGAAAATAAATATTCTATAGAATATATATATAATAAAAATTATATATTTTCTTTTTTAAATCTTGTTTTAACATAATTACCTCTATCTAATCTACCTCTTGAATATAATTTTCTAAATCTTATATATTATGATATATTCATTTTTTTCTCTTTATAGAAAATGTATATCTCTCTATGAAAAAGTGTTAATCGCAGGCCTGCATTAATGTTACAATAAAAAATCAATATAAATCTAATATCTTATCATAGACGCAATTCTCTCACTTATTTTTTTCAATTAACGTTTTACGAATCGTCAAATTTGTGAAAGCAAAGTCAATAATGTAATCAAAATCAGAATCAAGAGTTAAATGCTAATAACTAATACATGTAGCAGAGCGAGGCGTGGCACAGTAGGCAACGCACTAGCCTAAAAACCAAAAGTTTCGGGTTTGGTTCCCTGTAATACATGCAGCGAATATTATTATCTAACATACTTTACAAATTTCACCAAATTTTCTTCTGTGCTTTTTTTGAAATTTTCTTCTGTGCTTTTTTTTGAAGATTTTCCTGCGCCACCTTGATGGCTAGGTTTCTAAATTTCTTTCCAAGTTCTTATAAATTTTGCACCATTATTCATACGTAATAGTATAACATTATGTTATTAAGGCAATTTTTGGTCGTTTTGGTATCTAGCTGGTTGATACCATGTTATACCAAAAATGAAATAGGATATTATGTACCAGAATATTATGAAAGTTTTCAAAAAGAAAATCTTATATATAGATTTAAAATGTATTAATATTTATCATAATTAGAAAGATATAATACAAATGTAATTTTTTATGAAATATAATAACTTAGACAATTTACATTATATGTAATATTTTTTAAATATTTACATGTATTAATCTTAAAAACAATCTTATTATAATGATATGCTTATTTATTTGTTATATAGAAGCTAATTTCTTTTTATTTCTTACCCTACTAATTTACAAATGCTGCAAAATATATATTGAAAATATGTAATATTTATTTTTATAATAAGATATATATATGTATATTTTATTGTAGTATACATTTTCCATAGAGAAAAAAAGGAATATACCATAATATATAAGATTTAGAAAATTATATTCAAGAGGTAGAATTATGTTAAAACAAGATTAGAAAAAGAAAATATATAATTTTCATTATATATATATTTTACAGAATATTTATTTTCCATAAATTGATAGAAAAAAAATCAAGATCTAAAAGAATGATCTTTTATGTAGGATAAATATGTATATTACTTTATTGATTATACAAACATAATATTATTATTATGACTGCATGATGCATTTTGATATATGTCACATAAAATAAATGTCTAAATTATCATATATATTTTATGGAAAATTGCATTTTTATTATACATCTCTGATCAAATTTCAATAAATCCTAATTATATACATTACTCTTATAAGATGTTATCTTATAACTAATATATATTAGAAACGAAAAATATTACATTCTTCCTTTTTTTTCTTTTTTTTAGAATAAAATATAAACTTTTCAAATATCCCATATGTAAATTCTTCTTCTTTTTCCCCTCTCACTATGAATTTTCCATTCATATCTCTTATAATAATTTTTAATTAAAGCAATATAATTTAATAAGATATTTTGAAATAATAAAGTAAATATATTTTTCATCTTACTTGATAACAATCTATTCGAATTTATTTTTTATAAACAAAAAGAAATGATACAAAATAACAAAAACTGATATTGCTTAACTGTGTGTGCAAACTTCATGTATCTTATAAATTATATATTATTAATTATATATTTTTAAACACACGTTATGTAAATAAAGATAAACTAAAATTGCCAAACTTTATGATTAAACGTACGGCTATACTACTATAGAAAATAATTTACATGTATATTATTGGCAGATCTTATGATAACTATGTAAATTATAATTGTTTATAATAATGTTTGTTATAACTACATACAATTACACCAATCTTTGTAGCTAATTTTTGTCGTCAAAAAAATATGTTACAATATCCTAAATATTGTTATTATTCTTACATGAGAAAATTTATAATAAAACTGTACATCAATGGGTTGCCACATGCTCCTGCAAGTCCTCCAACGTGCGAAATGGCTTGTCACATAACTGACATACATGAGCATTTGCGTTGTGTATGTCTAAATGTTCCGCCAGGTCATCTTCCACATCAAACAATTCGTCGCAAAGCATACACTGATATTGATTGATGACTCTCATTCCTTGCTTCTCCCATTCCGCTATCGCAACTTCTTCTGCGTGTTCCTGCATATGTATCTCCAATGACATTTCCGAATCGAACGCTTCTGAGCACTGACCACAGCAGTAGGATTCTACTTCTTTCGTTTTATTGCTCTTGTTATCCTGATTTATGCTAATCAAATTGGGATTGTCGTCTTCATCGTCGAATAAATGTTTACCAACGTGCTCTTCTAATGCTTGATCCGATTCCAGTGTGTCGCCGCAAATAGCACACTGGAATTGTTCTTTGCTGTTGCTCTGCTCCCCTTCGCTCAGATCATCGCAATGTTTCTGCAAATGATCCTTCAACACTTCTTCGTCCGTGAATATTTTATCGCATACAAAACAGGTATATGTTTCCTTATACCTTTCTGCGATATTGTCCGCGCTATCGAGTTTTACTCCGGTACTGGTTACCTTGTCGGACTGGATATCAGATTGATTATTCTTCTCGGTTGATAGATTCTGCGTTTTCATTACGGTCTCAGTACCCTGATCGTCTTGCGGTATTGCGGATTGTGTCGTTTGCGATACGTCGACAGTGCCAGATTTCTTATTCCCGATCGCATTTACTATGTTGAATTCCGATTGATCGTGGCTTTCCAAGTGCCGCACGAGAAGCTTCTCTGTCCGGAACATGGAATTACAGACGTAACACTTGTGAACCTCTGTCGCTGTTTTACAGATATGCGACTTGACAAAACGAGCCTCGACTATCTCGTGACACCTCTTGCAACGCATCATTTTCTGCTTTTGTCGCGGTAGTGTCGCTGCTGCATTCTCATTTTGTAATGTTACGACTTGTGTAACATTAGCGCTTGTCATAATCTTGTGAGTACGAACATGCGCCTCTACTTCCTTTCGACTGTTAAATGTGAGTGCGCATACTCCGCATATATGATTCTCGGTTATAGCACCCTCTATTCTGATTGCATCTTCGTAATCGGCCTTCTGTTCGTTCGTTGACTTTTGCTCGACTAAGAGAGGAGTCCATTTAGCGCCATTATCCATAACTTTGACGATCGAATTATTTTCTATCCGTTTGACAGGAGTAACAATCTGCTTGTTCGTCCCCGGTGATTTTTTCCTTCCTAAATTTCCGTGTGTTCTTGCGTGTTCAGGCGAAGTTTTGGATGCTGCTTTGGGGGAGATCATGTTGCTCGAATTTTCGGAATCGGATTCCAACGCAGAAGTATTGTAGTCGTTGTACCTTATTGGTGGTACAATTTGACGTTTACGAGAAATTAGGTTGATGGATCCGCCGTGACTGCTCCCTCTTGATGCGGCCTGTTTTAAAACGTGAAGGTTATTGATCTTATAGAGTTTACTCTCTTTTGGTATATCTAAACGTTTAATTACAACCTTCGGTTGATATTTGGGTAAATTCATAGCCGCTTTCGTAAATGTTGGCGAAACCTTTGTGAACCCGCACGTGTCATCTGCATTTCTGATGGAGGTCTCGATATTCTTCTTTATAGATCTTTCGATTATACCTTTCAATTTCTGATCGAGCTTTTGACGAGAAACCGCGCTGACGTCGTCCAATTTATCGGGGAATAATGTTTTCGCAACGCTATCATTTGTGCCAAATATCCTGTGCTTCATTTCCTTCTTAACAAAATCTGCCAATTCAACTTGTACACGTTTCAAAATTGATAATTGATTACCTTCTACCTCAATATTTAAACATCTCTCAACAGATTTGTTATCTAATTTGATATTTGCATCAAGCATTATGGGATTATTTACTCTACGCAATTGAACCGCGTCGATAATATCAGTATTTTTTTCCCGATTGTCATCGACATTAGAATTCCCAGAATCCTTCGTTATATTATTCGAGCTTTCTTTATCCGCGGCAATCAACATTGATGTCACAGCATATGTAACATCACCGATTACAAGCTCAGATTTCAACGTGCACGGCGTAAATGGCTCATCGTCAACTTGTGATTCGGGTTTCTTTACGTCCGTCGTAATATTATTTTCTAACAAAACTGGAGAATTCTCCTGTTCTATTGAACTTTCTAAAGAGGATATATTTTTCTCAACGTTTTTCTTATAAGTTGGGCTCAATGAATTTGTCTTATCTTGTCTTACTATGTCTTGTCTTGTCGATTGTAAACTCAATCTCGTTCTGCGTGTGTCAGAGTCTGTGTCTCTGTCACGAATCGCACTATATTTCTCTGTAAGATTCATTTCTAGATTTTTTAGCACTTTTGCGATCCTCTTTTGTCTTTCCGCCTCCTTATCCGCGTTATTTTTCGCTCGTGCCTTTTGTACAGGTGATAATTGTGTGTCATCGGAAATTATGGAATCTGTGTCAGATATATTCTCACCTGTCGCGGCCAAGAGCGCTTTTTTTCTCTCTACCCAACGCTTTGTGGATGCCTTCCTTCGCTCGATATTTCTGCCGCGTCTCGGAGGTAATAATCTAGTTCTCATTGGCCCTGAAGTTTTACTTTCTGTATGTACTTCCTTACTGCCATTTTCTGCAGTTTTTTTACTGTTATCAGAATCAACTTTGCGAGAGGACTCCTTCGACAAAGTTGGTCCTTCAATTTTATCCTCATCATCTGATAAACTTATTACATCTAATATAATCTGGCCAGTATCACGATCAACATTTATGAGCTCTGATGAAGATACATCTGCTTTAGACTTTTTCTGAAATAAAAAAAGCAGTCAGATCATATTTTATGATTGATAGCAAAAATAATTCTTAGATTAACTTAGCTCAATAATTCCATCAAGCATTCAACAAAATGTTATATAATACTGTTGTTATTAATTAATATAAAAATAACATTATTACAAAACAACTGAGTGATTATGTAAAAACACCTTCTCATTATCAGAAATGCTATCTTCGCTTCTATTCAAATGTTTCCTTTTCATATTTTCTGTCGCTGTTTCATCCTTATGAGAATCCTTAACCTAAGATAAAAACAAAAAATGAAGGGAAATTGCACGAGACTAACAAAATGTAATATAAAATACACAAATTAACTTACAGAACCAGAAATATCAGACATTTCCGATATTTCTAATTGTTCCAAAAGAATCTTATTGGATTGTATAAATTGTTCCTTGAACTCGCTCCACATATCCAGCTTATACAAGCATACATGGCATACGACACTGGGTAGATTCTCCTCGTACTTGACCTGTTGTTAAGAAATGGAATAAGCATTCGGATGGATCGGTACAAGTATCAATGTGAAAGAAATGTCAAGGTAAATACATCTACATAAATACATCTTCAAAACCTACATCGATACAGGTGCACTTGGTCAGGTCCTTGAGCTTGGCCTCCACAATCTCGTCGTGCATATCGGTCATGCAACCGTGATCGCTGAGGCAGATGCGACAGCGCTCGGCCATGTTTGACTTTTCCGACATCGTCGTCTCGCGGGGAGTCGAGGTAATTTGGGATATCCTAAGAAGCCTCAATAACGGTCCGAGATACGCGGATACGGCGGCTTTCCGCACATCACCGTCAGTAACCTTAAGTTCGCTCCTTCACGTGACTATGGCAGAAGGCAATTTAACGTCAACAGCGGGCCTGAAATCGACGCCAAGGCTGATAGCACCGCTCAACGAATGACGATCGGCGATATTTCGCGCGGTTGCCGTATCGCTCGGACTCGCTTCCCGCTTCTCGACGATCAAACGCACTCGCGACGATGGCGGGATCCAACCGCCATTGCAAATGGAAACAGGCAAAGCGCGAAGCCCGCAAAAAGGGACCAAAATATGACGCGCCCGATACTCGTAAATGCGTGAATCGTTCGCGCTAAATTCTAGCTCTATCTCAAAACTGCATCGATGTGTGCATGTATATGTTAATACGTACGATACCGCACGGACGAGGTGGCCCTCCCATTGGCTAATTGCGTCGAATTAAAGACGGGTTCTCATCGTTCAATTGTCATCAAGCTTTTGTGTCGGTTACGCGAAATCCGGAATCTATATTATTGGTCGTTGATATCGTTGATATTAATATTTTCGAAAACATTTCCAGACAGTAAAAGACATTTCAAAACTATCTGAAGGACGATAAAATTAATTATACGCGATATTAATTATCTAAGATAATATTTAAAAATACATAATTTTAATTCCATAAATTGAAACTTTTTGAAATTAATAAGTTACTTAAATTCGCTTTTCCTCAGAAGTAAAAATTTTGATAAAAGTATTCTTGAATTTAGATTAATTAAATTTAAAATTAATGGATAAACATATGAAAAAATAATATTGTACAATCTTTTAAAAATAAACAAAATGTAATCTTTTTCTTCCATGTTTAAACGATAACATCTCTGTTATCTGTATCTGATTGACATATGTATAATTCCGAATTTGACACATCGACTGTCGGTATCAATGGCAAATTTTCTAGCAAATTCCATCAAATCGATTATTTGTGCTTTGCTTTGGAGCACGATTACGCAAATCTAGTCCCGAATCTGCCGGCACGCATATCAAGCGATCGCTCGTTTTGCGCAGAATAACACACATAATAACAACAAATAGCACGCGCTTCATTTCCAAAATGTACGTACTTTTGTTGATGTGCATTATATACTTTTTATATTTTCATATATAATTTCTTTGCGTAATTTCCTCTTTTCCTGCAAAGTCACTTCCTGCCTGCATTCGCGCGCTTTATATGCATCGAGAAACTTCTGTGGAATCGAGCATAAATTATTCTTGTCGAACATAAATCGTTTTTACTCCGCGGAGAAAGAAAAGAGATCTTTTTGATTCGACAATTTTGTCTTTTACTTGTAGAATGGCCGAAATAGATCTGTCACCTGCAAAGGACAAGGGTGTATTAAAGGAAATTATCAAGGAAGGAGAAGGAGATGAAACTCCTACAACCGGTTGCAAAGTAAAAGTTCATTATACTGGTACCTTGTTAGATGGAACAAAATTTGATTCCAGCAAAGACAGGGACAAACCGTTCAAATTTGATCTTGGACGTGGCAGCGTTATTAAAGCATGGGACATTGGTATAGCTAGTATGAAAAAAGGTGAAGTTGCTATACTGACGTGTGCACCCGAATATGCTTATGGCAAGGATGGTAGTCCACCATCAATCCCACCAGATGCTACTCTGAAATTTGAAGTAAGTATACAAACATTAATTATGTTAACTATTACCAAATAAATAATTAGTTTAAAATAAAGTGTCAATTTTTAAGGAATCCTTTATATAATGTATTAAGAAAATTTATCTGCATTTATATCAGAGAAACATCTAATAATTAATAAAAAAAGAGAGATATATATATATATGTCATTACAATTCTGATTCTAACATATTTCTTTAGGTCGAGCTGCTTGATTGGCAAGGAGAAGATCTAAGCCCGAACAAGGATAAAAGCATTGAAAGATTCCAGATTGTTGCTGGAAAACCTTATGCTAATCCAGAAGATGGTGCTCAAGTGAACAGTCAGTAGCATAATTTAATATGCTTACATTATTATATATTTATCTTATATATATATATATATATATATATATATATATATATATATATATAAGATAAATATAAGATAAATATATATTCTTATCTCAAACAATTTTTATATGTTTTTAGTACATTTGGTTGGAAAGTATAACGGACAGGTGTTTGAAGAGAGAGATGTAGAATTTACTCTCGGAGAAGGAGAAGTTGTAGGAATTGTAGAAGGTGTAGAAATAGCACTGCAGCGTTTTTTGAATGGAGAGAAATCTAGACTTTTAATTAAAAGTAAATATGCATTTAAGGAACAAGGAAATGCTGAGTTTAATATTCCACCAAATGCAGATGTGGAATATGAAGTAGAATTAAAGAGCTTTGAGAAAGTAATTATTATTTCTAAATAGTAGTATAAGAGTGCTTTTTAGTGATCTTGTAACTTAATTAATCACACATCATTTGTTATAGGAAACAGGCATATGGTCAATGAAGCCAATAGAAAAGATAGAGCAAGCAAAGATACAGAAAGAAAAAGGAACAAAATATTTTACATCCGATAAAATCAATTTAGCTATTAAAGTGTATCAAAAAGTTTTCAAATATTTAGAAACTAAATCGGATTTCGAAGATGATCTCGCGAAAGAGCGAGATAATCTGGCGTTAACTACTCATTTAAATCTCGCTTTGTGTTATTTAAAAACCGATGAGAATCTTTTAGTAAAAGAACAATGTACTAAAGCCTTAGAATTGGATCCTGAAAATGAAAAAGCCTTGTTCAGAAGAGGACAAGCACATCTTAAGCTTGCATCACCTGAAGATGCTATCATAGATTTCCAACAGGTTCTAAAAGTACAGCCGAAAAATACGGCCGCGTCTAAACAAATCTCAGTTTGTAATTACCTTATTAAGAAGCAATTAGCTAAAGAGAAGAAACTTTATGCAAACATGTTTGATAAGTTTGCGCAAGAGGATAAACAGGTTTGTGAAAAACAATAATGATGAATAATCGTTAATGATGAGTAATCAACATAATCTTTTCTTAAACCAAAACTTTATATCAATTGTTGCTGGTTATGAAATTATATTTTTAATTAAAATCATCTCTGCAATTATTTAATGGATGTTTATGGCTATTCATGTTTTAATATTTCAAGGCAAACAATATGCTGTAAAAAATGCATTTGTTATAAATATTATGAATGATATTATAAATATCATGAATATAAAGGCTGATTAATTTAAGCCAATAAATCTTGAAAATAAAGAGTAGCATCTCAGATAATTGTGTTTGTGTTTGACCATAAACCATCAGTAATGTCACAGAAGGAGGAGCAAAAACTGAAGGAACAACCGGATGTGATGCATGGAACTCTAGGAGAATGGGGACAGGAAGAAAGACCTGGAGGTAGAGACGCGACTGCCTTTGAAAAGGAAAATCCTAACATACTTATGCTCAACGCTAATGGTTCTGGTGAATTCAAAAACATGTAAACAATGGCCTTTTTTCTTATTTCTTTACACTGCCCCATGTAACTGCCAGCAAACTGATCTATCTTGTCAAATTTTATTTTCGGTGTCTTTTTAAATACTATTATCTTTACAAAAATTTAACTATGTCTTACACATTGACAAATATACTGAGACTCTGCTAAAATTTTTAAATAATTCTTTTTTATCATCTACATGAATCACAAATTATGTCTCTTTATCAGTGTGTATGATTATTATGCAAAATTTTTTAACAACACATTCTCTTTTTTCAAAGAATGAATAGAGAGTCGAGTATTTCTTAAAGAAAAAAAATCGTCTTATTAATAGAATACAATTTCAAGACATGACTATGTCATGCCTATTGTATTGTGATGTATTATCACATTTTGAATTTGTACAAAATTATGTATAACAATTATGATATCATCAAATTCAAAATATGCCATTCCATTGTACAATGCCATTGTTTTTAAAATTTACTCTAGTATATTAATTAATATGTGTACTACAATAACATTTTAAAAGGATTTAATATGAATTTAGTATGCTCAGATTATTATATACGAATCAGTAAATAAAAATTATCACTTGTGCTTGGAATTATAATTATGTATTTTGTGTAAATTGAAAAAGATATTCAATATTAATAAAAAAGTATATACAGCATTGTTTAGATGAACATATAACAAGTTTAAATGAAAATTTATTATATATTTCATTATCTTATCATAATCTCTCTTCCATATTTATCCATAGTTTTTAATCCATAAAATAATCTTTCTGATTGGGGGGGGGGACAGCATAAATTTGTTAAGAGAATTATGAATTATGAATTTATTTGATATGATACGTCATGTTTTTTATGGATGGAAAATACATATAGAATAATAATCACACTTTCACACATAGCGCATACAATTTCAGTTTGAAGAAATTTTGAGTTTTAATATTTTATATTTTATAAAAAAGAATGTTTTTTATTAGATATTTATAATAAAACTAATATATTTCTTTCATTAATATTATAATAAAACAACCAAAAATATGTTATACATGAGGTACATGAGTTAGAAGATATACATGAGATAATATATGTTGCACTCTTTTTAATTCTCTATAATTTACATCTAAAAGACATTCTTTGAATATTTATAAGTAATTTTGCAACTTCAATCTATTACCTTCAGATAATTAACTGTACACTGATTCTTTTATACAATATCCTTGAGAAAAATTTAATTAACAATTAATAGTTTACATCAATATGTAATTCCTTGATAATTAATTCGATATGCAACACGTACGAGACATTAATTCAGTAATAATTAAAAAAAATTTTTTATTTTCAAAAACACTATCCAAAGATAATCTATCGTGTGAAATAAAATAGGGAAGAAGGGAGCACTATAGGACATTTCGAATAAAAAACAAATTTGTCACTTTTTTTCACATTGAACGCATTTTGCGGTTAGCATTCAGTCAAGAGAAAATGTCACATGAGAGCTTCCGCGCTGTTAACTGTCAAACCTAACACACTATTAATAATTTTCGCTGACTGGTGTAATTATTTTGGCTATATGTCACGCACAAAAATTTAATTTTTCAAGTATTTTATTTTTAAGCAATATATTACCTAAATAAAAATAAGTTATAATTAATGCTTGGAAATTGATTATTATAATGTAAAAACACATTTTATTCAATTTTTAATAATTTTTCCAATTTTCACGTGTAAATAATGCGATTTGAAGATTAAACTTATTCAGTCGTTGTTGTCTAGACATGCACTTGATACGTTGGCTGAATGAGACAATGAGATAATAAGATATATACACTTATTCGATATAGCAATGTATTTATGATTATCCAAGCCATCACAATTGGAAATTGGAAATTGGAAATTTTCCGCAATGCGTCGATTACTAACGTGCCGAGAGAAACTGGCATTTATCCAGAATGATAAAACTTGGAATAATGCTCAGATAATTGTGATGCAATTTTACATAGAGATAATTGTGGATACAAATGCGATAAGAAAAGCGATACAAAGAAAGAAAGAAACAGAATTTTATAAACCACCAGGAAAATGCTTTAAATATACACATTATTCAATACTATAATACGTGTATATTTGTAGGATTTGGCAAAATATTCCTTAGCAAGTCGAGAGAAATAAAAAAATGTTTTATTTTTTTTAATTAAAATTCTATAACGACAAAAACATGTATATATGAGTTTCGCGTAAACTTTGATAAAATAGTTTCGAGAAATAACTGCCCTAGATCAGATTATCCCCTATATTTCGGTGCAGTGTACACGTATATATTCTAAAGCACCCACCGATTGCACCGCCCTGGTTCAATAAGGAAAAAGAAAGAGAGAGAAAGAGAGAGAGAGAGAAAGAGGGGAGAAAAAGAGAGATAAAAATAGCCCTCTCTCCGTTGCAAGTAGCGTCTCAGATAAGGTATATACTTTAAACTGGACGTATCTGGGTGTACCATCCAGTGTAGGCAAGAACGTTGAAAGAACGTTCTCGCGAATTTGAGTCTCGCATTCACGGTGCGAGAGAACAAAGTCGTCTGCTAAAGAGACAACTAAAGGAGATAGGAAATATCCACATTCGCCGAAATGCCCAACATAATAAATGACATAAAACTGGACTTTAAGGATGTGTTGCTGCGCCCGAAACGGAGCACGTTGAGAAGTAGAGCTGACGTGAGTGTCATATTTATATAATTGGCGTAAATTAAAATCATTTCCGTTCGTTGCTGCCTTTGTTTGTACAGTAGTCTCTGTCAGACTGAAAAAATGCAACGATTAGAAGCGCGTTATCTATTGAGATAACTTGAAATGTATCAAAGTGTATCTGAAAATATTTGTAATCTTTCATTTAAATTTACCATTTAAATACGTCGATGTGTATGTAGAGTATAAAATTTTAGAGAAAGAAAAAGAAAATTATAATTTCTTATATTTGTTTGTCCTGTAAAAAAATTATTTACACAGTTTTCAAATTTATTTCAATCTATATAAAAATTTTCATGATTATATCATTTTCTGTTAATTATTTGTTAAATTAGAATTTTATATTGATATAAAAATTTTATATTTTTATAACATAAGAAAATTGATATAATACTTTTATATATATTTTTATGATCATGTTTCCACAATTACAATTTAACATATAGATATATATTAAAAAGAAATATAATAATTTATATTTCAGGTCGATCTTTTTAGAGAAATTACATTTCGCAATTCTAAACAAACATACAGAGGAATTCCTGTAATGGCATCTAATATGGATACAATTGGAACATTTGAAATGGCAAAAGCTTTATCAAAGGTATAGAATAATTTAATAATTTTAGAATATATTATTTATTATATATATATATATATATATATATATATATATATATATATGAGAATTTCTCTAGCCGTTCGGAATCGGTATTAAACTGTAGGCCCCATATACGTAAAATAATCTGATGCAACACAGGTATATGAAAGAGAGATCACCATATTCAAAATCGAACGAAGGACTGGGAAGAATATATATATATATATATATATATATATATATATATATAAGCTTATTCTATTATTATTAATGCTTATCTTTAACGAATCTAGATTTTATCATATATATATATATATATATATATATATATATATATATATATATATATTCAAATAACAAAAAACAATAAATATCAAATAAATATTAATAACATATTAAGATGATTATATGAAATATATATATATATATATATATATATATATATAATATAATATAATACACAGCATCATATTTATTATGTACATTTTTTTAGCATGGTCTTTTTACTACAATCCATAAGTATTACACTGCAGATGAATGGAAAAACTTTTGCACATTAAATCCCGATTGTATAAAGAATATAGCAGTCAGTTCAGGAACTGGAAACGAAGATTATGAACGACTTTCAAGCATTCTAGAAGCCGTGCCGGAATTATTATTTATATGTATAGATGTTGCAAATGGATATTCGCAACATTTTGTTGAATATGTAAGAAAAGTAAGAGCGCGATATCCAAATCACACTATAATTGTAAGTAATTGATTGTTTCTTATCAATTTTAACTAGAAATATACATTTAGTGATTTATTTGGCTATTTGAGTACTAATTTCTATAATTTACATTTAAATGTAAAGATTAATTGCTGCCGCTAAGGCAGGAAATGTTGTAACAGGAGAAATGGTGGAAGAATTAATACTTTCTGGGGCAGATATAATTAAAGTAGGAATTGGTCCAGGTTCTGTATGTACAACGCGGATGAAGACTGGTGTGGGCTATCCCCAATTAAGTGCTGTAATTGAGTGTGCAGATGCGGCACATGGCTTAAAGGGGCATATTATCGCTGTAAATATTCTATCTTGTTATAAATTGGCATGAACGTAATTGTACGATTTTTTGTTATCTTTTATTTTTATTTATATATTAATACTTTTTATTAACACTTCTTACAGGATGGTGGATGTACTTGTCCTGGAGATTTGGCAAAAGCGTTTGGTGCTGGCGCGGACTTTGTCATGGCAGGTGGAATGTTTGCGGGTCATGACGAATGTGGGGGCGAAGTTATAGAAAAGAATGGAAAGAAATTGAAACTCTTTTATGGAATGTCATCCAATACAGCTATGAAGAAGCACACTGGTGGTGTTGCAGACTACAGGTAAGAACTATTATCACACAGTGCTATAAATGCGATATGCTAAGATAATGAATAGGAAATTATTTACGTACATTTTTATATACGCAGATCTGCAGAAGGGAAGACTGTCGAAGTGCCTTATAGAGGTTTAGTCGGAAATACTGTGCTGGATATATTGGGTGGCTTAAGATCCGCTTGCACTTACACAGGAGCCGAGCGTTTGCGCGAACTACCGCGACGAGCGACATTTATACGCTGTACGCAACAATTAAATCCTATCTACGGTCCGCCTCCAGAAATGTAAAGCATTATATAATTATTAAATTATGCTCTCTTTAGAGAAAGCTTAGGAAAGAAAGTTTTAAACGTCAATATCTGTTGATCGCATATTATTTGCTGGCGAATAATATTTATAAAATGGCCGAAAATGCCATCTTATATACTAAAATGTTTATCACTTACTGATAGCATCCAAATATTACGAATTAATATTAAATATGCTCAAAAGTGAAAAAACTATATACATTAATCTTTCATGCACAAAAATATACAATTTCGTTATGTTAAATGCTATTTTGCATCATTGAAGATATATATGCTTTTATTTTAATTATACATATATATATATATATATATATATATATATATATATAATACAATAAGAAAATAAAACGAGATATTTTTTAAATTATATTTCATATTTAAACAACGAATGTTATTATATTCTATTTATATTTTTGTTGTTATTTTTTATTATAAAATTTGAATATTTATGTATTACAAACTTTGCATTAAATGTGCCCTACATCTATATAATACACTTTGCCTATATATAATACCTTAAAGAATTTATTTATATGCAAAAATTTTTCATATTGTATTTGCTTCTCTTGATCAGAGAAACTGGAAAACTTTCTGTTGCACCTGTGTTCCCTGAAACATTTGCCAATGTCAATTAATTACATGCATAAAAAGTATAAAATTAGAGAAAGTATTTTAACTAATAAATAAGATTGAGTATATCTTCGCGCATTCAAAAAGAAGAAAGAAAAATATTATATGCTATTATAGTAAAACAAAAGAAATAAAGTTTAAGCATAAATTTTATTCTTTCTATATAATTCAAGATAATAAAAATAGCAATAACATAAGCGCAGTAACATTATTGCTATTTTCATTAACTCAAATAATAGAGACAGAATAAATTTTCTTTGTCTTTCACTATAAAAAGCAGCACATATGCAAGTCCATTTTGTATTTAACATCTTATTTCAAATATTTCTCAAGTAATGTGATAAAAATTTATTACAAATGTCTTTTAATTGGATAATGAGATAAATATATTCGAAATAATGCCACAGAAGAATTTTAAATGAAAACATAAATTGTTTTATTAACAAATATTAATGCAATTGCATTAAGAATATATAAATAATAATAAAGAAAAATATTATTACATATTTGAAATACACATATTTTCCATGTTACATTAAAAATATAAGTAACAAAGCCAAACAAAAATTTATATTAAATAATTCCTATTTAATTTTTATCGAAATCCTTATTAAAATATTAAATTCTTTAAATATCTTTCAGAATTTTTCATGTCATAAGTTCTTTCAACTTTGTAACTTCAAATAAATATTAAATGGTATCTTGTATAATTATTCATTACTTTGCCCTTTAATGCATTGTATAAAAATAAAGTAAAAATACATGATTAAAAAAATAACTAATTATTACATCAAATTTCTTTTTTTATCAAGGAAAACTAAATATGTATACAAAAATCTATGAATATGTTACTATTTATGGATATAATATATTTAGAGACTCTAAATATTAGATATTTTGCACAAGTTTTTTTGCTTGGAAATTTTTATGCATAAATTGTTTCAGAAATTTTATTGATTTACTGTAAATAAAAGATACTATAAAATCAAAAAGTATATTAGTCGAGTTTTATTTAGTGAATGAGATGTAAATAGACAACAGCTTTTTCTCTAATTAACATCATTCTACATCAACTAAATTTTACACCACAATCTTACTTTGATGCAAAATATTAAAAATAAAATTTATGCAAAGAGATAATATGTATATTATTTTATACAATTTTTATAATTTTTGCAAGTTGAATTTAAATTTACCACAAAAAATTTGTAATCATAATGAAAAATAGTCCACTTCTTTTTTTTGATACATCTTGTGTATTCCACCTTTGACATATCCTGTATTCATTCTAAATTATTTTAAGAGAGAATTTGGTATAGTAATAAAGGCATACAAAAATTTGATATTTTACAAATGACTATAGTTAGTCTTCCAAAACTTAATTATTCAGATAAATAAAAATTCAATATATTTCATTACAGTATGTCATGTAAAACTGGTACACGTAATACTGGTTAAGCAAGATTTAGGATACGATATTGATAAATTATATATATTCTACATTATGTATTATATATATCCCATCCAATTAATCTCCAATTTGCAGGTCCTGATTCCTTCAAGTGTGTACATGTAGATTAGTGCTGAATGAAACATTTTAAACTGTAGATCCTCACATGGCTTATTGTAGGACGGGTAAACTTCTCTAATTGGCCGCTCCAAATATCTAAAAATAGTATTGGCATTTCACGAGAGAAAGCAAAAAAAAAAACAAAGTAAAATTGTATTTAACATCAGTGCAATAAGACATATATAAATTGTCATGTCATGTATCTTTCTGTATACATAATGTGGGTAAAATAATGTTCATAGGTATTGAAAAGACATATAACATATATAGTGACTGTATCGATTACAGTATTTTGTATAATAAATATTTGTAATTATAATGGAACACGAATATTTCAAGTAAATAAATATCTTGTCAAGACATATCTTATCAAGACATAAATAATGAATTATATAGTGCTACAAAATATTCCAGTATTATTCATAACGCATTTATAAGGATATAATTTAACAAGTTTAATAAGAGAGAGAAAGAGAGAGGATGCAATAAAATGGGTATAGATGTCGATCCCTCGTTCCACTTTCTGATCCGCTGCTTCACACCTGCCAGCTTCAACTTATATTACAATAATACATGTTATGGAACAAAAATACATACAATAAGTATAAGTAGAACACAGATATCATTATTGATACTATATTATAATATTAATTCTTTTCAATCAAACATGTTGTTTGATACTTTTTGTTACTTAAACTTAGAACGATGGATATCCTATTATATATGTATATGTATATAAAAAACACATGAAACATATTATAGTATAAACAGAATATAATCGATTTTCAATGACATTCTCAAAGATATATGAAGATTATGAAGTCAACTATTTATGATAAAAGTTATATGGAGATATAGCAGGTATTAACCGTATCCCGATGGAAAGCTATCTGAAAACTATCTGAAATAAACAAATAATTATGATAAAAGAGATGATCAGTGTGTATAAGAAACAGATTTTATTTCAAAGGTGTAGAATGTATCATTATTTAAATCATTACATGAAAGAAAGTCACGAAATTATCATAGAAATTTTATATTTTTTAAAATTCAAATTCCCTGAAAGAGATTCAATGAATATCAATGGATAACATATCCTTATTCTTACACCATTGATTTATAGCATATCGAAATATCAAGCCAATATAAAGATAATATTGTATAATATTGTGTAGTATTGTATAAATTATCAAGACAAATAAGATTGTTCAATAATTGTTCAATAATTAAAAATTTTAAATATATAGTACACATATATATATATATATATATATATATATATATGTGTGTGTGTGTGTGTGTGTGTGTGTGTCTGTGTATGTACTACTTCTTGTTATATTAATATATGTGCAAAAGCAACTTCAACTTCATATTGGCTTTTTGATATAATGATAGCATTCAAAAAAATTGTATAAACTTTCGTATAAAATTTTTACAAACAATAATTTTGAATAGCATTATTAAATACATTATTGAATTGTTATTCATTGGAATTAAAATTTTCACACATGTAAAGTTTTCATTATTGCTAAAATAAAATATATAAACTTACTAGTCATTTTGATCTAATATGTCATTAAAATATTGCTTCATACAATTTTCTGTATGCCTATATATTAAATATATATATATATATATATATATATATATATATATATATATATATATATTAAATGAAAATTACTTACAGCTTATCTTTCTCTCAAATGGAAGTTTAATTCTCAGAAGTAGATTGTGAGTAAGGATAATTCTGATACCCTGTTGGGAAAGAAGGATTTTGCTGTCCCGTTTGTGATTGAGAATTAGATCCAGCATTTGCTGCATAATAACCACCTGGTGCGGAACCAGTGTTCATTGTTGGATAACTTCCATAAGTTTGAGGAAATGCGTTGGGCGTAGTACCTGGTGGACCAGCCGATTGTCCTTGCAGAGTCTGCATTTGTTGTTGAGTCATTTGGTTTCCTTGCATTCCAAGCTATATAATATCGCATAACGTTAAAGTAAGTAACAAACAACAAAGAACATGTGTAGTACTTCAAGAAAAATACCTTGCCCGCCTTCATTTGAGCTTCTATCGCTTCGGCTTCTTTAATTTTACCGATGCTTCTGTAATATTCCGCCCACTGGACGCTATAATCAGCCTGACCTCCATTTTGTGCGGCGCCCGGTTGCTGTTGTTGCTGAGTTTGTTGTTGTTGTTGTTGTTGTTGTGGCTGGCTTGGTCCAGCAGAACCCGTTGTTGCTGGATTAGATTGATTTTGCGAATTGCCTAAAATATAATTATAATTTATAATTATAATATATATAATATATAATTTATCCAATCTAATAGTTCTACAAAGATTAATCATAAAATTTTTTATGTATCTTTTCAACAAATATTATTATAAAGATTCTTGTACCTCCTTGTTGATTATGATCTTGTTTTCCTTGTTTTGCTTGTTGTTCAATCATGTCTGCTTCTCTATGCATACCTAATGACCGATAATACTCAGCCCATTGAGCACTGTAGTCTGGTTGACCGGTCTGCGGATTAACTTGTACAGGAGCTTGATTAGTATTACCTGCAAAAGCAAATTTGCTGTATAACAAATACGAAATTTACCGCCTTACATGTTACAAGAAATACATAAGACCATACTTCCATCATTGGACTGTGGCTGGCTTGGCCATGCTTGATACCCTGTATTCCAATTTGGATTATATCCAACTGCTCCTTGTGCTCCAGCATATGAAGAACTTGCTGGACCCTTTAAATAATAAATGAAAAAGTAATACATACACACATACACACATACACACACACACACACACACACACACATATATATATATATATATATATATATATTTTATATATATATATATATATATATATATATATATATATATTACTTATATAAAAATACTTATACATAGAGATAATTATATTAAGCGTACCATGCCCAATTTTTCACTAAATATTCTCTTTGCATGTTCAACCTGTTCAGGATTACCCCGAATAATGAAAATTTTTTCATTTTCATTACTTTGATTCCTTCTATCTAACTCGCAATGTGCTCCTGTCTGTTGGTTAATTTGTTTGATAGTCTCACCGCCTAAAATTAAAATAAATTTTAATGCAAGATAATATGTTAAAAATCGAGAAAATAAAACATTAATTAAACTTATTAAGTGTATTAAGCATTAAGAGTAAAATTATTCAAAAAATTAAAAACTTTAACAATGTATACATTGCACAATTAATTAAAACAAATAAAACAATAAATAAAAAATAAAACCTTTGCCAATTATAATTCCACATTTAGAAGATGGAACGGTGAATGTTGTTTCAATTTTATCTTGTATAGGACCACCTTGTCGCCTATCCCAAGTTCCATATTCATTTGGATTGCGATTGTTACCAAATCCATTACCTCTCACACCACTTCTGCCTCCTACATTATTTCTACCATCATCTCTTCTCTAAAAATACAAAAACACTTCAAGATTAATATTTTTAAAATAAATGCATCAATAATAATAATAATAATAATTAAGAGGAATTATATTATTATGTGTTGTTAATAAAAATATATAGATTCTACATTCATATATGAAATTATTTGATTTTAATACAATATATACCATGACGCTGTCAATTAGCTCTTGAATTCGTTGACGAGCTTGTTCAACAGCTTGATGTTTTCCTGATAATAAACATTTTCTGTCACCGGGACCATCTTCTCTTCCTTGTTGAAATTGAACTTTAGCTCCGCTTTCTGCTTGAATCTTTTTTATCATATCTCCACCTTTTCCAATAACAACACCAACTGCTGCTCTTGGAACAAGTACCTATATTAAAAATGATAATATATTATAAAATTTTAGATATACAAAATTCTCTATCTATGATTAAATCCTAATTTAACAAAATTTTATTAATTTTAATGAGATTATTAACCTCTACTCCATCACTATTTGCAGGGCCATGATTAAAACTGCTATCATTAGAATAATTTCCTGTTCTTTCAGTACCTCTTCCTCCTCTATGAAACATTTGCATTTCTTTTTCAGCTATTAACTCATAAACTAATTGTTTTGCATATTCAACCTTTTGAGGGTCTCCTGTTATTCTATACAAGAAAGGGATATCGACTTTAAATAATTATGCAATATTGTTTTGAGAGATAAAATTAGAAGGGGCAATTATTTCTAGTTAGAAAAAAGATCTTTGTGTTTTACCTTAATGGTTTTTCTTGTTCCTGAGATGGTCCTTCTTGAATAACAACCATTTTAGCCCCAGATTTCTCTTGAAGTTGCTTTATGGTTTCTCCTCCTTTGCCAATAATCAGACCAACTTTAGGACCTGGAATCATTATTTCAACAAATCCTGGATGGATCATTCCTCCATTACCACCACTAGCACTGGCACTGCTCATATTTATATCACCAATTCCCTCACTTCTGCTTCTTTGATTTACTATCGACAACACAAGCTCCTTTGCTCGGCTGAAACACACAGAATGCAAGTGTGCAAAATTTTTTTCAATCAAAGATGCTTTACATGTCAAGATTTAATCATTATACAACAATAAAATTTGTTTGCAACACATAAATATGCAATATCTATTGTGGGCCAAAATGTTGTATATCATACGTTTGTAACATTTTTTTTAAGTAACCAATAATTTTTTTCAGATAATGCAATAAAAGATTTTGAGGCTTCAAAGGTTTTGTATTAAAATTGCTATAGAAATCTAATTATAAACAATATCAGAAATATAAATAAAATTTTCTCTTGATGTTAACACCTCTCCATGCATATCCTATCCTCCTTCCTTCCTTCTCTTTTTCTCCCTCTCTTTCTCTCTCTCTTTCTATTTTTCTCCATACCCTATTAAAAGCAAAAAACTATTAGTAAATACAAAATTATTAAATCAAAAGATCAACTCATTGATCAATTTTCAATGATCAGAAATTCTGAAGCGTACAGAAAGTTTGAATCCGCTCTATTGCCATCCAGGAGCTAAATAAAGATTCTGTAAAACACTTCATAATTTCAATATGCAAAAGCATATGTCCTATATTTGTAAAACGCACACACATGTTAAGATAAAATTGTAGTGTATAAAATACAAACTATTATAAGAATTAACCATATCCCAATCACGTTCTAATAACTAGAGTCATAAAGCAGTGTGCAATATTTATGTATTATGGTCAATACACATCACAGTTTTGATACAAAATGATTCAGTTGCGATTCAAGGAATAAAGAGATGGGAATGTAGTAAAAAGATTCATACTTAAATAAATTAGAATAAAATATCCCTGTATAAAAATTTAAGGAGGATAGCAGATTTGCTTGGCTGATTTATATACAATTTTGGCAGGTAAGTATTTTTCACAAGACCCAGTCTATAAACGAGGAATTAAGAACCATATTTCACTTCAATAGTAAAATAAATACATTCGAGATTAAGAGATGATAATAAATTCTAATCATTCATCATATACATACACACACACACGCACACGCGCGCGCGCAGACCCACACACATACACACACACACACACACACACACACACACACATATATATATATATATGTGTATATATAAATGTGGTATATTGCATTGCATACAAAATAGTTAAAATTAACGAAATAAGAAGGGAAAAACAAGTTACTTGACAGCTTCTCTCGAACCAGTTAGCGTACAGACACGTTCAGGCAGTCCGCCGCTTTCTGGTGCCATTTGTATTTTACATCCTGTTTCACTTTGCAATCTTGTTATTTGTTCTCCACCTCTGCCAATTACTGCAAATATATTACTATCACTTAAAAACAATTATATATTTATAATATATATAATATGTTCCTACTATTGCATTTCAATGAAAAATAATTTTAATATAAAAAAATTATATCAATAGCATTTCTAAGAAACAATATATAATAAATGGTTATATAAATGAATATTAAGATATTAATGCTTAAATTATCACATATTTAAGCAGTAGCACTACCATATAATAAATAATAAAATAAGAATTATAATATAACAAAATTTTGAAATTGTTACAATATGTTTTATGTATACAACATATTGCAAAATATTACAACATATATTGATATAAAAAGTATAGAGCAATAATAAAATCTATACTATCGTTTTACTTACTTAAACCAACCATTTTGTCTGGAACTCTGATATCTTCATTACATATACCACCTACACTGGAAGAAACTGGTCTAGATCCTTGACTACTTGAATCACTGATAGAACTGCCTGTAGGACCTCCACGAATGCCTATTAAAGAATCTGATACTAACGATGCCATTTTCTTTGCTTCTGGCTCTAAACATACAAAATATAATGCATATTAATAACTCCAAAATATAATACGGTATAAATGAATCGTTAATTATACTTTACTAATATAATAAAATTCAGAAAATAGAGAATAGGATACATGTATACAATAAATATATATATTACCCGAACTATCTTCTAAAGGACGTTTTAACTTGGAATCCTGATTATTTGCACCCGCTGGATTTATTTTTGCAGCAATCTGAGAAGATTAATTCAACATCATAAATTTTAAAGAATGATTTTTTCCCAAATAATAAGACACATATATATAAAGCTTTCTCTATAATTTATACCACTAAGTGTAATAGTATAACACTTAGGCAAAGATAATATAATAAAATATTTAAAATCGCGCGTAATAAATGATACGACGCTTTTCCAAACTGGAAGAATCTGACAGATGCGATCTTGGCGCGCAAACGCTTATTATCGTAAGGCATCTGAGAGTCTGGTGAATGATTATCATCGATGTGTCAGTCGTGAAAAATTGTAATTACCTGTTTGGCACGTTGAAGTGCCGCCGCAAAAGCGGTGCTTTGACTGAAGTTTTGAGGCGGAGCGACCGCTGAATAGTCACTCATGCTGGTACATGAAGTTGTAGAACGATAATGGATTAATTACACCGTGTATATACGTGCGTGCGTGCGTGTATAGGTGTGCGCGCACGTACGTATGCGTGGTCTTGCTTATCCAAAATCGTCACCGGTGTCCGTGAAGTTTGTACGACTCACCTCGTCGTACAAGTGCTAGCCCGCTAAACGAGACACGGAAAATTCGCAAACGCGAAAACGGTACTATTTCGACGTACACGATGATGGTCGTTAGAAGAAGAAAGATTTACGGGAGGTTTCCGAGAAGTGAAAGAACCGTACTTTCACGGGAATGGAACGGTACGGCGCAAGCGTCAGTCATTGAAAGCGCGGTTGTTTAGTGCGAAAACTCACTGCCTTTTGCTCTGCCGCTGGCCCTTCTCCTGCCGTGCGTTCATCGCATTGAATAAATCACGATCTACAATAGATAATTTAAGGTCCGAATTTATAGTCGTTTCTCAAATCTAAAGCCGGATCTACATTGGTCGTATCGTAAGTCGCAAATCGTAAGTTGTAGGCCAATCTTGGTTGATTATTTTTGAAATAATCACCATGATTGATTGGCTGCGTTCAGGAGAAAGAGCTGCTTTGCAACTGTTGTAAATTTCGTGAATCTGATTGTGTATACTCTTAAATTTAGCCAAAATTAAGAGCATCAGTCTAGAAGAAGAAAGATTACGGAGTTTCGAGAAGTGAAAGAACCGTACTTTCACGGAATGAACGTACGCGCAAGCGTCATCATTGAAGGCGCGGTTGTTTAGTGCGAAAACTCACTGCCTTTTGCTCTGCCGCTGGCCCTTCTCCTGCCGTGCGTTCATCGCATTGAATAAATCACGATCTACAATAGATAATTTAAGGTCCGAATTTATAGTCGTTTCTCAAATCTAAAGCCGGATCTACATTGGTCGTATCGTAAGTCGCAAATCGTAAGTTGTAGGCCAATCTTGGTTGATTATTTTTGAAATAATCAACCATGATTGATTGGCTGCGTTCAGGAGAAAGAGCTGCTTTGCAACTGTTGTAAATTTCGTGAATCTGATTGTGTATACTCTTAAATTTAGCCAAAATTAAGAGCATCAGATTCACGAATTTTACAACAGTTGCAAAGCAGCTTTTTCTCCTGAACGCAGCCATTAATTTGCCTACGACTTAGGCTATTGTAGAATGGTCTTAAGACTAGAGAATTTCTTAAATCTATCTCAATGCGATCATTTCATTGGTTGAATAGGGTAGCTCAACCAATGAAATGGTCATATAGGATAGATTTATGAAGAGAATACTCGACTGTAATTGGTCAATTTCTTAAGGCTTAAGGCTTAAATTATCTATTGTAGATAGGGACTTAAGAAATTGACCAATCACAGTCGAGTATTCTCTTCATACTTGACTGTGATTGGTCAATATCTTAAGGCTTGAGGCTTAAATTACCATACATGAAAAAAACGGAACGGACTCTGCACTTCATCTTCTGCACTGGACACTCATGGCTCATGCGTTTCATGCATGAAACAAAACGCATCCATGAATTGGCACCTTGACTTGCTATCTAATTTCTTATATCGTTTATGGATCATTCAATTTAATTCGAAATTTATTTGAAATACATGTTAACGAATATTATTAAAACGATTGCTCAGACAAAAAAGGAATAGAAAAAAAGCAAACTCTATTACACATTGCATCCTTCAAAAATTTTTAGTGCTGAAATTGCTAAAGATTAATAAATATGGAGGTTAGTATTGCATATATCCTAGCATGTATGTTTCATTTGTGAACATATACACATATAACATTCATTATTGAACAAATAACATTCATGAACATATAACATTCATTATTGAACAAATTATATGATTGTTTATTGATTAAATTATTATTTTTTTCTCTGTTAAAAAGAATCCGAAATGAATCAAAACATTTGGTATCATTACAATTTTATGTATGTCAAATAGTAAATTTTTTTCACATTACATATATTGTTTGTGTTCAGACTCTGATTGATTTTTTTCTTTTATATTATGTCATCATTTAAGCTTTATTTTAATCATTTTTTAATATTTTATCATTTTTTAAATGATTTATAATTTTTTAATTTAAGATTTTTTAAAATAATTATATCTGATAAATATGAATCAATGATACAGAAAAATTAAAATAAGATGAAAATTAATAAGATAGAGACTATACACAATGCTACTAAAAATTTACTAGTAAAACCTAAACAAAGAGACAATGATGTAAATAATATTTCTGAATCAATAATATAGAAAGATTTAAAAAATATCTTATACACTTAGATAAAATCACATCGTGTATCATTAAAGCATAGTGCTTTAACACCATCTATGAAAAGAAGGACTAAAGCCGTAGCTAAACCAGTTACACCATTACAAGAAGCCAGAATGAGATTACATATCAGTACAGTACCTAAATCACTACCTTGCAGAGAAGAACAATTCAATGATATTTATACATTTTTAGAAAGCAAATTAATGGATAATAGTGGAGGGTAAGTTTATTATTTTAATAAATATCGTGTTCAATGTTTGCTTATGTTTATTTAGATTACAACATTATGTACAAATATTAATTGCAGATGTATTTACATAAGCGGTGTCCCAGGTACAGGTAAAACTGCTACTGTAAATGAAATTATAAAATGTTTAAAAAGATCAGTAGAAAAGGGTAAATTAAGCTATTTTGAATTTATTGAAATTAATGGTATGAAATTATCTGATCCCAGACAAGCCTATGTTCAAATTCTAAAGCAATTATCTGGAAAAGTTTTAACATGGGAACAAGCATATAATGTATTAGAAAAGAAATTCAATAGTAATGCTAAGAGACCAATGACATTGTTACTTGTAGACGAGGTATATATTTTTTTTCTTTATTTCTTATCAAGTCTTTATAGTCTTATTAAGTCTATATAGTTTTTATTTATGTATATATCTTATTGCGTATATAATTTTTTTCTTTTCTTATTTAATTATATTTTTAGACTTGCATTGACAAATTTTAATACATATTGTTTTTATTATTTATTCTATTATATTAATTTTATCGTTTTTCTTGGATTTTATAGCTTGATTTATTATGTACAAAACGACAAGATGTGATATATAATTTATTAGATTGGCCTACTAAAATCTCTGCTCGATTAATAGTTATTACTATTGCAAATACTATGGATCTTCCAGAAAGAGTTTTAATGGGTAGAGTCACGTCACGATTAGGTCTTACCCGAGTAACTTTTCAACCATACAATCATAAGCAATTGCAAGAGATAGTATTGACTAGACTTAAAGATATAAATATTTTCAAAAATGAAGCTTTACAATTAATTGCTCGGTAAGCATTATCTTTAATTTTTTTATTTATTTAATTTATTTATTTTAGTTATATACATATATACAAGATTATAAGTTTGTTTTAATTATAAGTTTGTTTTAAAATTTGAAGTATGTTTTAATATTTAGAGCATATTCTTTTAATACTTTTTAGTATGTTTTAAAACTTAGAGCATATTCTTGGATAAAAAGTAAGAACAGTTGTTCCTACGAACAAGCAAAAACTACTTTCTGGAAATGGACAAAAATTAATGTCATTTGTTTTTAATTTTTTTTTCTTTATTTCAAGTTAAATTTACTTTATTTAAAGGTAAAACATGTGTTAAATATGTCTCAAACATATACTAAAATCACTCAGTTAAAAAAAAGAACAATCTACACTGTATTGATAAGATTGCCTGAATGAAGTTTTATAATAAATACTGTTATAAATTTAAAGTACAAAGCAGACATAATATTATAAAATAAAAGAATCTGATTTAATACTTATGAAATATTTAAAATTAATTTTTGCTCATTATTACAGGAACAAAGCAATTTTTGTCTAATGTTCAGGAGAATAATTATTTTTATTTTTTATCTAGGAGAATATGCTCACAAAATTTTCGAAATATTTTTACAATTCATCTTGTATATTTGTGTTTGCATTTGTACATATGCACATATTTTTTAATGTTATCGTTGTACAATATTGTATAAAATATTTTTAATATGTTTTTAATCACAATTATCACTATTATATTTGACAAATTATACTAATTTTTTAGTAATATATGTAGGGTATATCCTCTCTTCTCTTACAATTAATGATTAGAAACATAATGATTTTATATAGAAAAATAAGTTAAAGAAGTACAATAACATTTTTTAACATGAGGCTTTGTTTTTTAAACACAAATTTGCCTTTAAAATTTAAAAATAAATTTTTTTCAATTTAATATCTACAATTTAATAATTTTGTAATATATGTACCTATAAATAATATCTATAAATTTATTTTGACAATAATTAATATATAAAAACATATAATATTCTTTCCATACACTAAAATAATTTAAAATATTATTTATAATTAAAATAATTTATAATATTATAAATTATTGACAAAGTTGTGTGCATCAAAATAGCAGTTGAATTATATATATATTAATATTTATGAAATATATTTAATAATATTTAATACAAGATATTGTTAACAGGCATTCAAACTTTTTATTAACTCTAATTTTTAAAGCTAAATTTCTCGTAAATAAAGTATTACGATGCAATTTTATTCTTTTTTATTTATTTTTTTATATAGAATGATTATCTTCTCAGTTGTATGTATGTATATATATACTTTGTATCTATTACAAATATGTATATGCAAATAAAATTAATATAAGTAGATGCTTTTTTAAATATTTTGTTACAAAAAAATTTTTTTAATTGATACTAAATATATTATAGATTATTTTATTTGTAAAAAATTATTAATACAATAACATCGATGAAGTATGATTAAATATTTTAAGAATCTTTATACAATATCTTGTATTTTTTTTATGTACATTAGTAAAATATCTGCAGTATCGGGTGATGCTCGCCGTGCTTTGGACATTTGTCGTCGTGCAGCAGAAATTACAGAAATACGCAACGGTACTACAATAACTATACTTGATGTAAACGAAGCTTTGTCGGAGATGATAACAAATCCAAAGGTTCAAGCAATAAGACATTGTTCAAAATTTGAGCAAGTATTCTTGCAAGCTGTATGTTCAGAAGTTACACGAACTGGTGTTGAAGAAGTTTGTTTTATAAATGTTTACAAACAGTTTGAATTTTTATGTTCCTTTAATGGTTTGTATACATACAATTAAAAAAATGTTATAAAACATTTTACATTTTTGTAATTATTTTTTTTTTCAGGCTATGAAACACCCAATATTACTCAAACTCATGATATTTGTACAAGATTAGATGATTACAGATTGTTAATATATGAATATTCAGGTAGCAATATACATCAAAAGATTCTATTAAATGTATCAAAAGATGATATACATTATGCATTAAAAAGTATTGATCTCAACTAAAAAATATGGATATAAATTTAGATAAATAAATCTTATTACTTTTTATTATATAAAATATATCTTTTCACGAGTTACAATAGTATTAATTTATAATTAACATATTTGTAGCTTGAATATTTCTGTAGTATTATAATGTAACAAAACAGGATAAAATATAAAGGATTTTTGATATAAATTGATTTATATTTCTATTTTATATATACATATTATAGCAACAGAATTTGATGAATAAATGTAGGTGTGGATATTTAAAATGATTATATATATATATCAAGCTATACTATGCACAGCTAACAGCTAATCTATTATTGGAAAAATTACACAACTCAAGTTCATGGTTGAATCCTCTCTATTTATATAAATAGTTTATGTATCTGTATCCTGCTTTCTATAATGTCATGTAAGTAATATGTTGTTTTTTTAAAATCTGAGTAGAAGAAAACTATATTATTATCTATAAACAATACATAAATTATTTATATACATATTTATTCTTATAAATTTAGTAGTGAGTGGCAGCAACAATATTGAAAAAAATATCTTTATATTATATAATGCTCAAAAATGGAAAGAAATCATTGCTTTATTTTACACAACTAATGATCTCAAGAGATTATCATGGGTATTGCCTGATATAGATGATTTGTATTGGATGAATAATATTGTACGAAAGTATAATTTATTTGCAATTGCAAGTATTGGTTGTGGTAGTGGATTACTAGAATGGTTATTACAAAAATATTCAGGTAAGTTTTTGAAATAAATATATTAATATATATTTTCTTTTAGCAATATTTTTAATTTCTCTTTATATTTTTAAGGATTAGACGTTATGGGTATAGAATTAGATAGTGGCTGGTGGAATAGCAAATATTCTCCACCGAAATTCTTAAAAAATATTATTTTTGTTGAGAAGTCAACAAATTTTCAAGTACCAAAACGATACGCTATGTTATTTTGCTATTTTAATAACAATATTGCATTCTGTAATTATATAGAAAACTACAAAGGCAATTTAATTCTAGTCATTGGACCTATGCAAGGAAATAATTGTACAACAGATCCATTACCATTTGATGACAAATTTGAAAAATATAACTGGAAATTAATAGATAAGAAAAAACTACGTTCAAATAATTACATTACTGCATACACTAAACAATAAATATACAATAATACAATAGAGTATTAATTACACACAATATAAAAAAAAATTATAAATTACAATTCATTCCATAATACTCTTTTTAGTTATGGAAATGGAATAATTTTTTAAAAATTTGTAAAAACGTAAAATTTCTTTGAATTAAGATACATACACAAAAATTGTAAAATCAGACAATATGTTAGCAGGCAATTATATATTGTTAGATTGTATTAATTCATTATATATGAGTCTTCGATTTTATGTGTGTATAAAATATAGAGAGCACAGGCTTTTGCATGGGCATAATTGGGTGAGTTTCTTATACATATGCTTATGAAGCAATCAATTTCTTTATGTTCATTGTTATACGTTTATGCAAAAGTCTGTGCTCCCAATAAGCCCTATCTGATTATCCTATGTTGCCCACGTGTACTGTCTTCTTGGATGAATTTTCGTCATATTATGGTCATATTCTGCGCAGCACCATAGTATAAAGCGTCGTCCTAAGGCCGGCCTAAGGCCGGTATTCATAGTCCGATCTTATATTTGAGATTGTCTTAAGTCTAGTCCGAGGTTGACTTAAGACCTCATTCAACCAATCAAATAATTGCGTAGCATTCCAAACTCGAACTTAAGACGATCTCAAATATAAGATCGGACTATGAATACCGGCCTAAGACCCAGTTCCACAATCCAGTTAATCCGAGTTTAAGTAATGAATGGACCAATCAGGACCCAGTTTAACGTATTAAACTCGGATTAACTCGAGTTATGGAACCGGGCCTAAAAGTGGCTTATAAGCCTTCTGATTGGCTGTATTCGGACTCAACAGTTGGACAACATTCCTAGATTTTCCGATGTAACTCGACGCTAATTGGTCGGACCTAAAAGTAGAAACCAATCATATTCGATTGTTACTTAACGGTTGAATCCGTTGAATGCGGCCATTGAGCGGAGGCTTAAGTCGATGACAACCACTCATTGAAAAGTAAGCTAAATAGCAATCGAATGTGATTGGTGAATTCAAAGATAAAAACCAATCAATTGCTACGTAGCCGCTCGGTGAGTGGTTGTGCTTCTGGATGCGCCCATTTATTTCGGTAAAATATATATTGTTATCCTACGTCACTACGCATGCGTCTGAAAATCCTACGATCTGGAATTACTGGAAATCACTGCTGTGGGTTGTGAAATAGTGTTGGGTCATTTTATGGGAATTCTGTTCCGAATAAATTGGTTTGAATAAACGCGATCAATTCTCGCGCGAACTTTGCCACTTTGAAAAGAGAATTTCATCGCGTGGAAAAAAATTCGCAGTCATGGGCGTGGATGTTGAAGTTCTGAGTCCTGGCGATGGTAATTATAAGTTTCATTTTGTACGGATTCACTGAATTTCGTTATTCTCGTCTCTTTGGAGAACTCTTTCTCTCCCATTTTGAAACAGCTCTTTACACACCATATCGCGATCGATGCTTGGAAACTTTAGTGTTTTTGTGCTTTTGAATATGTCTTATACATCTAAAATCTAAAAGGCCGCTAACAAACATGATTTATTTCATGTTATGATTAACATGGTTTCAATATTCGGCAAAATAGATTTTACATTACAAAACATGGTTTCAATATTCGGCAAAATAGATTTTACATTACAAAACAATTTCTCACTCTCTTTTTACTTAAGCTGTTATTGCAATTTCCAAAAGCTTACATATATTCTACTTATATTCTATTTCTTGATGAGTTACTGTATATTTACAGGTCAAACATATCCAAAGACTGGGCAAACAGTAGTTGTACATTACACAGGTGATTATTTTTATACTAGTACTATTAATATTCTGAATTTTATACATATATTGTTTATGCGATTAATATAATATATAAAATATAATTGTGTATATGTATGTGAAATTATACAAAAATTTTGTTTAAAATTATTACTTCATATATAACAGGAAAAAATTACAATATTACATATCTTTTTTTTCTATAAATAATTCTGCATATGTATTATAAGATTCTAAATATAACAGTATTAATATAGTATGCATATATGTATATATATATATTTTTTTTTTTTTTCAGGTACCCTTGCCAATGGAAAGAAATTCGATTCCAGCAGAGACCGTGGTGTGCCATTTAAATTTAAAATTGGAAAGGGTGAAGTAATCAAAGGATGGGATCAAGGAGTTGCGCAAATGTGCGTTGGACAAAGAGCTAGACTAACTTGTTCTCCAGATTATGCTTACGGCAGCCGAGGCCATCCTGGAGTATATCCTTTAATTCAAAATAATATATATAGAATAAGCAATAGTATTATTCAATGTAATAGTTTATTTCTTATAAACAAATACTATTAACTATATTAGCCTTGACAGAGACACACTATTCCGCCAAACGCTGTTCTCATCTTTGATGTGGAGTTACTGAAGGTGGAGCCTTGAAATACCTCTTAGAATGTATCAAACTGACCAAATGCATTTCAATACAAACAAAAAAAAATAAAAATCTGCATCAAATTGTATTATGTTAGTAATCGTTGCATGAACATGGCATATCCTATGTCATTACCTTAATTCAATCACTCGAATTTTAAAAACTACATTGTATTTTTTACAAAGTAATATATAAAACACATTAAGATTATTTTGCCATTGCATAGAAATAGAATGCACAGAAATAGAATTTGCACAATTTATACTATTTATTAAGTTGATAATACATAAATCTTAAACTTCAAAAATGTATACTAATGTGTGTAGTTTAATTATCAACTCTCCAAGAGATGCTATTTAATTTCTGCACCTCATTTAAAATTAATTAATCATGTTCCTATCTAAATAAAGAGGCCTTTCTCAAAATCCACTAAATATATATATATATATATCGCGTTTATATATACTTCTTTTACTTAAATATGTATACGCACACACACACACACACACACATATATATACATACATACATATATATATATATATATATATATATATATATATATATATATACGGTAATTTTTTTTAATATGTACACAAACTTGATGTTAAAGAAATAATTATATTAATGTAACAGATCTTTATACGATAAAGTATAATAAAAAATAATTTTTTGGTGTATGTTAAGTATATGTAGTTTTCTTAATATATATTGTCTGACTATTATTAGATAAATGTGAAGATAAATATAAAAAAAAGATACAAAATAAAACTTTTTCAATATAGTAATCATATATAACATGTTTTAATATATACATATTTATAAAATATTTGAGATAAAATTTCCTCTATATATGCTATATGATAAAAATATATATACAAGCTTTTGGCATTGCTGAATTGTCATTTTTAATTTGGAGAATATATATAAAATATTAAAGTAATTTATTAGTTTTTTTCTAAAAAAATAATTTCAATTAAATAATTATTAGTATTAGTAGTATTGTTTTATATTTACTTATTGACTGCATTAAATTGATATGTAGGAATATAATTTTAAAAAAGGATATAAAACTGTAAACTTTAATTGTTCCGATTGCACTGTAGGAAAATAAATAATATTACAATTTTTAGCTCGTAATTCGTATAAATGAATTATTAAAATTATCTTTAAACTTTAATTAAATAAGTGCTTAGAAATCAAAAGAAGAAATTATTAAAAATGATTTAAAATGCAAGCGCGTAAGTATTCAAAATAAATTAAATATTTAAAAATTATTAAAATATTTAAAAATTTGGCAATTTTTTATTTTTTAAATAGCTATATTAGTAAGATATAAAAATAATTATAGTTTAATGTACTGCGTGATATATACATATATAAAAAATGACTTATTAACACTATGTAGGTCGGGTAATTATACAAATAAATTTCATCAGTAGCTATGCTCGGTTTTTTTTATCTGTATAACATCAATCTGGATAGCGACAAAGAAATAGTGTCAATGTGGCGACAGCAGAATTAATATTTGATGAATAATGATGTATGTCAACGTATCAGTCGTCCATCAAAGTGTTAAGAACAAATACAAGTGTAGAGAAAAAGAATTTGTTATATGCAAATACAACTTATTAATATCAATAAATTAATATGTATTTAATTATATAATATGTATTTAATTATACATATTAATATGTATTTAATTATACATAAAACAAATTTATTAGTTTATTTTAATTTTTGCTATATACACGAGTCATTTTTTTAAAGATTATGAGCAATTGCTCTTATTGTAACATGTGCAAGTTCTAATACAATACTAACATTTAGCTAATGCTCTAACAAACTTCCAACAAAAATAGTAGCTTAATATACAATAATGGTTTAATATACAAACAATTCAGGAAAATGAATTTCATAAGATGGGGTTTGACTTGGTTTAGCATCCGTTTGTTGTCCAGTTGTAGAAACTGTGTTGCGTGGTTCAACAGATAAAGTATTAAATATTTCTGATAATTTACTCTGTAAAACATCGTGCTGCAAATAGAAAAAGAGAAAATAAATATCCTTAATTTTTAGAATTGTATAAATAATACAGATATAACATATTTTTAAGATTTTTAATTAATACATTTTATACCTTAGGTTGTGTTTTCGACACTAAATCTTGGAATGGTGCATTTCTGAAAAACTGAGAAAGTTGCATTCGTTTTTCTTCTTCTACTATATAATTATTATTATTTTCTGTCAAGATTCTTTTCATGCTTTCAAATGTTAGTTCTTCTCCAGGTAGTTTCTGTGAAAAATTAATTGAAAACAAATAGTATAAATCGAAATAATTCAGAAGATCAAAAAAAACAAAAGCAAATGTAAATAATTTAATGATATTAATTGTTAGATACATTAGCTAATTTAATGAAAATTGTAAATATTAATATTTTTCAATTTTAAAACCTTTTGCACACTAGGTGATGAGCCTCCACTATCCAATTCTTGACCTCCAGAATTAATATCGGCTAATGAATTCCGTCCAGCACTGTCAACCCAAGAATGCCTAATAGAAAATATTTATTATATCATTTTTACATAAAACAATATACTGCTTTTTTAATTTCATTTAATATTCATAATTAATTATTGCGCACTACATTACTACTAATAGTTTTATCACCTGTGTTGTAAAGAATTACTACTATAACCCGAGCCTTGTTGGAGTTTTCCACTATCAAGTCCAACTCCTTTTAAGCATTCACTAACAACTGTTTGATCAACTAATACAGCTGGTGTTAATCTGGATGTCAGAGCAGCGTCATATTGTGACTGTAAGTCTGGTAATAAATGTGGGCTATCTTTTCGACGTGCGTCCACTACCTTAAAACAAATTTAAATATATTTAATTGGGCAATTTACTTTAGCAAATCTATTATAAGTTAAATAAAAATATGCATAAATGAATTCATGATTAGAAAAAAAATTACCCACCTTTTCTGCATAATCCATAAGTACGGTAATATTACAGACGTACGATATTAAAACTAATAAGCTAATAACTGTTGCATGTAAGTTAAATTTTAATGAAAGACTAATTTGACCACTTGTTAATGCTAAATCTTGAAGGCTCAACACCAATCTCAATAATTCTAAGATAGTTTCTTCAGAAGCTAATTCAATGGCAAGTAATGCCAATGTAGTATAAATAGATTCCACATTTTCTACAGTATTACTAGACAGCTCTAATGATTCATATAATGCTAAATAGATCTCAGGACCATGTTTTCGAATAAAAATTACATCGGGTCTAGATGCTTTCTCAATAACAAGGCCAAGTTCCACCATATTCACACTAAAAAAGAGAAAAGTTGATGTATTATCCGCAAAGAATCATAAATGATACAAGCCATAAAAAAATAAGATATTAATAAATGTTAATAAATATTAACATTTATTTATAAAAATTTAATGAAAGATATATATAAACTTACGTTGGTTTAGCAAGTTTCATAATATTACGATGTCTATCAATTAAAGTATGGAATATTTTTTGTACTAAAAGTCTCATTTCAGCATCTGCTGCTAATGACATTCTTAGTAATGGATCCAAAAAACTAGGTGGAAATGTCGTGTTTAAATGAATAGTTTGGTATTTGGTACCAACCTATATATAAACAAAATAAACAAAATATCTGTTTTATTATCTTACTTAAAAGACTAAAAAAATAATAGAAACAAATTCAAATTTGATTGTAACTTTATAATTCTATTGTAAACAAATTATTTATTTTACATTTTTACATAAACAATTTTTTAATATAATTTTTTAATATAAACAAATTTATTTCAATCAAATCAATAATATGCATAATCTCTGCTGATAGAAATTGTTTACTTTTTTATTTTTATTAATTTTTATTTTTTTATTTTTATTACTTTGTTACTATTTTATTTAAAACGTTTAAATATTTATTTGAACATATTTGTTCTTCTATGATCTATTAATTTAATAAATTAATAAATTACAATTTAATTTGATTCTATTCAAATACATAAACATATACATATACATATACATATACATATAATGTTTCATTAATGGCCACTGATGTAATCTGACAACAGATTCTGAATGGTTTTTACCATTAATCTGATGTGAAGTAATTGTAAACAGATTCTGCTGGCAGATTACAAATCTAATTAGTTATAATTTTTTGTAATAAATTATTTTTACCTTCAACAACGATTTTAAGAGTATACTTTGGAGTAATACGTCTCCTTTGCCAACTGACACAATACGATCTGGTTGACTATATGGAACTTTGCTCATAATAAACATCATAATTTCAATTTTCTGGTAATCTGGAAGATGATTTGCAAACTCTCCAAGAGCATTAATGAGGGCTTCTTGGTATAATTGCTCATCATTGCTTGATGATTGATTTCTTGTTACACTTACCCGAAGATGAGATAACAAAGAATTTATAATTTCTAATACAGATGGTCCTAAAAAAATATGTATTGTTAAAAAAGATTAAGAATATTGAAATAATCTCTAATTTATCTCTAGTTCGATAATTATCACTTATATTTGTAAATATAAATAATAACTAACTATGTAATTAAAGGGAAAGGAAGCCAAAGTAAAGATCAATTACAGAAAACTACAAGTTAATAGGAAAAATTTCATCTGGAAAGAAGATTTGAAGGAATAAAATTTTTGGAATAGGCAGAATTAAAAATTTGTGCTGAAAATGAATATATTTAATTTCATCATCTTATATTCTTACCAACACTTTCACCTGCAGCAATCGATATAATTTTAGACAAGGTATCTGCTATGCTGGTGCGAATTTTTGGGGATGACTTTGAATGATCGTCAAGATGTGTCATTAAAGCTTCTACTACAGTGTAAGAATATTGTGACTGAAAAGTATATGAAATAATATTTATTAATGTTAATATTTAATTATATATTACAATTAAATGAATAATTCATTAAATAAGTCATTCTTGCATATACCTGAATAGAAAACATAATTATTCTAAAAGTATGAATTGCAAAATAATTAGGCACCCATAATTGGTGATTATCCAAGTGTCTGTAAATAATTGGCTTTTATTAATATCTTATAAATAGAAATATTGTACGAATTAAAAGTATTGCATCACTTATAAAAACAGGGAAGTTATAATGTGAAACAAAATTTGTAATATTAAAAACATTTTGTAATATTAAATTATTATTGTTATTTTATGCTTTAATAATTTTATGAACATAAGTAAAACAGCTAGAAGAAAAAATAAAAATTGAATCATTTACTTTGTATTTTTTGGGAATAATTTGCAATACTCTTTTGACCAATACTGTATATTCATTAATCCTTTATACACATTAATCCTTTAAAAATAAAATTATTTTTTTTTCTGTACCTTAATACAGGTCTTATAACACATCTAATATGACCAAACGATGCACGTCCGATCAATTCTCGCATACAAGTTTCTGCAAATTGTGGTGGATCTGATCGTTCTTCAGTCGGGCTATCTGGCATTGCATGTTCCTTATCAACATATCTACAAGGACAAATTCATTATTAGCATATTAGTGTATATTTCATAATATTAAGTCAGTATATTAGTGTGTATATTTTATAATATTAAGTTTTTTTTTTTAATTGCCTTGAATTTTGCATATTATACAGCAATGATGGTACAATTTTGTCCATATGTACAGGTTCCCAAATATTCTCAACCAAATCATCAGACAGAGTTTTTCTCACAACCCCCTATGTAACAACATATATAGAGAAATAACATAGATGTATACCTTTTAATATGTAAGTCACTGTGATACAAATAAACTGACATTTCATATGTTTAATGGCACTATACCTGTAGTCCTTGAATACCAGCAAGTCTTATTTGTTTGCGTATAATAGAATCATCATTATTAGAATGACACATTGCGGAATATTTTGATACAAAGAAATCATAACGTGTATGATACGAAGGTGTATCTTCTTCAATGTTGGCAAATCTAACAAACTGTGAAACAGAATCAATATATTAATTAAATAAGCAGAATAATTAATAACAGACATTTTTGAATTTACTAGTATTACTTACAGATTGTGTTGCAAGAATTTGTAATTGTGGATCTGTGGATTCTAACAATTTCTGTACCATCTTTAAGAAACTTTCAATAAATAGATTCAAAGTTTGTGCATGACATGCCACTAGAAGCTGATCCATTGCTTCCATAGCAATTACAACAAAACCATTTCTTCTCCTAATACGTAAATAATACTTAAATCAAACTTGATCAACTAGTTTCATATACATACATACATATACATATACAGGATTTCATTTTAATTGCCACCTCGAATATCTCTTAAATAAGACATTTTTGTGGAAAATGTTTTAAACCAAAATTATAGGACTTGAAGTGAGAAAAAGATGAAATATTAGAATTTCATCTTAGATAATGGTGCTAATATTATATATAGATCAATTTATGTTTTTTAAATGGAACTTATATATATACATATGTATATATATATGTGTGTGTATATGTGTGTGTATGTATGTATGTGTATAATGCTTTTCAATTATAAATACATAGTAAGCTAGTATAATTATATTGAGTTACTGCTAGTCATATTTGTAAGAGTTATTAGAATTTTTGCATTTCTTGCATAAAGTGATTATATAATTTAGATGCTTAGACATTACAATACTAGACTATATATCAAATTAAGTACATGTAATAAAATTATATATTTTGCAAATGTACCTGTAAATATCTCTAGAAGCTCGTTGGAATAAGTATTCCCCAATCCTATCCAACTTTTCAGGGCTGCTCAATGAATAAAATGTTAGTTTTTCCATATTATTTTTAATTAAACCATCCTGAAAATTAGAGATATCTATTAATATAGTTAAATGTAATATATATAATAAATATAATATATATATATATATATATATATATATATATTATATTTATATTATATATATATATATAAATGTAATTTTTTATTTATACTGCAAATATCTCAGATCTAAATATAAATAGAATTATCAAATATTAATAGAATTAATTATTTTAAATAAAGAATAATCTCTCTATTGTTGAGGGCAGTAGTTCAATATTATCTTATACTTATTCTTTTTCTAAGTTAAAAAAAAATATATATATAAGACAAATTAAGGAAAATAAAAATATGAAAATCTTGACCTGAGGATTAACTGGAAAGATATTGTCAACAAGCCTCTTATATCTTGGACGTAATGCGGAGCAACACCAACAACAACCTAACGAAAAAAATTAAAAGGATAGATTATATCTCTCTGTATCGTTTGACTATAATGCAAGTGATAAACATTTTCGAGTTACGATAATAAATTTAGATAATGTAAATTATATTTACCGAACATTTTTTGGTCATAAATTCTTCTTACAAAATGACAGCAACCACAATGACAGTTGTGACGTACCCACGAACGCACTCAACTTATGTATTGATGGACCATAAATTATGTTTATACTAGAAATCCTAATGAAAGATTCACTGCGTCCAATGTATGACGTCGATATCCAATAACAGAGTTTGTTTTCTAGGGCCGATTTTAAGCCGGATCTACATTGGTCATATCGTAACGTCGCAAGTCGTAAGTCGTAGGCAAATTGACCAACTGTAGTCGATTATTTCACAAATAATCAACCATGATTGGTCATGTTGACATAGTGTTGACAAATAATGGCAGAACCAATCCAAAATACTGAAAGTTTTAGCGCAAATTATAAATTAGATATAAATCATTTTAGTGAAAATAAGTTAAAATTTTATATTTTGTGACGAGTATATAAAATAAATTAGTTACAAATATTTAAATTAATTTTCTAATAATATCTATAAGTAATTTTTAAATTTTGTCAATATAATTCGTTTAAAAAATATTTTTCACATATACGGCTATTTTTTGTGGATTTCCAGTATATCGATGCTGCACTATGAATGTTCCGAACATCATTCTATCTTTATTCTCATGAAATGTAGAACAAAAATAGAATGATGTTTCAAAGCATCCAGAGCATCTTCCCGACCGCAGCCTTTAAAGGTGCAATTTTATTGACGCTAAAAAGTAGCGTCAATGGAAAGGCCGCTTTAAGGTGCAATTTCATTGACGCTCAAAAGTAGCGTCAACAATTGGTTGAACAAAGAAGCAACTACTTACTTCTTTGTTCAACCAATGGTTGACGCTACTTTTTAGCGTCAATGAAATTGCACCTTTAAGATGCGGCCTCATTGACGCTGAAAAGTAGCGTCAACCATTGGTTGAACAATGAAGCAACTATACTTACCTCCTTGTTCAACCAATGGTTGACGCTACTTTTTAGCGTCAATGAGGCCGCACCTTTACTTCTGTGTTCAATCAATAGTTGACGCTACTTTTTAGCGTCAATTGAAAGGCCGCTTTATGTACAGATCAATGGGAGTTGGCGATCTAGTTATAGTATAGATATCTGTGGTACGTACGCACGTGTTAAAAAAAAGATGTAACAGCAATGTTGAGGATTAACAACAAAATGCAACTCATAAGTGCTAAAAGTGAAAGTAAAAAGAATTTGTTCATCGTGCAAGAAATTAAAATAGCGCGACTATTAGCTAATAATGACAAAAGAATAAGAGATAAAGCGTTAAAAAGATTGAAAAAATGGTTAACAGTACGATCGCAAAGTTCGTTTGGTAGGTCAATATTTGTATAATAATTTATCAAATATGTTATATAACTTACAAATAATTTCAATATTTTATATATTTTGAATTTTATTACTGTACTCTATTATGCTACATGTATGTTGTATTCTTTATAGCTTTTACAAAAACAGACTTTATGAGCTTGTGGAAAGGTCTGTTTTATTGTATGTGGATGTCTGATAAAATGTTGATTCAGGAAGAGTTAGCTGAATCCCTTAGTAAACTTGTACATTGTTTTGATTCAAAAGATACCATTTTACTTTATACCAGCTGTGCTTTAAAGACACTTGCTATGGAATGGTTTGGCATAGATCAATATAGATTAGATAAATTTTTAATGGTATTTTTCTTAATTTTTTTATGAATCTAAAATAATACTTTAAAATATATACAAATAACCTATTTATCTATTTCTATTTTTTCTTTAGTTAGTTAGAAGGATTCTTCGTCAAACATTTGTAACTTGTAAAGATAAATCATGGGATATCAAATGGGTGACAGAATTATCACAAATGTTTTTAGAACTGTTTTTACATCCAAAAACTACTTTGGGATTCAATTTACATATGACAGAAATATATTTGGAAGAACTTGCAAAGGTATTGCAAAAATTTGGATAAGATTTTCCATTTTTAATTGTTTTGTCTAAGTCTTAATAAAACTTTATTATTTATATATAAATATATAGGTCAGCAATGGAAATATATCAGAAAGTGTTGTTCATGAATTTATTAAACCATTTATTATATATTTAATGACAACTGATGATGAACGACAAATGAAACATATTATGCAACATATCTTTAGATATTTGATAAATCAATCAGATATAGGTTTAGATTATATGGATAAATTTAAAGCATGGCAAAGAGTAAGTAATAAAAATATAAAAATATATTCTAATATTTATTATAACATTTTTCTAATGCACATGTTTTTCAAATCTAATAAAATAACGATTAATTTTTTGGAGTATTCTAACAATTGGAAATTTATAGTAGTTACAATAGTTTTTAAAGTGAAAGCCATTAAAGTTTATGAATCATATAGTTAATATTTTGCATATTAACATGACAACATACCTAATAGTGTTAAAAGTATTATTATGAATATCAATTTTATTGATATCAAAGTTTTATCAAAGTTTTTGTACAAATAATATTTTTAATAAAAGATTTTTTTCTGTTTTGTACAATATGTTGCATATTTGTACAATATGAATAATTGATATGATTTTTATTTTTAAATATTCCAAAAAATCTATCATAAGATAATAGAGAAAAATATGTAGTAGATTTGAAACATTCTATATGTATATTTAAATAGGCTGGTTTTCCTTGTGCACATGTGGATGATATGCAAAAAATTGAGATAGATACAGAAGAAAATATTGATATTAAAAGTGGTCATCTTTTGGAAAGTGAAATACAAAATAAAAGTGAAAAACCTTTAGATCCAAGAGCAGGTAGAGTGGATGTACAACTACCACAAATACCTTTTAATGCTGCAGAAATTGTTAAAATGCTTTCAGTACATCAATTTCATCCATCATCAAAGACAAAATCACGAAGACAACTTTCAAGACTTCTTGAAGAGTATGTACATTATGTTACTTTATCTTAATAATCTATTTATTAAAAAAACTAAGTTTTTTTACATGTATTCTGAATTATGTTTTCTTTGTAAAAAAATATACTTTCAGGTTTAGGGAATTATCAGAGGGAAGAATGCCCCTTGGAATAAAGAAAGTTAAGAAATTAAATTTGCAAAAACATGATTCGAAGAAAGAATCAAGAAAGGCTGCATTACACCTTATACAATTTGAGAAAAAGTTGTTTTCTGACAATATTAACAAAAAACAAAAAAGGAAGAGAAATGGAGAAATTATTGCTAATACATTTTCTGATCATCTGAAAAATAGAGACCAGTTAGAATTGAATTCTATTATAGACACTATTGATTCAAAAAGTGATTCCATTAATTCAACTGCGAATATGAAGGCTAATTTACAGGATACAGATGCAGATATAATACCAATTAAGAAACAAAAAAGAAACAATGGAGAGACCACTGTTAGTAGTACATATTCTTCTAATAATCTAAAAAATAGAGACTACTTAGAATTGAATTCTATTGTAGACACTATTGATTCAAAAAGTGACTCCATTGATTCAACTGCGAATATGAAGATTAATTTACAAGATACGGATGCAGATATACTACCAACTAAAAAACAAAAAAAAAAGAATGAAGAGGCCATTGTTAGTAGTATATCTTCTTCTAATAATCTAAAAAATAGAGACCACTTAGAATTGAATTCTATTAGAGACACTATTAATTCAAAAAGTGATTCAATTGATTCAATTGCAAATATGAAAACTAATTTACAGGATGCAGATGCAGATATACTGTCACCTAAAAAACAAGGAAGGAAAAGAAATACAAACATAGTGTCATCTAAGAAAGAGAAGTGTAATTTAACATATAATAAATTTGATGATAAACGTGTAATTGAAGATAAAAGGAAGCTAAAAACAAAAGTCCATAGAAAATTTAATAAAACTAAGAAAATTAAATTGAGTCAGACGGATGATACATTTATAACAGATAATAATTTAAAATGTAAACCGAAGAAAACGGAGCTTCATGAGAAGCATACATTTAATAAGGAGCAATACATTTTCACCTCACCAGTTTTAAAGAAAAAAAATTTACTTCGAAAGGCTACGAAAAATAAGAAATCCTTAGTTTTAAAAAAGACAATATTTGAGAAGAATGTTACACATAATAATGAAGGAACATTGAAAGATGTAAGTATCAATATTTTTATCTTATTTTTTGATTATCTTATTTTTTGATATTTTTACAGAAATACACTATAAAAATTATATGTAAAATTATTTCATAATTATAGGAATTATCAAATCAAACAAAAAAACAAATTAATTTAAATAATTCCTTGGAGAAGAAAAAAGTGGTCTTTGGTCTTTCTCGAAATACTGAACAACATACATCAGAATATTTTCAGCAAGTTCGTAAAAGCCCGGCTATTCCTTTCGATGCAAACAAGAAACCATTAGCTAGTGTTCTGAAAACAAGTGCTATATCGAGTCCACTCAATCCATTCTATAAAAAAAAATGAGTTCAAGGAATTTTGACTTTTCTGAAAGTCTTCAACTTATTGATGTGATGAATTGACTACAAATTTATTTTGAAATTAATATTAATGATTTAAAATAAATGTATACAGGCAGTTTCAAATTAAATATGTTAGTGACTTTTTTCTATTTTTATCACAAGTATGTAACTTCTAGTAATAAAAAAAATAGAGATATAAATAATTTAATCGAATTTTGATGTAACATGTAAAAAGTTCAGATTTTTAATTGTTCATTTAAGTACATATACAAACAAGATTTACATAATGATATGTTTTGACAATTATTTACATTAATTTATATAGATTAAGATTTATAATAATTTATAAAAATAAAATTTTTTGTTTTGCTAAAAATAAGATTTCAATTGTCACATAAGCGCTTGTCCTATCTTCCACATGGCGGCGAGTCATGTAACCTGGTGATTATGTAATTCGACGCTGATTGGTCGGATCTGAAAATAGAAACCAATCATGTTCGATTGCTGCTTAGCGGTTGAGTCCGCTGAATGCGGTCAATTTCAGTTGTAAAACAGTTGTAAAACAGTTATAGTCGCAGTCGACTGTTTTGCGATTGAAAATAATGTGAAAATAAGGAAATAACCATCTGAAGTGACTATCGATACGACTACGACTGAATTGTAGATACTCGAAAATCATGTAGCGGAGGCCTTCAGCCTGGTGCAGATAGGACGCGTCAAGCAGCGAGCAACAACCAATCAGCAAAGCGGTATTTTCTACGCCACTGCTGATATCGTCTCGCTAATTGGGTTGCTGTTCGCTGCTTGACGCGTCCTGTCTGCACCAGGCTTTATACTGCTTCGGTGGAATAATCACATTTTTTAGTATCTTTGAACAAGTAAAGGTTAACTGCTATAGAAAGTTGTTTACATTAAAAGTATAAAGTAATATTTAATATAAATATATATTTTGCAATAAGCACGTATGTACAGTTTTTTATTTTAATTAACATGACTATGTAGATAGAGTTTAAAATTATTAATCTAATGTAAATATTGCAGGAAAATTGTGTTTGAAAAGAAGTGTGGCTGTGCACTAATCTTCTGGACAGCATTTCTAGATAGTTCAATCACAGGTAATTATTATTTTTTATATAGACATCATCCAAATAATATTTATTTATTAACAAATCATCAAGTACATATATATATATATATATATATATATATATAATTCATGTAATACATATAGTTTTGTGACTTGATTCTAAAAACTAATAAGAATTATATAGAATCTATTAAAAAAATTGACGTTTTTCAGCAAGTGACACAGAGAACACAGTGTATCATTTCATCCTTGTTGGTTGCTGAATGTAAACAATGAATGAAGTGATACACTATGTCCTTTGTCTTATTTGCTGAAAAACACTCGATATATATTTATGGAACATATTATTTGTTTAATTTTAATATATTTATAATTTTAATATACATTATTATACATAAGATAAAGTTCAAAATTATTAACTTAATTTAAATATTGCAGGAAATTTATTTACATAAAGAAATATGATTATACCCAGTCAGCCAAATTTGTTCTAACAGATTTGCCAAGTGCCTGCTACAAATTATTGTCAGTAGAAAGACTGATGATTGTGTGCAAAATTTGTTAAATAATGATAATAGAATGTTAGCAGAAATGTTACAAAATCTGCTGACATATTTGATAGCAGGACACTAGCAGAAACCGAGCAGGATTGGCACAGAATTATCATAGCAAATTGGCAGCAGAAACAGAGCAAGATCTGTGCAATGCAATTTGATGTCAGATTGCCGATAGAAACTTAGCAGGATTTGCGCACACAATCTCTGATAGCAGATTGATGGCAGAAATGGAACAGGGTTTGCATAATTTGATCCTTTGCTTACTGCTGTAAGATATACTTTTTTGCAATCTAATTTCTGTTAGAAATATATATAAAGTCGCAATTATTAAAAGTTCAAAAAGTATAGTAATTTTAATTTTTATCACTTTCATTTTTGATCAGCAAGTGACACAGAGGACACAGTGTATCATTTCATCCTTGTTGGTTGCTTGATATCTGATACAAGCATTCATGTTGGTTGCACTTGATATCTGATACAAGCATTCATAATATTAAACTGATTGGAATCAATATGATAAGTTGGGAAATTATTTACTATCTATTTGAATTTAATTCTAAATAAATTATATCTCAAGTTTTATAAGTTAAATTTACTTTAATCATTTACTTTATTATTAATTTAATTAAATTGAACTAGTTCTTTGCTAACTACGATACAACATATATTACATTATGTATCATATTAGAAGAAAATTGTAATTTAACATGATAACTCACTGATAATGCTTTTACTTAGATTGCATCTCATCAATTTTATTGCATTTATATAACATTAATATAAGTAAGCGTAAATCTTGTTCAGTTTCTGCTGTCAATTTGCCATCAGATTGCATATACAAATTCTGCTTGATTTCTGTCGACAATCTGACATCAAATTGCATTGTGCAGATCCTGCTTGGTTTCTGTTGACAATCTGTTGTCAGATTATGTTTTACAGACTCTGTCACCAAAACAAGCTTAATGTGGACACAAATGGCTATGGTGTGGGATTCTGATCGAATCTGCTGCCAATCTGCTGCCATTCTGCTGACATTTTGCTTACTGGGAAGTATATAGCTTCATTTCTTTAAAAATAAACTCTGCATTATTTATATTAACTTAATAATTTTAAACTTTACATACATTTATTAAAATAATTTTAAACTGTACATTTGCTTATTACGAAATATATTTAAATATTAAATATTTCTTTATTTAATTGATATTTTAAACGTTTATAGTTTATAAATTGTATATTTAAAATATTTAAAATAATTTGTGTAAAGATATTATATTAAAAAAAGAGTAATATGAAAATTTGTTAAAAGAAAGAAAAAATGCACAATGTATATGTGCCAATTGTAAAAAAAATTGTATATATTATTGTAAAAAACTGTTTTACAACATAGTGTTATTTTAATTTGTACAAAACAATATCTTAGTTAAACAAAATTTATATTAAAAAAAGTTGACAAAATTGTCTTAATTTTCTACAAATATAATTTTTACATTTTATTATGTTTTATTAATGTAAGTAAATTAAATTTATTTTCATATTAAAATATAGTTTTAAATTAAATTTATTATCTGCTGATTTATTTTGAAATTTAGCAATGCCAAGTTTTTAAATTCAAATTTTTCTTATATTCTTATTTTTTATTAATTTTTAGTTTTCAATTTTTAAATAAGTTTCTAATTTTTAATATTATAATTTTTGTAGCAAACTAAAACAATTATATCATACAATAATCTTTTCAATTGAAATGTTTTTATTTAAAATGTCATAAACTTTTAGTATAACTTGGTGCAATTTTTTATATCATTATTTTTATAAGCAATTAAGACAACTATTTTGGACGACTTTAATGTAACAGTTTGTTAAATTAAAAAATTAATTAAAAAATAACATTAATTTGTACATATTAAAATAATACTATTTTATAAAACTTGGTTTTTTACAATAATATATACAATAATTTTTTACAATTGGTGCGGAATATGGTGCTTTTTTTACCTTATTTTTAAAACAAGTTTTGAAATATATCAGTATTACTTTTGTCTTACACTTGTCACCATATTATTTCATAATACGTATTTCTCGCAGAAACATCTTGTGGTCTTGTTGATGTATCTCGTGATTGTCGCCATCTTGTCATTGAGCTCTTGCAGAATAAAATTCACGACGTTTATGCAAGTAAGTTGCATTTTCACATATACGTACACATATGTACGAATGTATACATATGTTAAACAAGATTTGGAGTCGCTAAACACTGGAAATAACAGAATAGTGGGAACAAACCTACGGAATCCTGATTTATATTCGTGATCTGTACACATACGCTTACATATTTTGCTGTGTATAATTTAATAGCTTTTTTACTCTCTATCTCTTTTCTTTTTATTTTTATAATCGCTATGGAAATGTGTGACGAATTGACCAAAAAACGTAAACGAAGTTTTGCAGACGCTTGGCTTAGTGATGATCGATACAAATCTTGGATACGCAAAGTATCATCTGATGATAGTCTTTATTATTGCACCATATGCAATAAAAATTTTTCGTGTAATTCAACACATGTATCCAGACATGTGGATTCTGCATATCATAAAAATAATATTAAAGTAAAGACATTATCTGAGATTAATTGTAATAGTGATTTACCAACAAAAAAATCACGTAAAGCAGTGTTTCGACAAGAATGGTTAGATATTGAGCAATTTAAAGTTTGGTTACGTGAAGTGCCACATGATGCAAGTTTATTTTTTTGTTCAATTTGCGATAAATCTATCGTTGGTGGTTTATCACAAATCTATCGTCACGCAAAATCCAAAGCGCATGTAGATAAATGCGAAAAAAATTATATTGAAGTAAGCCCGTCGAATGAAGATTCTAATATGCAAACTAATGAAACACTTTTATCGTTAACGTTCGATAAGCGTAGAAAATCAGCGGAAATCAGATATGCTGCATTAATTGCCGATAAAAATATCCCACATCAAACTGCAAAAGAGATTCTTAACTTCTTTCAACATATAGGAAAAGAGCCTAATGTGTTGAAAAATATGAGCATGGGTCGAACGAAATGTACAAACATTATTACAAATGTTTTATGTCCTGTTGAGACGGATCGTATTGTTAATAAAATTCAGAACATAAAATTTTCAATTTTCATTCACGAAACGTCTGATACTACTAATAATAAATGGATAACTTTTCTTGTTCGATATGTTGATCCGGAAACATTAGATATTCATTCACAATTATTAAAATTAGTTAATATTGATTCCAAAGATTCAAGCGCAGAGAAATTGTTTTATGCATTTAAATGTGAAATGTGGAAATTACAGATACCGTTTTCAAATATTGTTGCTCTATCATATGACAATGCATCTATTATGACAGAAAAACATTTATCATTTAAAAATAAATTCGAAGAAATATGTCCACATATATTAACCTTTTCTTGCCCTTGTTATTCCGCCGCATTAGCAGCACATGAAGCTTCTACTAAAATACCCGAATTTTGCGAGGAATTTATAAAAAAGATTGCTAATTACCTTAATAGCAGCCCAAAACATTCGGCTATTTTTCATGAATTCTGTGAATGTTTTCAAGAAAAAAATCGCAAAATATTAAAATTATGTGATACACATTGGATTTCTCACTATTTATGTATTAAAAAACTTCTTGAATCTTGGGATACAATTAAATATCGCCTTACTGAAGTAATTGTGAATGAGAAAACAAAGACTGGAGAATATCTATCGTTTATGATGGACAATGTAGAAATGAAAGCTTACTTTCTTTTTTTAAAATACATTTTAAATTTCTTTAACACATTTAATGTTTTTTTTCAAGCTTTAGAAACAAGGATTCATTTGTTGCAGCCAAAATCTGTGAATTTGCTTTTCCAAGTCTGTCGAAATTTTTTAAAAAAAGAACATTTAAAACCATTATCCACAAATATTATATTCTCTCTAAAAGAAAATCAAAAAGCTATTAATAAGATTATTTTAGGCTCAGAATGTGAGGAATACCTTAACGAATTAACGATAAAAGGTCACGTAAACATAGTTTCAACTGTTCGAGAAAATTGTTTAACATTTTATATAACTGCCGCAGAAGAAATTTGTAAAAGATTACCTATAAATGACACATTTTTATCAAAGTTACAAGTTTTTGGACAATATGAAAGTTTATATAATAATAATAATAGAGAAACATTATTCAATGATATTTCTTTTGTAATTAAAACTATAGACAAAAATGATGATTTTGATGAAAATGCTTTAAAGCAAGAATGGATGACATTACCATCAGATTTTACAATAGCAGAAAAACAAAGGCTTTCTAAACTAAATTTCGATAATATGTGGAAAGAAATTTTACAACGACGACACACCAATAATATCATTAAATATCCAAATTTAACAAATGTTCTAAATATTATTAGATCACTTCCAAATTCTAATGCCGATTCGGAGAGAATGTTTTCTCTTTTAAGTAATATAAAAATGAAAAAACGTAATAAATTTTCATCGGCTTCTGTTAATGCTATTTGTGTTTTTAAGTCAGCATTAAAGACAAGGGGAGAAACAGCTATAAACATGACAATTGATGAAAATCATTTGTCTCTTATGTCGTCAGACAAATTGTATGCTACCGCTACTAAACAAAATAAAAATATCTTACTACATACTGCGGATAATACTGACATAGCTGGTTCTTCATCTAATAAATAATAAATTCTGTTTGTTAAAAAGATATTTGTAAAAGAAATGACAATTGTAAAAAGCATGTAAAAAATATTTTGTCTCTATCTTTGTAAATATATCATACTCTTGTAATTCTTTGGTAATTTGTCCTTTATTTTATTCTATCCATTCTCTCTCTCTCTTCCATCTACGTTTCCTATCAGTCCTATCACTTCAAATTCACTTAAATATTCCCAAACCGCTTTATCTTTATTTGTGGTAACAGTATGATCTATAAACACATTCTTGCTCTCTCTCTCCTTCCCCTATGTTTCTCTTTCCCCTATTGTTTACCTCTTCTTTTCTTTTTTTCACTTAGACATTCATTCTTTTCATTTCATTTGAACCATCTTTAGACCAGTCTCATTTTAATATATCCAACTTTTTCTCCTTTTCTTTTCTTTTTTTCTTTTTTTGTTATTTTTTTTATTATTCTTTGCATTTCTCTTTCTTTCTTTGTCAAATCGTATGTATATTTCTTTTCTAATTCTTCCTTCTTCATTATCTGCCTCTTAATTTCTCACCTTTCTACCATTACCACTATCCCTTTCTTTCTTTCTCCCTCCTTTATCATATACACTTTCTCAAGTTTTATTTCTATTCCTAATTTCCCTTTATTCTATTCCCTTATTTTCCTCTCCACTATGAACTCTTCTTTGCTTAATGTTTTTTTTTTTTTTTAATTTATCCTTCTATTAATAAATTCTTCTTTCTTCTCTTTTTTTTTCTTTTTTTCTTGATTTTTCTTTATTTCTTCTTTATTTTCTTTTTTTCTTTATTTCTAATCTTGTTATTCTCTCAGCATCCCCTATTTTTCCCTTTTATTCTCCTTTTTTTTTTCTCTCTTTTCATATTTTCCATGAGTTTCCTGCAATCTTCTCTCATTTCTATCATTCTTCTTTAAAAATTCTCATCATTCCTTCGATTCTCCTTCCCATCTCTATCTCCAAATCCCTCCTCATATCAAAACTCTTTAGGATTTCTTTCTGCTTATTTTTACTTTCCCGAGATCTTTCTATCTTTGTTGACATTTATATATAGCTTTTCTTTAAAATGTCTTTACCAATCCATCTTTATCTATCCTTATTCTTCTCTTTTATATTTCACTTTAATAACTATCTTCCTAATCTTTAAACCTACTGATTTCTTCTTTTTTCTTGCTTCTTTATTTTTTTATTTTCTCTTCATTTTCTTTTTCTTACCTCTATTCTTCTCTTTTTCCTCGTTTATTATTCATTTTCTTTCTCTCTGACTACTAATAACTAACTTTCCTCCATATTTCATAGTTTTCATGATATTATAATTATAATATTTATTGTAATGTTGAAATGTACAAAAATAAATATAAATAAATATGAATAATATAAATAAATATTAATTTCACAAAAATAAAAATTTTTAATTTCATAAAATTTAAAAAACTTTTTGAAGTTTTAATTCATTTTTAATTTTTAATATTTATTAGATACATTTTATGCTATTCATCTTAATTATCTTTTTATTAATTATCTTTTTATTAAAATAATAAATGATGACTTTCCGCATCACTCAAAGAGTAGCACTAATAACGTTTAGAGTTTTTCTTGAGAATTTCGAATAATCCCGCATCTTGTTTCTAATCCTGTATTCCGATCTTGGAAATCATGTTCTCATATTCTTTACTAAACATTTTCGGTCGATCATCTAGACGTAAAAGAATTCTCTCTCTTCTATCATTTACTCTCGATCTTGGAGAAGAATATTCTTCTTCTTTGAATATTTGAAGCCCATTCCATTCTCATCGAAGAATGCTCTTCTTCAGCGCAATATGTTTTTCCTCCATATGAAAATGGAGTTTTCTCGTCGATAGATAATATATGTCTGGTCTAAGCGCTGTATATATAAGTTATAATCCCTTCTGCTTAGCAGTAAGTCGTCTCATCCGTTTAGCAAATAAATTGCGTCTAATACTAAATCGCATTCAATTCGTTTAGCAGTAAGTTATATCTCGTCCGTCTAGCAGTAAGTTATGCCTCGTCTGTCTAGTTATAAATTGTGTAGCGTCTTTAACTATAAGCCGCGCTTAGCTTTAACAAATTGTACGCTATTCGTCATTTTCATCCGCCTGTGTATATACATGATGTTCTTTACAATAAATCATTTGTTGCACTAAGATACGGTTCTGTAAATTTGAATTTCCCTTTCTTCCAAATCTTGTTATTGACAAGCCGATCTGTGATGTCCGGAAAAGCGATCCATTATAAGATAACATTTAAGGGATTATCATTTTTTTCTAGTACAAAATCAATACATTATTAGAAATATATATATATATATATATTTATTTATTTATTTATTTATTTATTTATTAAAAATATAATATTTACTAATTAACAATCTATGCTTCATAATTACATGACTCGTCATAAACTTTGTACGTTTGATATAAATTATGGCTTTGGTCAATTCCGTTGTAAATTCAAAATTTTCGATTTGATGAGATTTCAAACCTCATACATATATACATACATATACAGGGTGTATCCTAAAAAGTAGGAAGTATTGCAATGGTGGATTCAGGACACAAAAATAAGAGAAAAAGTCCATATAAACATATGTCTGATATGATCTTGTTTTCAAGTTATAGCTTCCTTTATTTTTTAACAGAATTGATTATTAAAGTAATAGGAAGTGCTCAAAATGACTACCTCTAACTTGAATACAGGCTTCAACACGTCTCATCATAGATTGTCTGACTTTTACAAAAATTCCGGTTATTGCTCAGATTTCCCGGCAACCATCTTCAACACATTGACGAAGTATCTCGATGTTGTCAATGGATCTTTTGTATATATGTTTATATGAACTTTTTCTCTTATTTTCATCCATAACATTGTTCATCTACAATATCGGCAATGTTCAGGTATGTACATACACGTATACATTTGCATCTATTTTGTGTGTATGTTATTAATTTTCTAGTAATATTCTAGTAAAAAATGTGTATTTTACGTACTATCAAATTTACGTATTTTTTTAGCTTACCAAACCTCTCTCTCTCTCTCTCTATCTCCCTCCCTCTCTCCTTCCCTCTTCCCTCTCTCTCTCTATTTTTCTCTCTCTCTTTCTCTGTCTGTCTGTCACTCTTTCTCTTTGTTTGTTTGTGTACAACATTATTAATTAATGTAGAATTTAAAAAAATTTATTATTGCTAGATATTGTTATTATCAGTTTATTTTCATATTTTATATTTTCTTTATATACACATAAATTTTTTTATTTCTACATATTTTTTTGAACAATTAATTTTAACTAACAAATACATCTCTATTCGATTAAAATAAAGAAATGTATGACCAAAAATAAATGTTTATATTATGTCTTCATTGAAAAAATTTTGATAACTAGAATAGCGATAGCCGAACCATTTTTTTGCAAATGACTATAAGTGCTTTGTCCTTTGATAATTTCTACTAATAACTATAATTATATGCTGCTTCAATTTAGTAGTGTCTTTTATATCGTCAAGATGAACACTTGTTTTCTAATGCTTAGTTTCTTTTGTTTCATAAGTGAGTATTTATATCGTTATAAATTTTACATTATTTAAAAAAAAGTTCTTTTAATTTATTAAATCTAATACGTTTAAATCTAGTGCATTCGCATAAAGTTTCGAGCAATTCAATAGAAAGAATTATCGGTGGCGTTGATGCCACTATCCAATCAGCTCCTTATCAAGTAAGTAAACTTTTATACTTGTTTATTTTTATTTAATATTATATAAAAATATTAATATCATTGTTACATTATTATAATAATGATATACTATATATTATATAATCATATAAGTATTATATTATAATAATAGTATTTTAATTGTACATACACAGAATATACAATACTAATAAATATTGAATATAAAATAGCAATTTTTATTCGCTGCTTATTGTAATAAAAGAAAAAATATATAACTTTGTTTTCTAGAAGATATAAATTAAAGAAAAATTGAAATATATATATATATATATATATATATATATATATATATATATAAATTCTAAAATTTTTTTCATTACAATATAAAATATATACTATATCATCAAAATTTCGAGATTCTAACTTTTCCTGAACTTTAATCAAGATTATATTATAACAAAATTCTCTTATTTTTATAGCTACAAATGAGAATAATAAATAATGATAATCAATATATATGCAGTGCTTCTATAATAAACATTCATTTGGCTGTGACAGCAGCTCATTGTATAATGGCGTAAGTAAAATAATTAAAATAAGATTTAGAAATAATTTTTAATTTTTCCTCATTATATATGATTACATATAAGATTTTTTTTATTTTATAATAAATATACAATATATCACACAGAGTCAAAGATCCTCTTAAAGAAATCATCATAAAAAGTGGATGCTCTTTTCTTTATGATAAATGCAATGTTCATAATATTATCAGTTTTGTTATACACGAAAATTACAATAGTATTATCAATGACTATGATATTGCTGTTATCGAAGTATCACCCATATTCACATATAATCACTTTACGAAAGCAGTTGATTTGGCATTAGATAAAAATGTCTATACAGAACGGGGAAAAGTTTGCGGTTGGGGATACTATTTGGTAAATAGAAATTATTTTATACAATATAATATATCCATATGTAATAATATAATGGTATTATATATTGTACGTATTTAATAATTTTTTTTCTCCTTTTTGTTCACATTTTATTGTAATTTAATTACTGTTTATAATATTGGAAATTATTGTAGTTCATTTGATAAGGACCAAAACCCATGGTCGAAACGTTGTGATTCTTTACCAATCAATAAATTGCCAGTGTGGTCGATTTAAATTACGTTATTTTATTTTATCTACTGGCGACATTCAAGAATTTAATATCATTATATTTTCACTTTTTGCTTGCATATAAAAAAGTAATATTTTATGAAATATAGAAAAACAATTATGATGATGATATCAATCCAGTTCTGGCCAACACTTTGCAGTGTATCCAAATACCAAAAATATCAAAAAGACAATGCTCTGAATATTATAAATATAGATTTACAATAACACGTCGAATGTTATGTTATGGATTTCAGAATGGACAAAAAGATTCTTGTAATGTAAGTCTTAAATTAAGCCATAACTGTCACTCTCTCTCTCTTTCTCTCTCTCTCTCTCTCTCTTTTAATTGTTATTATTTACCGAAATAGGGTGATTCTGGAGCAGGATTAGTTAATGAGGATAATGTGCTACTTGGTATAACTTCATGGGGAGATGGTTGTGGTGAAATCAATTCTCCTGGTGTATACACTGATGCTATATTTCTTGCACCTTGGATTAATAATATAATTAAAATAACTAAAGAAAAACATATGATGATAAATAATACTTATGATTATAAATATAGATGCGTGCTTTGTGAAATAATACAAATATTAAAATATATAGTAGTTGTATCAAATATATGTTTAACATTTTTGTCACACAATTAAAAAAATTATTTTATCATTGTTTCATTGGAAGACATTTAAATACGAAATTTTATTAATTTTTTCAAAATACTATAATATGTACATTTTATTACTTCAATGTATATTTTATTATTTTAATATATATTTTCTAATTAAAGATTTTTACTTTTGTAATGTATTACATTTTAAATAGTAATACTAGAAAATGTGCCAAATAAAAATATAAATTATGCGTGATAAAGAAGTAGTTAATAATGAAGGGAATATCTTAGACATGTTCAAAATACTTGTAAGATAGTCTGTGAAAATCCTGATGTTTTCGAACAAATGTGCCAGTTATGTAGATGACATGCTGCAGGTATGTATTGAAAATAATGGGGGACGTTAAACATCTCTTCTAAAAAACAACAAATAAAGTTAAAAAATAAAGTTCAACTAAATTGATACTGTTGATTTATGTCCATTATTTCGATAACAAAGTATTTGTGTGATTATATGTTCGTATGAACATTTGTTTTTCTTTTTATAGATAACACACTTACAAATTTTTAAAACATACTTTTGACTCGCCCTGTTATATATAAAGTTTCATTAAAATTAAATTTTTTGGGTTAGTGAGGTTTTCTTCTAAGAAACTACGTAATTATATTTTATTGTGTATTATTGTATATTTCTTACATAACTATATCTTATTGTATGTTGACTATCATTTAAAGAGTCGCGTACATATTGAATTTTATTTATATCTTTTCTTTCATATTTTCAAAGTTGTTACATTTTTTATTTAATATTATTTTATACATAATAAATAAAAAAAATATATAACTATAAATTTTATTAAATTTTATTAAAAAATATATAATTAATTTGTATAAATATTTGCAATGAAAATTGCAGTTTTAAAAATGTATCTAGCTATATACGTCTAGCACAATACATAATAAATATACAGATAATAAATAAATATACAAATATACATCTAGCATAATACATAATAAATATACTTTAAAAAGTAATTATTTCTTTTGATTTTTTAAATTGTTTAAAGTTTAAAACTTAAACGCGCATTATGACTTTTGTTTAATATATAAAAAATACAGTATTTACAGTATTTTGAAAAATATCATAATTATGTTGTATTAACCTTTATTTAAATTGATATTTGAATAATTCGCATTTTGAAAAAAAGAAAAACAAATATTTTTAATTATTTTCTGTTTAATTGGTATGTATTTTATTATATTGTGTTAATATGTGTATATATATGCGCGCGTGCATGTTTGTACATGAGTTAGTAGATAGTTTTTTCCAAATATATAATTTTATATGATTTTTATATTTATATCCATGCAGAAAGTAAAGACTATATATTAAATAAGTAAATTGTCCCACCCCTTAGTTTGTAACTAGCCGCTAGTTCTCTTCTTAAGCTACTATTCACGTATTCAGTGCGAGATCAGTGTCAGATCGTCAATCAGTGCGTTCGGACGATAGAGCTTCGTCTTGCGTAGTGTCATACTATTTTGTGAGCCTTGTCGCGCCAACCGAGGAAGAACGGTATTTTCGGTGTTTTGCGCTCGAACCACATCTCCTAAGATATTTCGAGGTGAGTCAATAGAAGATGGCAACTTGAGCGAGCAACCGGCTGTCGAACACGTGCACGTTTGTGCTTGCGCCGCCAACGCACTATTTAGAATTGCATAAATACATAAGGTGATGGATAATAATAACAAATTTTATATATCCGTATTTTATTATCCGTGTTTTATTATGTATAAAAAGAAAATAACAGATTTTATGTATTATATATATTTTTATCAATCAAGAATAGATTTTTTCCCTTAAATGAGATTAAATGCTAATTCATATAAATTAATATTAAATATATGCTACTTTGAAATATTTTCTTAATATTTACTATTATAAATCTTAGTCTAAAATAAAAATCTAAATCATCTAAAATCTTAATCTAAAATAATTAAGTCACAAATTAAAATTTGTAAAAATATAAATAAAGATAGAGATAATCAAAGACTTTATCTTTTTAAATTTAAATATGCCATTGATATATAAAAATTACTTGTATTTTATATGTATTTTCTTTATATAAAATTAAAACTATAAAAAATACAGTTACATAAACATAAATCCACAGAGAAATATATATAAAAATAATTAATTTCTAAATTAATTGTCAAATTCCTAAATAAAATTTCTAAATTAATAATAATCTCTAAATTTTAAATTATGGATATATATTATAAAACTATTTGTGTGTGTGTTTATTTTGATATCCTCATATTAATACTTTTTATATAACTTTTTGGTATTTATTATTATTTTAACTAAATTAAATGAGATAGAATATTTTTCTAAAAATTATTGTAAAAAGTGATAACAAATGTTATCAAATTAAATTTGCTTTTTTCTTATTGTATTTATTATTATATTAATATTATTTATATTAGTATTAGTAGGAATAAATTACAAAATATTAATATAAGAAAGTGTTTTTAAAAATGTTAATGTAAAAGCAAGAGAGAAGTCACATAATGATTTTATTTCAACCATTAGCATTATATTATCATTATTATTAAATTTATGTTGTTATAAACAAATATAGTTTCATATTTATATATATCAGATTACATCCATATATTTAGTTATTTGTTTTATACATGTTCTTGCCTTTATAGAAAGGAGGAGAAAAAGAAGAAATAAGATGAACACAGTTGAATTTTTTTGACAATATTTATTAAAACTTAAAAATTATTCTTATTTTTAAGATAACAATTTTTCTTTGTTTCATCTTTTTTATTATATATATAAAAATGAATTTAAGTTAAATACAATGCATATCTGATCAAATGTGAAATTTCCCTCTCCTATTCTCTCTCTCTTTCTCTCTCTCTCTCTCTCTCTCTTTCTATTTTTCTATCTATGTTACGATACTACTTATTTACGGATCTATTTTACGGATATTTTTGGCGTTAAAACTCCGTTAACGAAATTTATGTTTTCTAATATATACTTCTTAAGAATCATATTTTAGAAGCTTTGTGTTATGAATTGTACGTATTTTCCGAATATTGTTTGTTGCAATATATATAATACAAAGAATAAATGAACTTGTAAGGAGAAATATTATAGATGTCATATATGGCACAAAAAAGAATTTAAATTATAAGTAACAATTGTCTGAATTATACAATGCAATATACAATCGATGCAGAAAAAATAAAATAAATAAAAATTTATATACACTATGTATAAAAACATATTATATATATATATATATATATATATATATATATATATATATAAAAAGATTATTATATTTTCACCATTTAACCAATTCGATTATTTGCATTGCAGAGGAATGATTACTGGACATTAATAATACATTATGCTTTCAGATTATAAAAAATTGTTCTACAGTCTTAGTTTATGAAAAAATTAATATCATTTCGTAATATCTTCTTTATTACAAAATTTTATTCTTATGATAGTTTTTCTTTTGCAGATTCCACAATATTTATCATTATTATAATAAGAATCAATTCTTTCTTCAAAATTTAAATATAATCTTGCAATACACGATATTTCACGGGGAACTAAAGGGAACTGTATTTTTAAAACAGGTTAAGATAAAAAACAATCATAAAACAAAATTAAATGATTTTATATGCTTATTTGGTTTTACACTTTTGTTGCATTTATGCATTTTTATACAGTTACAAAATATAATTTTTTAAACTGCTCTTTTTTAAATAGGTTCCACAGTTGGGTGTATAGTCAATGTAGTTTTTATCATCTATAAAAAAACTGTAGTCTAAAAATTGTTAGTGTGTCTAAAAATGATTAGTTCAGAATTTATTTTAACTTTAGGGACAAAAATGTGAAAAATGTCAAAAAATTAGATTATATATTTTTCCGGTTAATATTTGTTAATTTAACAAATGCTTTTAAGTATTAATTTAACAAAATGTTTCTAAAAGATTCCCTTATTAAAATTTATAAATTGATTTTTTAATTATTTTAAAAATATTCACTTATATATTATTACATAAATAAAAAATGCATATATGTAAAACATGTTTCAAAAATAGTTGTAATTAATATGTTACATCTTTAATATATATTAACATAATATCGGAATACGTTATAGAAAATAAATTCATTCAAATATTATAAAATATTGCATAAATGGCAATAAATAGCAATCAATAATAAATTTATTATTTCACATAGGTGGCAGCAATTATTTATAATTCGCTGGCAATCTTGTAAAATTTTTGGCTTATATATTTTTGATGATTTGTATTTGTATGATAATTATTTAATATCAAAAACCTAATTAATTAATAGAATGTATTAATTATTGACAATATATTTATTATCATGAAAATCTCATAAATGTTTGATTAAATAAGATTTATTTAAATATACGTTTTATATATAGTTTGTTAATGAATTCATCTTCAAATACATAATAAAAATTAAGATGTATATTTTGATTTAAAAATGGTAAGCTTGAAATTTCAATAAGTAGTTGTTGCAAAAAATTAAATTAAATTGCCATATTTTTCCTCTTAAATAAAATTATTTTTATATAAATTTTTTATATAAACACTTTTTATTTTTAATAATTTCATATGGATAATTGAAAATATTTATTTATATGGAAAATATTATATACAAGTAATGTATTAATATTTTTAAGATATTAAATATATTATTTATAAAACGAGAATCTTCATAAAAATATAAAAAAATCATTATTACATCTGAAATATTATAAATTATATTATTTATTAATTGAAATATTTTAACAAATTAGTAATTTAGATTTTGTTAAAAATTATAAAACAAGATTAAATAAAAGCAAAATTTTAGTTATTTCATAAAAAAAAATATTTATTTTAAAAATATTTCATAATTAAAATAAATTATTTGGCATTTTAATTTTATATTTTTTAGAAAAGTTTTTGTATCTAAATTTATTAGAAACGTGTACAATAAGTTGCAAAAATACCTGAATGCTGTTGATTTTAATCTTCAGTAATTTAATATATGGTTCTATCATAGTAATAATCTTAAATAAATTAAAAAGTTAGATTACAATTTTCAAATTTTTATTCAAATATTAATATATAAATATTAGATTATAAAATATTAATATATAAATATTAGATATTGTTTTAAAAATACAATTTAAATTAATATTTACATTTCTTTGAAATATTAATTGTGTGAATATCATTTTAGTATTTGAACGATTAAATAATATTAACACATATTCATTACAATATACATTTTTATAATTTAATAAAACTTTACTATATTAATATAATATCGAGTTATAATTTGTTTGCTTATATATATATACACGATCTACTATGTATATATCCAATTCTATCTGTTTAAACAAAACTCTAATTTATCGAATAATTTCACATTAGCTAACATAGAAATTCTAAAATGATGTGATTGTATTGCATTTCTAAATCTAATTTAAAGTTATTTTTACATTGACCCTATTTATTATTTCTTTTTATGAAATACTTTTCGATAATACATTATACTCGCGTTAGTTTTCTTAAATGTCAGGTAATTGACATTGATGTCGATCATATACGCTTACACACGCTCACACATACTCATTTATACTTACACATATATATACTAAAAGATGTTTCCATTCTCCAACTATCATGATTTGGAATATACTCATATATTTTTTGAAAGTTAGTAGTTGTCTTCATATTGTACGAAATAAATATCAGAAAACTTCGATTTTTAATCACTTATTCTTTCGTTTTTCGAATTAAATTTCATACCAACAATTCCATCACATAGTAATTATATTCTGTATCCATTTTTTAAAAATTTTATTATATTTATTTAGACCAAATATATATTAAATTTATTAAATTACATATATTAAATTTTTACTTTATTTTACAAAAATATTATGTTTCCAAACTCGTAAACATATATTCTAATAAAATTTCACTATATTATTTTTTCCAAGGAATTTGATCAAAGAGAATTTTCTGGCATAATAAATTTGTTTGTCAGAGAGAATCAGCTATTATATAACTGAGTTATAGCATAAGTTTTCAAGTCAACAATTTTGAAGTCAAAATATTGAATTTCTTTTTATTATATATTAATAAAAAAAATTAATGTCAACAGGTTAAGTATTTACAGTTAATTATTTACATTAACACATGTCTCTAATGATCATTTTTTTTTTTAATTTTTTTCTAATTATCTTGATATTGTAAAAGAGGAAGTATTAATTAATATTCATTTATGATTTAAAATCAATAGTCTCTTATATTATAAAAAAAGTTAAATTTCAGTAATTTTTAAATTACGATGAGAGTATATAAGTAGAGAGTATGTAAGATATAAGAAATATGATTTTGCATTTAACATATATTATTATATTAAGGTGATGATTCCGGAAATTTTAGGAAGATTTTAACTGTTTAATGATTTAATAATTCTTAATTTTTTTATATAGAGAAGAGAATCAACTTATTTAAGAAAAATATTATTTATTTACAAAAATAAAGATAATTTAAAATATAAAGGAACGCATGCTACCAGAAAAATTGGTTACATATATTAATTACATATATTGTTATATATATTATGTTATATATATTAGTTTTTTTCTAAAATTATAAAACTTTTATTTTATTGTTTATTAAACAATTATTAACGATTAAGATTGATACAAATAAATATGGCAATTTGAATTTTTGAGTTCTACATTATTTGCATATTTTATAAGTTTACAATTTTCCGTTCTTATATTAACTTTACAATAAATAAAATTTATTCTGATTGATAGAGAGGACATGGAGAATTATATTTATGGCTATTTTGTTTCTTCGATATAATGCTACTTGATTTCTCATCTAGAAAACATTAAAAAAATATGATATTATCAACAAATTATTGATATTAATAATAAAAAATTATGATAAATACGAATTACAAAAATACAACAAATGCTTGTTTCTAAGACTTGTTTTAGAATTTATACTTGTTTTAGAATTTAATAGAAAAAAATGATATAATAGATAATGAAAACATATATTATAATAAATGCAGAAATAATAAAACATATGATTCAGCGATACAAAAAATTATAATCAATACAAATAGTCATTATATCGAATATGTTTTATAATACATGTTATATATTATACATTGTATTTTCGATGAAATAAATTATTGTGAACTTAATATGTGTGTATTTCTTTTTTATTTTCTTTTTTTTCATATATTGATTTTAATAGGTAAATCTGCAGTTAGACGACAAGTTAAGCATCGTGAGATTGCTAATATAAAAGTTAAAATACCTCGGAGAACTACTGTAGTATTAAAATACAAGTACTCTATATTTTTTTCTTGGAAATTTCTATTCTATAGAATTATAAAATAGTCATTTCAATATAAAAAAATTAAATCTCCTTTATTTACTACTAAACTATTGCAATATTGAAGCCGTAAACTTCTTCTGAATTCTTACTTATTGTTTAAACAAATAGCGGAAATATCTTAGACAAAGTAGACTATCAGATAGAGTAGACTATTCTATATATAATTTTATATTCTAAATTATGTTATGCTTTTTTTGCCCTTTTATGTATGCACAATTATTCCAAAATATTTTCGGAAATAAAGTTTATAATTTCAGGGAAGAAATATATGTATTGAATTTTTTTATTTATGCTTTTTTAATATTATATTTATATTTTATTATATTTATATTTTATTATATTTATATTTATATTTTAATATTATTTTTATTTTTGTAAATAAGATAATATATCTTTCCTATATAAATGGATCTTCTTCATTATAAAAAAAATTAAGATAGAATTATTAAAAAATCAATAGAGATAAGAAGAGTTTATAAAATATTTTGCATAAATTATTTTAATATGTATTATTGAAAAATAAATATTGGGTTTGTTGATTATTTCAGAAGATGCTCTGCTCTGCCATTATATGAACATCATTTTAGACTATAATATGTATCATCCATCTTCAAGATAATGGTAAATATAATTCATAATGAAAAAATTATTTTTTTATTATTCTTGATATATGGATAACCATAATAGACACTATATAGGGTATATCGTAACATGTAGAACTCACTTCAGGGATGGGTAGCGGGCACACCAACAATGAAAAAAGTTCATATTACATGTGTCCTATTTGACCTTGTTACAAAGTTACAGGACGTTTAATATTTAAATAACTGGCAACCGATTACATTCATATAAGGTGCTCGAAATAGCTACCGCCGCTCTGAATGCAAGCATGCAGTCGCCGTATCAAAGTCGACTATCGCACTCTTTCAAATATTCCAGGTGTATGTCGGATCTGTTGGCAAGCTTCTTGTATACATGCACATAGAACTTCAACACTGGCAATGGGTGCAGAATACACAATTGTCTTCAAGTGGCCCCATAGATAAAAATCTAATGGATTTAAATCTGAGGAACGAGCAGATCAAGCAATAGGTTCTCCACGACCTATCCATTTCAAACGTCCTGTAACTTTGTAATAAGATCAAATAGAACACATGTTAATATGAACTTTTTTGGTGTGCCCCCTAGCCATCCCTGAAGCGGATCCCACATGTTACGATACCTTGTATATTATATATATATATATATATATATATATATATATATTATTATATATATTTTTTAAATAAAATATAAAAATGTAAAAGTTATAATTATTCTTTCGGATATTGTTTAAAAAGCGCTGCGCGGTGAGCAGTGCTATTTGAAGCTGATTCATCTGATATCAAAAATTCGATAAACTGTAGTTAATGCATAAAATTGTCTAGTAGATGAACGAAGGAAAAATCGAAGGATTGTTGATTAATCGAAAAATTGTTTTGGGACAAAATAGCAGCTATTTGACACTAAGATATTCTTTTTCGACTTAAAAATCGCTTATTTTTTATTAAGTAAAAAAAAGTATCTATTAAACAACAAAATTCTTCGTTCATCTACTAGGTTTTCATATGTAGAAGAAGCCTGTAAAATTTCAAGCAAATCAGTGTAACGGTTTTCGAAATATCTTACACGGACTTTGAAAGAGTGATTTCGAGAAAAACACGTTTAAGATTTGTGTCAAGTTTACTCTTAAATAAAATGCAGATTTTTTAATTTACACGAAATCATTTATTCCGAGCCCATATAATTTTAGTTTATTTAACTCTTTATATATTGCTTTATATATTAGTCCTCACAAAACATCAGAGTTAAAGCTTTATAGTCGTGTTTAAACGAAGTTATACATTCTGGCGCTTCATGAAATATACACTTCTAACTCCATCAATTTGCATCCGATTAATTTGAAATTTTTAGAAAATATTTTCAATATGATATACTTCAAGAAAATGTAAAAACAAAAATCTTTTTTTTTTACTTTTATGACTAGATATAATCCCTTAAATAAAAATTGAATGATATTAAAGAATACATACATATAATACAATAATATGTGTGTGTGTGTGTGTGTGTGTGTATTTTGTTTTTTTTTCTTTTATCTTAAATATGAGGTCGTCTTAAGTTTTTTAAACAAAACATTCAACATTTTATTCTAAAATTTAAAAAATATCGAATTGAATAAAAACTTATTTTTATAATGTCAAAAGTTAATTATTAAGAAATTTTTAAATTAATATATAATGTAAATAATGTTGTGTGTGTAAAATGCAAGAGAAACTTTAACATATATAAAAATGTAAATGATGTAAAATGTGAGAAAAGTCTAATTGAATAAATATGTATTACGTATATCATTTTTATTCATTATTGATATTCTTGTACATTTATATTAAGTATAACAAACAATATTTCGAGCATGATTTATACACCAAAAATTTTTTAATATCTTAATAATTGACAATTAATTCCTTAATTTTTTAAATTTATATATCTAATATATTTTTACTTAATAATCGATATTCTTTAAAATTTTTCGAAGTAGAATATTTTACTTAAAAAATTCTAAATATAGGATTTTCATATTTAAATAAAAAACAAGATAGCAAAAAGCTTATCAAGAAGCACAATAGTGTATTATGTATGTGCCAAGTCATGCGCAATAATCATGTGTAGTAAGAGTGAGGCATACCATATGGCATATCTATATGCAAACTGCTCAGTTGAAAATATCTCGGATTATAGAATTTCAGTAATGGTCGGATCAACTAATTTTTTAATAATCTTAATTGATAGTTTCGATTTTAAATATATAGAAAATGTTTTTATTATGCTTCTACACATAGTATGAACAGAGGTATTATGATACAAAATCCTCTAATGTAGAAATTTGGCTGCGTTTTGGAAGTCTATAAGTTCAGTACTGGAAGTTTACAAGTTCATGTTACGTATAGTGTAAATTTTCAGTATTGATAGTGAATTTCAAAATGCTACCTTTAAAACATCGCAGTTGTATCATTTCATAAACACCTTAGAACATATATACTAGAAGAGTCATAGATATGATGTATCTAAATCGTGCGTTTGTCTTTATTTAAGGAGTATAAAGATATACGCTTACTTTGCTCCGTGCATTTTGCGTTTTCTCTCGCTTGCATGAAACATAGCATTGTCTCTCGTTACGTACGAGCGGGAGAGAATGCAACGAATACAAAATAGAATATCTTCTATGTGTACTTCGGTCCTTCTCCTCAACACTCGGATTCTTCTTATAGATAAACCATAAAAAAATTGATTTTTGCAGTCTCTAACATATATCTGCTGTTGTTTGTTTATTCACCGTGATACGCATGTATCAATTATGTATAGCATAACTGCAACTTATGTGTGTGTGTGTGTGTATGTACTATATATACGTATGTGTGTGTGTGTGTGTGTATCTCATACCATCGCGTATCGCAGCAAATAAACAATTTTAAACAATGATAGAATGTTGGAAACACTTTTGTTATGTTTAGATTGGTTGCAGTTTCAGTATATATATTCTAACAAAGATAAACAAACATAACATAGATAAATTTTCGTAAAATTTCACATTTTGCCACAAGGTTGCTCAAATAGCACTGCAGTACAATATTATCATTGAATTCTTTATGTCCTAAAATAAGGTGATTTATTATCCAAATAGCAAGAAACATTTTAATTATCCTAGTAAACATAATACGCGTAATATTTCAGCAGAAAGTAATATTTCATCCAGCAACAAATAACTGCAAATTTTGCTGATTTCTATCGCTAATTTGCTGTCAATTCCACGCATGTAAATTTTATTCAGTTTTTGCTGCTAATTTGCTATAAAATTTGTAAGCAGATTCTGCTGGCAAATCACAAGGCTAATACAAACATAAGTGATACGAATATAGTTGATAATTTGTTAATAATTTTCGTATAAATCTGTTGCTAATTTGCTAACATATTGTATGCATTTTGCTTAGTACAGTAATATATCAATAAAATTCATAGATCTGCTGACAGTCTATCAATATATCATATATATATATATTCAATTTTGGCTATCCCATCCTTAAAACTTTTACACGGAATATATTGTGATGAATCGATTTCTACAGGTAAAATATAGAATAATTCCATTAAAAAAACTAGATTAACTTTCACATAGGCTTATTTATACTCACGGTCAAATTAATATCCTTTCTCTTGCTCCAAATCCTACTACTTTTATTTAGAACATTTTTTTAAATGCATTGTTTTCGAGATATTACGGTATTTAAAATAGAACATAGTCTATATATATATATATATATATATATATATATATATATATGTGTGTGTGTATATATAATTAACATATAATATAAAATGTAATATTGTAATATTGTAATATTGATCATAAATATCAGTATCTAATGAAATATGAAAATTTCAAAGAGTGCAGTTATAATGTAACACTCAAAAAAATTACTTAAAAATATTTCTTGTTGGAATAAAGGAAGTGAAAATGAATGGTGCGTAGTATTTATCTCAAAAACAAAGTTGTTAATTACACTTTAAAAATATAGAATCTTTGGATGCACTACAGATATCATTTGTTTCTAGGAATTAATATAAAAATTATTTATGATTTATGTTTATATTATAAAATATTTTTATATAATATTATTTTATAAAATATTAAAATATTAAAGCATCAAATATCAAATCAAATATTAAATATATATAAATATATATAAAGTATCAAAGTTTACTTTACATTAATTAATTCTACTTTTTCATAAAATTAAAGAAACGTATAAATATCTAAAAAAATAAAATAAAGTACAATAGATACATTTCTAAATAATTAAATTATCACAAATCATAAATAATAATTTTTTAAAAAGAAAAATATTTAATACTTAGACAAGTGTTGAGAAAGACGCAATTATTAGTGACTAAGAAAACATATAATTGTACAGCATTTTCGATTCTTTTTATATTATTTTTATAAAAATAATTGTAATAATTATTTGATTCTTACAACTGTATCTCTTGAAAAACTATAATTTTGCAGAAAAATATGGAAGAAAATACAATGTCAAATATCAAAAATGTCTTTCAGAATTGTAAAGTTGTTTGTCTTTTTTATATAAAGAAAACAATAATTTAACCCATTCAGACTTGAATTTTTTCTGTAATGTAAAACATTATTAAATTAATTTTTATTGATGCTAAGGATTTAAAACGACGATATATATATATATATATATATATATATATATATATATATTTTTTTTTTTTTTTTTTTTTTTTTCGAGATATATATGTATATATATTTTTTTTTTCACCGAGAGATCACAGGGAACCTAATTCTAAAAAATAACTATTTCACATGATTTTAAAGTTTTTGTGCATAATTGTGTACATAGGGTCTGAACGGGTTAAAAACATAATAAATATAAAATATGAAAAATAAATATAATGAAAACATAAAAATATAAACATAAAAATAATAAAATGAAAGAAAGAACAACAGAATTTCTTTTCTTCTTAATATTTTTCTTTTACTAATCAAACTATAATTATTGTAAACTATAGATGAAATTATTGTTAATTATAGATGAAAATTTTAAACCGCAAATATAACAATTTATATGTGAGTGTTTTACAATTTTTTAGGAACATTATCTTTCTTCTATTTATTATTGAAGCCAAAATGAAATCCAAAATTTTGCCTAAAATATGATTTTATTTTAGGAAGATAAACTCTTAAACTAGATCTTATTTCAAAGTTAGAATGATGTTTGATAAACTCTTAAACTAGATCTTATTTCAAAGTTAGAATGATTTAGTGGACTTTTCTTAAATTTATTAATTTGATAAATGAATGAAATATTTTATACATTATTCTATTTTCAATTTTATTTAAGAAATATGACAAATCTTTTGCATCAATCTCATAAATATAAAAATGTATTCTTATGCATCTGACCTTTTTCTATGTTGCCAGGTTGTTGGTCCAAGTTAAGATATAAACACTTGCAGAACGTCGTTGAACGTCGTAGCAGACATTATCGACTTATTGCACGTGCCAGATTATTGCACGACGCATTCTTGAATTGTTACCAAGAAGCAGAGAGAAACAGAAGTGGACATGGCAAATCGAATGAAGGCTTTGTACAATCAGGTACAGTACATATACAATAAGAATTTAGTTGGAAACAGATATTATTTAAGTTAGATAGATCTTAAATATTTACTTAATATTAAATGCTGGCATATATAAACTATATAGCATATTTCATGATATTTTAACATGAACAAAAATTTATGAAATAATGAATAATTAGAAATCTACTTAGAAGTTAAGAAGACAGAATAATAAATATCAATTACTAAATACAGAATAAAAAAATACAAAATTTTAATAAATATATATTAATAAATAAAAACTGAAACTGCTAACACACTTTAGAAACTATATCAATATTCATGAAATTAATATATTAATATAATAAATTTTCATATAAATTTCACAAAATATAATAATATGTAAAAAGATATTGAAAATTTTTAAAAGAATTGCGAAGTCATGTACTGATAAAGTGCAATTTTCATAGTTTTTCTATATTTATATTAATTTTATACAAAATTAATATGAATGTTTTTAATAAGATTCTCTTGTTTCTAGAGCATCAGATTCTCAAGATCTAATATCTATTATTTTTCTTATCTAACAATCGTAATTTATTCATATAAAAATTACAATTTTTATACTTTTTATTTTATTTCTCTTCGAAAATAATTGTAATTAATTAAGATTTTATATATATATATATTATTTTATATGTTACGTTCCGCAAATAAATTATAATTATTTTTAATATCTACAAATATTTCTTTTCCAATAAAATATGCATGCTATGCAACATTATTAAATTATATTGTTTTTTCACAATGTTTACACTTCATTTTGATATTATTTAGTTTAAAAGATTTATAGCAACTAAAATATAGAAAATAAGTCACAAAGTTATTTACAGAATTACATATATTAAACAACAGGGAAAATATATTTGTTTATGTAACGTCCATTGCTGCAAATAAAAAAATTTTTTAATTTATTATAATTGATAATTACGATTTTCGACACAATTATTTCGACTTTGCTTCACAGCTGGACCGACTTATATCGTTATATCGTTTTATAAGAAAGCTCCTGTGTCAATTTTGTATCGTTTGTGTTGTTTGTTGGAAAACATCTTATGTAGATACTCGCTATTGCACAGTGTTGTATGTATATAACAAAAAAAAGTAGCACAAAAGCATTCGATTGCTATAAAACGTGTGAAAAACAACAATAAAAAATATAGTGCATACATTTATTTAGATAGACAAGTCTGCTAAGATCAGTATTCTAAATTAAATCAATTATTGCAAATTATACGCTGTATATTATGTTAATAGAATAGAATTCCGGTAATAATCGCGCATGATCTGTTGCCTCAGTTAATGTCGACAAAAATGAAGCAGAAAACAAGCAATCTCTGTATCATAACATGCTATAAAAAGTGCTATAAAATTTAATTAGAAGTTTTTAACATAAAAATGATAGATCTTAAACATTATATCACAAGCATATCGGCACAATATGTCAACACTGACAATGAGCATGCTATATCAGTAAAATATCATCAATTATCAAGTTCATCTACAACCACGGCATGATGGCAAAATACGGCAAAAATTGAGCATGTGCTGCAGTCTCAAAAAAATAACAGTAAAACACAATTAAAATTTATATAATATAACTTATAATATCTAGTTCTATTGTATCTATATTTCCAGATAACCAATCAATATGATAAATCGTATTGCTGGATCTGCTGTAAAATCATAATTGAATTTGATAATATACTGTTAGCAAATTGTTAGCATTTTGTCATCTAGAAATTATTATTAATTATTATTATTATTAATAATAATGAGTTAACAAAGTGATTAGATCAAACTAGTGCGTAACTAGTGCATAACTAGTGCATAATTTGTTAGAAAGCTGCCATAACAAGAAATTTCTATATCAAGTTATCGAATTATTCGCTTACTAGAGATTAATAATAATATAAACAGATTAATTTAGCTATATATGATAGCTATTTATAGCAAGTGTGCCTATTTAAAGTCAAAAAGTGGAATAAAATCAAAGAATTAAAAAAAATATTATAGAAAAAAAATTAAGATTAAATTAGGCCTTATATTATAAAAAAGAATAAGAGATGATTTAAGGAACAATACAATTTATTTATTAGTGCGTAATACATTAGTAGTGCAACAAAAAATTTCTATACTAAATTCCTATGTTATCTAATTTAATCTTTACAATATATATTGAATTTACTCTTACTTTGCTTGATTAAATTTGAATAAATTTTTATACTCGCGAATATATACGCATAAATCAAATAAAAAAGATTAAAGGAAATTAGCCTGAATATAAATATAATTTTAAATGTTGCATTTCTTTATATACTTCTCACGATTAAATCTCTTATTATTTTCTTAAAAGCTAAACAAATTTTAGTTTGAAATTCTGTGTCAATGTTTTTCAGGAATCTAGCATCTCATATTCGAGTGTAATAAGAAATCGCAGAATCACATGATCATCTTCAAGAATGATATGTCAGACAAAAGCATGTGCAGTTGTTATTATATATGTTTTACGTTTAAAATGTAGGTTTTTTTGTTTGAGAAATTTGTTTTTCGGATGATCTCTTTTCAGCTGTTTCAAAAAGTTTCTATTAAAAAAAATTTTTATTAAAAGCTTTTTCATTTACAATTATTTGTAGCATTATTTTATATTTAAACAGTTTTGTTTTTAAGTTCGGAATTCCTTATCTTAGATTTTTATGCATACTTTATTTCTAGTAATTATAATATTTTTTCATTTAGATAGTTTAATTTTTCACATATTCATTTGTTGTGTCATTTTATAGAAGTTTGAGATTTTTCTTTCAAAAAAATAATTAATATCATTTATTAAATTGTCAATCGATATGAAGTTACATTATAATATTTTGTATTTGAATGATAAAAATTTGATTGTAAAAAAAATTATGTTTACAAGAACATTTAAATATTTGATAATATGTAACATATATGATTAAAATATTATATATTATATATATATATATATATTTATATATATAAATATATATAAATATTATATATATATATATTTAAAATATTATACATATTTTATTGATACATTATATATATTATATATTATATATATATGTGTGTGTGTGTGTGTGTATGTGTGTGTGTGTGTGTGTGTGTGTGTGTGTACACATATATTTTTATATAGTTAATAAGTTACATAAAAATTATTATATAAAAAGATTATTTTTATATGTATGCATTTTTTAATTAAATTTATTTTTTTAATTTGATATGGATATTTATGTCTTAATTTTTTATTAAATTTCTATCTATCATTTTTGTCATAGATATTTCAAAAAATTTTTAAGATATTTTTAGGATGTTTCATATTTATGTGAATTTATTCACAAATATTAATATTCGCTGAAAGTGAGAAGAACGTATAAATATTGTATTAATACTTTTTTACTAGGTTATTTTTGAAAGGCGACTTCTTTTGGGTTGTACTGCCCTTGTGGGATTGTCAGCATGCATATGGTCTGTGGCTATAGGAACTGATTATTGGTTCACACTCGAATCACCAGATAATCATGGTTTACCTTTGGGAGGTGCTAAAATTGGTAGAAGATTGATTTATAGACGCACGGGTCTCTGGAGAAGTTGTACCATTGGATTGGAACCCAAACCGAAAAATTCTACGAATTTAGTGCGTTATGGTGAGTATGATTTATTTTTTCACAAAATATAATAAAAATATTTTTTAAGAAGATTAAAATTAACTTGATTTTATACATGCGATAATTAATTTTATACATATGTAATTATATGATATATGATTAATATTTTAAAGGATCTTTTATAATTATCTATTAATTTGTAAAATAAAGAAAAATAATTTTAATGGTTTTATATATATGAATAGATTTTTTAAAGATTTTTTTAATTTAAAATTTTGCCGAGTGAAATGTCAAAACTTTTTGGAAGACTAATTTCTTTTTAGAAGAATAATTTTTTGAAAATAACTTTTTTTGATATTGAAAAAGGAACATATTCAAACCCAGTTTAATTTTTAGTTACAATTGATCAAAGTAAATTTCTGCTATTGCAACAATTCTGCTATATAGAAAAATAAAAATTAATATTTACTTACACAAGTTGTTCTTGTGTAGAATATCTTTCTTAATTGTTAAAATCCTCTTATAAGCTTGTAACTTTACAAAGTATAATCTAATGATGTCGGTATGCATATGATCTGTGGCTATCAAGCGACGCAGCAATAATAATGTCATAACGTCAAGTAGATAAAAACTTTTCGGCTTGTCGACAGTTTTGCCTATATATAGATCACGACTTATCAAGCTCATCATTTCACGTCAAGTAAACAGACATTTCAGATTCAATTACAGACATTTCAGAAATTAAAGCCGTAATAAAAAATCTAACGGCACTTTTATTATATAATGTGAATATGAATACAAGATTTACATTATATAATAAAACATTAATAAAACATTATATAATAAAACATTATATAATAAAAGAGCTCCTCTCTTATCCACGTATTCAATTTATGTTCTAAAGAAAGATATATCCACAATAACAAAACGTGGTAAATTGAATACATGGACAGGCAAGAACATAGTCCTTTCCCTCCCCACACTTCACCTTTTTTTTGCGAAAGGGGAGGTATGTATTACGCAGCTCCTACTAGATGACCTAGTGAGGAAGTGTGAGACTTCCCATCGATTTACCATCCCGATCAAGGAGGACGGATCATCTCTTTAAGGCCTTTTAGGCCGAGAATGATTCGTTCTCTTCCATTTTCATTGAGAAGGACCTCTCATCGTCGTTTACAACCCGTCTTATACGATGAGTCCTAGAGGATCCTCCAAGAGGACCGAGGTCTTCTTTGACTCCAATCTTCTCCTTTCTAGAAGCCTTCTTCCTGGAGGAAGGGGAGAAGAGGCATCCTGTTCTCCAATAAGAGATCTCTCTTTTGTAATTCCCTTACATTATCGCATTCCTATCTCCTACATTCTAAGGCGCCCGGATATTTTGATGGGAAAGGTCGCCGCAACAGCTTCTCGGATGACAGTCTTCCCGATTTTTCACTTCTATCTTAAAAAAATCTAACTTAACCCAATCCACTTTTTAGAAGTGAGACATTATTTGATATAAATAGTTTTTCGAAAATATTATTTCGTTTCTAAAAAATTGAGATCAGTTTAAATGAGAGGATTGGGTCAGAGTAAATTTTTTTTAGAAAACATGATGAGAGTATTTGATTGCATGCATTCAATTTATCATATTTTGAAGCACAATTTTAAAGAAAGAATTTAAAATTACAAATAAATAAAACCAATCTAAAATGTTCATAAAATTAGACAGAAGAAATCAAAAGCATTATATCTCACACCTATAAATAGATAATAAATATTTCTATATAAAATGTGCATATTCCTACAGAATATTTATAGAGAATGTATATATATGTTGATTTCCTTAAATGCACATGATATCCGAAAAGGATATCCATTTATTAATAACTGTTTAATAAACTCTGAGCAATAACTAAAATCTGTTAAATATTACGCAAGGACATAATCTGGACAAATATGTATCTAGATCAAGATAATTAATTGGATCCTCTTTTCGGTATATTTACCGATAATATATTTAACATAACATATTTAACATAACACATTTGATGTCGTGCTATTATTTACATTTTCAACATAATAGTGCATACGCATTACACTGCATGTTATAAACAAAATTGTGTCAATATCACCTTATTTGGTAGTAAGCACATCTATCTATTTATTTATTTTATAACACCAAATTTTTGTACTTATTAACATTGATATTTTGTCAAAAATTTCCTTATTTGGGTAGTCCTATTTTTTGATGAAAATATATTTTTCTTCTTATATGGGTGAATTATTTACTACTATAATACATAATAATATAACATTGCTATAATATATAAACTAAAATATATAAAATTGTTATAATATATAATATGAAAATTTACGCGCGTAAGCATATAAATTATTAATTGATACTTATTAATGGTTATTTTTATTACTGGCTATTATTAATGATTATTTTATTGCAAAGAAAAAATTTTTGAATAGTAAGCGTGATGAAGCGCATACGGTTATCATGCATATAGTGATATAGAGGTATTTTTAACTTATTTTTGAAAAATGTGATTTTGAAATACAACTTTATCATTTATAGTTGAATTTGGCATTAAATATATGTTTTACGTTTTGCTTTAAAGAAATTTTAAAATTTTTATAAATTGGAGGAAAAGGAATGTTAAAAAATGAATTTTAAAATGAATATTTTAGAATGATCTTATTGCATTGTTATAAAGTACATTAAAAACTATGGAACATTTATTTGAAACTTTTTTTTATATTTTTTACTGTTTCAATGGTATTCACACAGAAATGTGAAACCGATTAAATTTAAAACTGATTTTTTTCAAGAAGATGTTTCACTTTCTTAATGGCATTTAAGTACATATAAAAAAATATGTGTCTCCTTTTTGACCTAGGCTACAACATATCCAAAACTCATTAAAATCGGAGGTGGACACTTCTGACCCTTTCCTAACACTCTTAACAAGGTAAATGAAATCGTCATTCACAAACGAGTAAGTGGACTTTTGCGGAAATTCACGCATCATCCAGTTATAGATGAGATGGCAGTCAAAATGTTAATAGTTTAAAAATTAAAAATCCAAGAATTTAAAAGATTATTCTTCTTTATATAAATAAATTTGATAAGTTTATTTCTAGTTTACACACATACACACATACACACATATACACACACTCACATGTATATACACAAGTGCACACGTGCGCGCGCGCACACACATACACGCACACACGCACATATATTATATATCTATATATATATATATATATGTATATATTTTGTTATTTTTCAGATGAATGCGAGTATTTGGATATGTTTCCGACAGAGATGCAAATACAATTAGATCCAAGTTTGAACATGACAGTATTGAGTGAGTATTTAATTAAATGTCTAGAATTTTGAAATTAATATATTTATAAAAAAAGAAAGTCATTTATATATACATATATATATATATATATATATATATACATACATATGTACATATATACATATACATATAAATACACATATACAGAATCAAAAATCTACTATATATACACTTTGATAATTTTAAAAACGGATAAAGAGAGAGAGGAAGAGAGAGAGAGAGAGAGAGAGAGAGAGAGAGAGATTTTATGGAATCATGAAAGCTATCTTTTGAGCAGGATGGCATCCTCAACCTCCACGGAGCAAGATTAAAAATTGTAAATAATATGAAATGGCATTGAGTGGGAGTACTCATTTGAAAATATTTTTAAAAACAAGAAAAAATGACCTTTGAAAGTTTGCTGTAATCTTCCAATCCAGAATTATGATCACATAAACAAAAATTAGTTCTTTGTGTTATCCAAGATTTACGGCAAGGATATCAGGTCCCGTATATGTGTGTGTCTCAGAGTTCGATCATCTTTAAATTTGTTGCATCACACACATATTTCTTTTGAGCTTAAAACATTTTGATCATAAACACTTATTAACCTACAATAAATCTCACTCTGATTTATGCTTTTTTGCAAAAATGATAATTGCGTGCACTTCAAATTTGGAATAATTTTTAATCACATTAGTGCCATTTTGTTCACTTATCAAACTTTGATTAGTGAATGAAAAACAATGCTTATACTATTCTTCCCCTTTTCCTATATAACGATACCTGAAACTTCGAAGTTGAATGTACAGTTCACATGTATATATACATAAGAATAACAAAAAGGGATATTTGGGATACTGGATTATCTCTGAAAAATGACGTTTTTGGAAAAAAATCTTGTATACAAAAGTTATAGGATACCAAATTACCTATCATATAATGATATTGGTTTCACCTTGATCTTGGGAAGATCACATCAAGGTCACTTTGAATTTTTTTGAAACCTTTATTTTTTATTGTACATTCTTATAGCCGATGTCGAGACGCTATAACTTTAACACTATAATACTAATTGTAAGTTCCATTTGGCCAAGAACCATTCGAGATATACGCTGCTATAATTTAAGTCGCTGGGCGTTAGTATTATCTAAAGTGTACCACGCGGAGGTCGAATTTACACCACTTCGGGGTTCTTTATTAAAGTAAGTCTCTGTGTTTCTCATATGTGTGTGTATGTGTGTACGTATAAGATATTTAGGAACAACTCCAAACAACGGTCGGTGATCCGGTGATCAGCCAAAGCAAAATCGATCAATTTAATCAACCAAAACAATTTTGGATTGTTCCGTTTAATTGACTTTCACATGATCTTAGCATTTCTATCTGAAATTAAACTAATCTCTATCTTTTCTTCCTCTCCAAACTCTAAATTTTTATTTAAAATATTTTTGTCTCTTATTTGAAATATTTTTGTAGCCGGTAGTTTTCGAAATATTTGGCTGGACTGTTTAACACAGGACACCCTGCACACACACACACGCACACACACACACACACACACAATGCTTCATATCTTTATTATTCGATCTTTATTATTGGATCACTTTCCTAAACAAATTCTATGTATAGTTTGTTTCCAGAGTGTTAAGGATTCATTTTTTTTTTAAATAGAAAAAATATAAGAAACAAGGAAACCGCTAAATCATATTTTTCTTTTCAAAACCGATGCTTTCTAGACAGTGTCGCGGCCTTCATAGACCGTTATTTATTATCACTGGCAGTTTTTAATTTTCCCGACTGGCAGGAATTTTGATTGTGCAAGGACGTATTTTCAGCAACTTTTACCCCAAGAGTTTCTTCGGATTCTTAGGACATTCATTTATCAAATATTCTGCCAGCTATCAATACAGTGGAAAATAATTCTAATCTGCAATCAGAATTATTTTCCAATCGTAGCTTTTACGACAATGGCTCTACTCCAAAATCTCCCATATGATATTTCGTCATGTTATTAAATCATTAAATTACTAAATCACGTTAATTACAAATATATATAAAAATATAGATAAATAATCAAATATAGATAAATATGCAAAAGACGCACACACAGCAGCGGATTAATTCTTCATTATATTGGGGGAGAAACCCAAAAATAATTGCTACATTACAATACATATAAACACACGCACACACACACACGCGCGCGCGCGCGCGCTCGCGCATGCATGATGCACCCACGCACGTATTCAAGTGCACGCGAACGCGCATGTATTTATATGAGTATATACATATATATATATATATATATATATATATATATATGTATATACATACGTATACAAGAATATGCATATACATGTACATAAACATGTATATACATACGAAGTGGTCCTGAAATAGTCATTGGTCAAAATTAGGGATTGGATTGGGCTCGTCATAAGGATGAAAAAAGTTTCAATAAACGTTAGTCCAAAAACGTATCCTTCAGGAGTTACGACTCATTTAATTATCAATTTCGAAAAATAAATACTTTCAAAGTTTTGATCGTACTTACTATGATTTGTGCTTTTTAAATTAATGTGTTCAATAAGTAGCTTAATCGAGTGATCTGTTGTTACAATTATAATCCAATATTATTGTCCGCGCATGGAGGCAACAGAATTCAAAACACAACAATCTCGACCAGGAATCTTTGAGCGTGTTAGATAATCAATAGTTAGACGGATGAAAGCGTATGTTTTAGTTAATTGTGGACATTTTCAACAACTTCTGTAAATAAAAATTAAGTTTTTTCCTTTCATGGCCTTCCATTTTTTTGAATTAAGTATTAATAATTAAATGAGTCGTAACTCCTGAAGGATGCATTTTTGAACTAACGTTTATGGGAACTTTTTTCATCCTTATGACGAACCCAATCCAATTCCTGATTTTGACAAACTATTTCAGGACTACGCTGTATATATATATATATATATACAGGGTCTACCAAAAGTGTGGAAACCCCTAAATATCTCGGAAAATATACGTTTTACAGAAAAGTGTTTCCAACAAAAGTTGTAGGGTTTAAGAAGATCTATATACTGATTCTATCAGTTTGACCTTGGATGGCGTCGTCAAGGTCAGGTCAAGGTCACATTGACTTTTTTAAATGACACCCCCTACATTTGATTGCATATTCTTATAGCTTAATTCAAGAGCTTTCCAAAACACTATAATAATGTTCATTTTTATTAAGTACTTTGCGAGTTATGAGGGTTGAAATAATTTCTTAATTTTACATAAACCATAAAATATCTAGTAAACCATTCATTTTTCGATTATCTTACCTTCATACTTTTATGTACAAAATAATGAAAGGAATCAATTGGTGTAAAGAAAACATACAGTTGTTTTTAAGAAAAAATATGTAATTTGCAATTAACAATTCCATATTTTTTCTTAAAAACAACTGTATGTTTTCTTTACACCAATTGATTCCTTTCATTATTTTGTACATAAAAGTATGAAGGTAAGATAATCGAAAAATGAATGGTTTACTAGATATTTTATGGTTTATGTAAAATTAAGAAATTATTTCAACCCTCATAACTCGCAAAGTACTTAATAAAAATGAACATTATTATAGTGTTTTGGAAAGCTCTTGAATTAAGCTATAAGAATATGCAATCAAATGTAGGGGGTGTCATTTAAAAAAGTCAATGTGACCTTGACCTGACCTTGACGACGCCATCCAAGGTCAAACTGATAGAATCAGTATATAGATCTTCTTAAACCCTACAACTTTTGTTGGAAACACTTTTCTATAAAACGTATATTTTCCGAGATATTTAGGGGTTTCCACACTTTTGGTAGACCCTGTATATATATATATATATATATATATATATATATATATATATATATATATATATATGGATATGTGTAATTCTATGAAATTTAAAGCTAGGTTCAGAAATCGAGAAAAATTCCTTTCTTTCTTTCTTTTACAAAGAAAACATTCAAAAAGATTTCTGATTGCTAACTCGGGAGCAATCAGAAATCTTTTTTAATGTTTCATGTGTACCGAGTCAGTTTCGGAACCTAGCCTAAATATATATTCACAGTCTAGCTTGATCAATTTATGTATTTTCAGGTTACGCCAAGACTCAAGTTTCATTTGCTTTAATCAGTCTTTTCGTAATGTTGATGGGCTTCTTCTTTTCAATTTACACATTCCTAAATCCACGCTATATGTTTAAGCGTCTAGCCGGAGGAATACACTTCATAACTGGTAATTAGCATTGCATAATATTTTTTTAGCTATATGATAAGTTTAATCCGTGATAAATTTTTAATCAGTTTTTAATTTCGTGTATTTCAATAATAATATTTACTAATTTATAAAACTTTTGATTGGCTATTTTTAGAGATACTTTTATCGATAAAAAAGGACTTAGAATATCCCATCATATTTTTATTAACAAAATATTGTACAGTAATAAATATCTAATCTATATCGAGTAAAATATTTTCAAATTCAAATTGGGATAATAAAGAATTAACAGATTTTATTATGAATAATCACCACAAATGAAAAAGAGCGAGAGTCGAAAGTTTTATTAAAATTCTTCATTGATCTATACACCTGCAAAAAAACGGACTACTAAATTTTAGTACAATTTTTTAACATCTTTCAATAGCGATAAAGTAAATCAGTAAAAAATCATCGCATTGAGATAAAACAACGCAAATTAAAGCTTGAACATTCCTCTTGAAAATCAAGGAAATCAGAGAATTACAAAAAATTGTTTCATAAAATGATAGACGAATGAAGATAAACTTTGAGAAATGGGTAATTGTTTTACCCATTTTTAAACTGTTGCGTTGTTCAGGAGAATCGGCTTTCAGATACAAAAATGTATAAGTTTTGAAGCTCATTTATATTTCCTAACAAATCTATATTTTAATCAATTTTCTATACTCTACTCTTTCAATTATTTTCTATTCTATACTCTATTTTATCAATTTTTTATTGTCTACACTTTAATTTTCTTTTTGAAAAAGTTTTTCACGATAATTTATTTCTGAATTGCAGATTTTACAAGAAAAAAATCTATTTTATAACATTTTTAAAACGATGTAACTATATAAAAAAAATCATACAAAATTGATTAAAGTATGGATTTGTTAGGAAATAAATAAGCTTCAAAATACTCATACATTTTTATACCCAAAAGTCGATTTTCCTGAGCAATCCAACAGTCTTTTCCAAAAAGAAATTTGTTTCCCATTTCTCCCAAACGTTAAAGATATATTTTTCCCAAAATCCGCCATTTTATAAAATATTTTTTGTAATTCAAATTTGATTGTCTTGGTTTTCAAAAGGAATGTTCAAGCTTTAATTTGAGTATCATTTCATCTCAATACGATGATTTTTTACTGATTTATCGCTATTGAAAGATTAAAAAATTAAAAGGTTAAAAAATTGTGCTATTTAGTGGCCCGTTATATATAAATATATAAGAAAACTTTAATTAATGCATCTGTGTCCTTCTTCATTCTTTTTTCAGCTGCTTGCAATATGGTGGTGATACAAGTGCTACTTTCTTCAATCGAATATGAAAGTAATCATGTCTTCGAAAACTTTCCAAAGAATGCATTAATAAAATATAATTATTCGCTTATTCTTGCATGGATCGTATTTTTATGCAATTTAATGTCTGGCTTGGTCTTCATGCTTTTCTCAAGGAAGAGAAAGAGAGATAAAGCCCCTACGGAAGAAATAGCTATGGCTGATGAGCCAACAATAATTGGACGTTAAATTTCTTTTATTACTATTGTTATTAATTTTATTCTTATTGTTATTCATTGAAACTACGAGATTTGAGTGTGAATTATAAATGATGCTAATTATATAAATATACTTATAATTAGTTTTCTTATTTTGCTTCCCTATTAAGAACTGATAAAAAAAACAGAATTATTGATGCATATAATACTAGAAAAATTATATAATATAAATAAATTTAAACATAATTAATTAATTAATTAATATATTCAGAAATTTACAGAATATTTGAGAAGTTCTATATTTTGTGCTCATTCAAAAAAAGATATAGAAAAATTTTAAAAATTATAATCGAGTAATTATATATATATATATATATATATATATATATATATATATACTACATATATATATATGTATATATATATATATATACACACACATATATATTTGCATATATTTATAAATATATACATATACAAAGCGTATATAAAGGAATAACGAATATTCTGTAAATATTGTCAAAAATATGCTTTAAACAAAAATTGTAACATTTGAAGTGATATATGATAGTATTTCAATCTTAACACTTTGGATTATTTTAAAGATTCTGTAAAAGTCTTAAGTTTTCTTAAATAGAAATGCCTATTTTCCTATAACTAATTAATACGATATTATTTTGAAATTATATTAAACTCTTTTTTGTTCAAAAGTTTCTAAGTTATCAATTGCGAAATTACAGTATCGCAACATGAGAATGATTTGAAATGTTATATAAAGAATGCACAGTTAGATTTACTTTTAATACTCTTTATTTGTGTATGTACGTGTGCGTATGTGCATACACACACACACACACACACACACACACACACACACACACACACACACACACATATACATATATACTGTGCAAGATGTTAAAGATTAAAATTTTGTAATTCATAAATTCTATAATATAATAATTTCAGATTTTTTTCACAATTTATCATGAGATCAAAACTCAGTATAATTTGTTAATTCTACGATATATTCTATGATTTATTGATTTGAAATTTTCTTTACAATGATATATTATATCAATTACAATGATATATTATGATATATTTGAATTCTCTACAATTATGTGTGAAGTATGATAAAAGAATACAATGAATACCTTACAACGCATTATATAATTGAAAGAGGGGAAACTATGTAGTCAAATCTAACTGTAGAATTCCCTTCACAATACAATTGAATCTCGAAATAGCACTGTGCGGATATACTACAGCCAGATTACTCCTATTTCTATCAAATTTAGAGCGGTAGCGACTGCGCAAAACTTACACGAACACGTCTTTTCAAATACACCATTAAAAGAGGCCATTATGCCCATAAATCGAGCCACACTATATACAGTAGCGTAATTTCTGACAATTTCAGAATGAGTGAAAATGCTCACGTGCTAATTTAGTATATAAATTACAGTATGCAGATTTGTTTTAGTTTCTCTCTCTCTCTCTCTCTCTCTCTCTCTCTCTTTGCGCTCTCTCTTAATCATAGAAATACTCATATAAGACATTTAAATAAAAAAGACATTTATTATATAATAAATGTAATTTTTATATAATTCTATTTACAAATATTTATTAATATTTATATCTTTGTCGATTTTAAATTTATTATTATATATATATTATCATATTATATTATTACACACACATACACACAACATTACATTATATATATATATATATATATATATATATATATATATATTAATTATATCATATATATTATATATTATATATTATTATATATTATATATATTATTATATTGTATATATTATTTTGTAAATTTTAAATTTATATGCATATATTTTTTTAGTTATATGGCAATAAATTATTTGAAAAATAATATGATATAGCCAAAATACTCTGTGTTACTTTTATCTATCATTTAAAAACACTTATTTAATTATACTTAATTATATTACTTCGATAAATATTGACACTAGCGCCAACTTTATCGATTTCAATAACTTTGACATATGTTGTCAAATATTTGACATGATTTTGAGTAACTTCCAAGATTTTAACCGGTCATTCATTATTTATTAAAAAGTTATTAACTAAACTGTATGATATATAGGAACACGGGTAATTATTTATTTATTATGATAGTCCTTATAATTATTATAATTTATAATTAAGTAAATAATTAGAAATCCGAGCTAGACAAATTTTATAAATACTGTACTTATATAATTTTATTATATTCTATTTTATTTTTAATTCGTTAAATTCTATTTGTCTCTGTCAGTATTATATACATACCACATTGTTTGAATTGACAGTTTCTTTTCAAAATATTTCCCATTTCAAAATTATTTCTTGATTTTTTAGAAATGAAAAATACCTGATATTTTTATTATCTTGTAAGATATTTTTACTTTTTAAATAAACGGCATTATAAAAAAGAATTTTTATTGCATGTGCGAGACTCCGTCGCAAAACCGTGCATAATCTGTGTATCGTGACACTGGATGCTTTCCACTTAGCAACACAAATCAAACTAAATGTCATTTTATTTTTGTTATTTACTGATGTTGCAAAAAGCAGAATGTGTTGACTTGTACTCACTAAATAAGCACCCATTATTCGATGCACGACACTATTTCGATTACATTTATTATTGCATTGCTATTGGTTGCTATTTGCAAAATGGTGGAAACTTGCTGCTACAATAATGCTGCCACCACTGAACTATATATAATATAAACTGAAATGGGAACTGCCATTATAAATACATAAGCGAATAGTGAGCTTCAGATAGATTTTTAGGGCTAGGTGTCTCACTCACACATGCATATGCATACATCTTGGATAGCACAAGCAGATCTAAAAGAACGACTTCAGACACCTAGTCCTGACGAGTGTTCTCTCTTGTCTCGCGATTCAGTTCCCATTGCAGTTTATATATAGTTCAGTGGCTGCCAGTATAAGCAGAGAGAAGATTGAGAGATATCATGGCTCACTTTTAGATAATTTCTGAAACATACGTCCTCTGTAGACATTAAAATCGTGGACATAAACTACGAAGCCAGTGTTCACGAATGCTCTTAGAGGGTAACATATAATGTACATAATTTCTGGTTTTCCGTGCTATGTGCACGAATAACAGTACCATATTTTTATACTTAATACTTTATATAATACAATGCACTAAATTATAAAATTTAATATAATTACAAAGTATTATTATTAATAAATAGATATGCAACTGCAAACTGTCTTTTAGTTTCTAATCATTTCCAATCACCATAAATTCCTATCCAATAGAATATATTCTTCTTCGGGTCCTTAAATTATTATGATTTATTGTCTTCCTTTGTCTTAACATCATAAGAATTTGTCATGCTTCTTCCTTTCTATGAAGTCCATCGGAGTACTTTCTATGGACATTTGTTCTTGGGTCTAAATATTCAAATTACTGTAGTTGTCTTTTCTATATTTTCTTAACTACTGTTTCTTTTTCTTTCAATTTATTCAAAATTTATTAATATAATTAATATAACATATATATTTGGTATCTCTTTTAATCTGATTTTTCCCCTTTGACCTGTCCGGCATAGGAAATCCTACCAGTAACTACGGCTAATATTCATAGTCTTCTTAGATTTAAGATCATCTCTCTATTTTAGATATTAATAACATTCACATTTGAATTTAAAATTGTATAATTTTTAAGAAATAATTTTTAAATGATAAAATAAAATATTAATAAAATTTATAAAAAATAAAATATTAAATGTTAAATTTAATACATGTTATATGTACAATAAAATGCAACTTAAAGGCATGTTATATATTTAAGTTACTTGTATGTACTATGTATTTCTTACATTTTCCATACATTAATTTTTTATTTTTATTTATAATTTTTCTCTATAATTAATTACAATTCTTTATATATAATTTATTTACTTTTACTTAAAATAAATTATATATATGTATATATATATATATATACATATATATATATATATATATATATACCTTTAAAAATAACATATTTTTATGTTTTTTATTTTGAAAATAAATTTAATTTTTACATGCCCTAATAGCCCTAACAGACCTTAACCGTTCTAACAGATTTAATAGCTTTAACAGACCTAACAGCCCTAGCTGCCCTACTTGCTGGCTTATACCAACAAAAATTTTCGATAAAGTGAAATTTGGGGAATCCTAATTAAGAATCCGCAATAATGAAGAATTTAAGGAACAAGGAAAATAACTTCCTTTGTTGATTAATTATTATTCGGCAATAAGACGACTATAATAATAATTTGTTAAAAAACAATCGTACGATATTACGATCGTTTTTTAAAGCATGCAGTCATTTAGTCGTCAGAAATCACAAAATATAATTATCATGCATATATAAAATATAATTAGCATGCATTTTAACTCTCGGTCGGCGGGTTCCTTATAAATATCTTTATCTTTTAGATTAAATATTTAGAAATTAAAAATCAATTTTTAAAAAGGCCGTTTTATAAAGATCGATATATGGAATCGATAATGGAAATAAATATTTCATGTATGTCTATCATAAAATTGCAATAAAAATATCATCTATTTTTATTTTAAAAATATTTTTTCTTCTACTTTAATTTTTACATGTGTATTGCCTCCGCCAACCGAGAGTTAGAAGCAATGGATTTCTTCATGCATTTACAAATCCTTTGCTTCAAAATAAAAGGTTGTCACTCACCGGCACTGATGCGCAACAGCGGAGTTGATATTGAAACTACGTTGTCTGTAATATACAAATATAAAATGTAAATTATAACAATGTTTAAAATAATTAATATTTTAAGAAATTATTATTGGATTCATTAAATTTTATATCTGATGCATGCAATTATAAATAGATATATAAATATGAAATAATTTTATAAGTAATTAATTTTTTTTAGAAACTTTTATAGAAAGAATTATTATAAAAATTTCTCAAATTTTTTCTTGTTTAAATCATTTATATAAATCAAATTAATAAATTTATTTATTTATTTATATACAATTATTTATATACAATGTAAATAATAATACTCACCATCAGGTTGTTCCGCCGATGCAGGATG